AATGATATAAATTTTTTTATCAATGTTCATATTATTTATATATAATTTCTCAATAACGTCTTGCATAACTTCTAGTTGTGGTTGTTGATGTTTAATTCATAATTTAGGAAGATGATGTTTATGATGGTTATTATTAAATGGATGAACTAGTCTAATAAATGGATGAAGCTGTCACTGGTTTTTGAGTGCTTGTTGTTGTTTATTAAACCTATGAAGCTGTAGGGAATAGATTTTATCTATAACCACTAGATCTATTTGATTGACTATCATCTATCTATTAATAAGATGTCTAAGGTTGTTTATTCACTTAGGTTGTAATGGTTGTACTGAATTAATTAGTTTGATTTGTAATTTAAGGAGGATTATCTTATCTTAATTCTTTCACTACAGAAGCATATTTGTTATTCCAAGTTTATAAATCCTATATAATAAATATATATGAATACAGATGTTTAATTAGAAATTATGTTCTATTATCTCTTTATCTCATTTTATAAATCATTAATTTATTGGTTCAACTTCTTAATATCATTTTATTAGTTATCAAAATTCTTCTTACTTGTATTTAAATCAGAATTTAAGCTATTCACTTTAGCTTCTAATTCTTTCTTTAATTTTTCTAAATTAGATGAATCCTATGAGAATTTATCAAGTTTCTTTTTCAAATCATCTAATTCTTTGTCTTTTGCTTAAATTGCTTATTACAATTTACTAATTTCTGTATTATCTTTTTTAACTTTCTACAATTCAAGATCCATTTAATTGAATCTAAATAAATAACATTTATTACTTCTTTTTAATTTCTTCATTTTCTTTTGATCTTTAAGCAATTTAATCTTATAGAGTTTTCAAATCATTTGGATTAGTATTATCTATAACTTTAACTTATTTAACAACTGATTCTTGCTTAGTTATCTATGACTTTAATGAATTAATTTCATTATCTTTGGCTGCAAATTTATTCTTTAATTATTCAAACTCTCCATTAATTGAATTATATAATTATTGGAATTAAGTTTTTTATTTATTTGCATCATCAGCTACTAATTGTAAATCTGCTAATTTTTATCTTAAATCTCCTAATTCTTTAGTTTATTAATCAATTAATTATTTTAATCTTTAATTTTCAGCTTCTAATGGTTTTAATTAAGCAACTTATCCTTCTAAGGTTGATATAGTCTTAGATTATGCTGCATTTTCATCATTCTTTACTTAGATTTACTTTCCTAATTATTCAATTTCAGCTTATAATTTTGCTATTCTATCTAAAAGATTATCTCTTTCTGCAGCTAATTGTTTAGTTTATCTATCTAATTAACTTAATTGATCTCTTAAATCTGCTGTCACTAAACATCTAATATAATATAATAAATATAATATACTCTCTTTCATATAGAGCTTTGTATTTAATAAATTCATTTTAGAATCCATTCAATTATTCAATAACTTTTTACATAGAATTCATCTCAGATACTTAAGAATTATATTTATTAGTTAAATCAGTTAATTATTATCTTAATTTATTATTTTCATCTAATAATTTTTATAATTAAGCTTATAAATCTCCAATCTACTTTTATCTTTATTAATCTAATTATTATAGTTGATTTTATAAGTCATTAACATGAGATTCTAATTCACTTATATAATTATCTTTTTCAATTGAAGAATTGCTACTTGATTATTATAAATTTGTAATCTAAGTTTATAATAAACTATATTATTATTGAAGCTTATTATATAAATCTTGAATATTTCTTAATTTATTTAATTCTGCTTACAATTATCTCAATAATGCATTAAGATCATCAATTTCTTTATCCTTTTATTCATTTTGCTATTATAATTTAGCTAATTGATCTTATAAAACCTATTGTTATCTTTCCAAATTAGCAATATCTTCATTAATTTCATCTTAATTTCCTCCTCTTAATTCTAACATAGGATCTTATTAAAGTGATTCAGCTTTCATTCTTTATAAGTATTCAACTTCAAGAAGCAAATACTTATATTTACTTTCATAGTATTCTTTTTCTCTTCTTAATCTATCATTGTCTACACCAATTTTATTAAGATCAGTCTTAACATTTTCTCTATTTTATATTTCTTCCTATCTTACAATATCTAATTTATTATTTGATAATTGTAATTAGTTAACTTAATTAGCTTCTAAGGATTTATCAAAATATCTTCCATAGAGATCTTCATATTCTTTTGTCTTAACATTTAATTATTAAATTAACTCTTATGAATGTTATCTTAATAAATTGATTGTTTATTCTAATTCAGGTACTCTTTATTCTAAATGTTTTAAATCAAATATGGTTTGATTAAGATCATTCATTTTTGCTCTCATCTATTCATTTTCTTCAACTTTCATATTTAATTAAGTTTTTAATCTATCTATTTCTTAGATATATAAATGCTTTTCATTTTCAAGTATATAAATATGATTATTTAATTATTCAATTTATTACTTAAGTTTCTAAATTAATTGATATTAATCAAAGTTTTATCTTTGAAGATCTTAAATTTATTTTCTAAGTTGATTAATTTCATCCTAATCAACAATATGTTCAATTTAAGGAGGTGGTTAATGTAATTACCTTTATTTCAATCTCTCAATTTCTAATTCTAATTATCTTGCTCTAATTTATTCTTATTTTAAGAGTTCAGCTGTGAATTATAAATCAGACACCAATTATTCAGATTACAAATACTTATCCTTCCAATTCTTAATTAATTAATCTTTTCTTTGAATTTCCAATTATAATTCATTTAAATATCCTTCATATTAAGCTTTTTATTATTCATATTATCTATCTTTTGCTTATAAATCTAATTCTTATTATAAATTTTATTATCTTAATTTATTTAATTCATCTTTCAATTCTTTAATTTCTTTTTCTAATTATGCATTCTTATCTTCAGCATCAGCCAATAATTATTAAACATCATGAAGTGTTTTGTCTAATTAATCAGCATCTCTTTCAAATTAATTTCTTTCATTTCTAACTCTTTATAATTATTCATTTAAATGATCATTAATTTATAATAATCTTTAATTATCTAATTTAAGTTCATCAAGTTCTCCTTCTAATGTATGATATTTATTATCAAGTGCAAGATTCTCATTCTATAATTATCCAAATTAAGTTTATAATATTCCCTTTTCTGAAATAGCATCAGCCAAAAGGTTTCTCAATGTTGATATTTCATCTTCTAAAAATGGTATTTATTTTAATTAAGCTTCTTATTATGCTTTAATAAATGAGAGTTCTTCAACTTCTAATAATCTCTTTTAGATTTCACTTCTTAAATGATCAACTTCATCTCTAAGTAATTATTTCTCTGATTCAAGTACTTGTACTTCTCCTTTATACAAACGTAAAGCTCCTACTTCTCTTAAAGCAGCTGCTAACTTTTCTTTACATGTAGTAAGTTCTTAAATCTTAAAATGAACCTATTATTTAAGATTCTCAACTTCTAATTTTAATGCTTAAAGATGATTTAATTCAGTTTACAATTAATCAATAATTTCATCTTATTAATGAATTTTATCATCTCTTAGATTAATTCTCTCTTACTTTGATGATAATTCTTATTACAAAGTCTTGATTGTTCCTTATAATGAATCTATACTAGCATTTTCAGTTCGTAATTAAATATTAACTTTTTCAAGTGATGAATATTTTAATCTCCAACCATCTAATTCAGCTTCTCTTTATCTAAGAAGTGATTGTAATCTATCAATTTCACTTTACATCTATAATAACTTATTCTCAGTAACAATAGTAACTGAAGATCCTCCTTATAATTTAAATAATTCAGCATCTCTTGATTATACATCATGATTTAAATCATTAATTTGTTATAATTTCAAATCTAATTGATGTTGTATATTTTGTAAATCAGATCTTAATTATTCAATTATTGTAGTTTATTCTCTTAATTCAGAAACTTAAGATTATAATTTACCTAATTCACCCATCAATCTTTTGATTTCATCATTTAATCTAGCATTCTCATCATTAAGTTATTAAACATCATTTTCTAATTCCTCATTTCTAGCCTACTCTGCTTAAATAAGAGTTTCATAATCAATAGCTTTTCCTCTCCAATCCTCACATTCTTATTGTGATTAAGATAAATCTTATTTTAATTTTATTATTTGTTGATGTAAGCTCTCAACATCCCCCTTCTATTATGGAACTTCTCTTGGCTGTTATCCTAATTATCCCTAAAGTTATTTTAATACTAAATTATTTCATTTTTATTTACAATCTTCTAAATCTTTTTTTTCTTTTTCACCTCTCAAACATCTCTCCTTCCAATTAGTCAATTCTTATTACAATTTACTGATTTTCGATTCTAATTCAGAGGTCTTTGTATCTGTATTGGTGATAGTACTTATCTATTTTTCTATTGTAAAAACACGAGTTTTCCATTCATTTACTTATTTTTTTGATTGATCCAACTGCTTTTGTAATCTTTAAATTTCTTCATTCTAATTTTTTTAAGTCCTAATATGTTATTCCAATTCATTTATGGATATTCTAGCCTAATCTAAATCACCTATCTTCTATTTCAATGATTGATTCAATTTCTTATTCTCTCCAATTAAAATTTCAACTCTATCTTATAATTGTTATATCTAAGATCAAATCATTTGTATACAGTCTCTTCATATGATGTGTTACGATCCAGCTCAGCTTAAAGCTCTAGATATTTCTTGCGCCATAAATCTATCTCTTTTTACTGTTCAGCAATTCTCTATTCACAAAAAGTATGATCTGCTTCTTTAACAATTACTTGTGTCTTTATTTAAGTCCTTGGTTACTCTTATCTTACTGAACCCTTCTATTCTCTGACGATATATTCTTGTAATAAATATAAAATCATTACAAGTCACTGGTTGCATAGGCACAATCGTTTCTTGAATAGGAATAACTGTAGTCTCCCTAGGATTTTATGACATTCTCGGGGGAGACACAAAATGACGAACAGATGCAGGTAATACTCTACTCATTAAAATTTATTTTAATTAATAAATATCTATTTTTCTAGTTAATTAAGACCTGAATTTTGTTTTTATCAGAAAAAAATTCGTTATAATTAGATTTGTGATTTTTATTTTATTATCAAAATTATGTAAATTTAATATTCAATAATAGACTACTATAAAGCCAGAACTTTTCATTTTATTCTTATTCTTAAATAAATCATTTACTTATTTTAATAATTTATGTAATTTTTATAAAAATAACATATTCCTAAAGCAATCCAAATTATTTAGGTTATAGAATTTCTTACAGAATATTTTGGAAAATTGCCTGAAAGTAAATTTATACATTAAATCAAGAAAGAATATACTAAAACTTTTTAATACTTGAGTTTTTGAAATTATTTGTTAAATTAAGAAAATGGCATATAATTGATAAATATGGATTGATGATATCAAATAATAATAAATTTGGAGAAGCTGACCATCGAGAAGATTCAGCGGTAAATTTATTCTTAGAGAAATGGGGAGGATTGTAAAAAGATTCTCCTGTTATGGATATCAAATTGGCAAAAGAGTAACTATAAAAAGCCATAGAGCCTATGCCTGAATTTAATTAAGGTTTATATGATATTATTGGAGATAAATAAGTTTCGATAATAAAAACATTACCTATTCCTAATGATTTAAAAAAGAGAGATTATGAATCCTAATTCAATATCTTAAGAGTATTATCATTATTAAACTGTAGATCTAAATAGGAGAAATACTATATCTTTTACGACCTTTAATTTATTGTTCTTGCATTTTAAAGTTTGGAACTAGAAGTTATTCACCTTACTTAATTTCATTATCAATTGATATCTTAAGATTTCTAATTCAATTCAAAATTCAAATCTTTAGAAAAAGTTAGGAAGAAGAACTTAATTTAAGAGCAAAAGATGCGATTGTAAATATTGTTGATATTTTAGATATGCTATATTCTTAGGAATCCATTTTATACTCAGATCTTAAAGTAGAAATGCTTAAATAAAATATTAGGAGTATTTTTAAAAGAAGAAAACATACTTCATCGAATAGTAATAGGACTATTAGACCTAAGATCATCAAAATGTTTATTATTATGAAGTTAAAGTATTTGTATTATTATAAATTATATTATATTTAATAGTAAAATCATAATCTAGTTTTCAAAGATTTTTACTAAGAAATCAATAGATTAATTTATTAGTTTATATCCTTAATTTAAGCCAATATTTAAATTAATTCTTATCTCAAAGTTTATTTTACTTTCATTTCTGTTTCAATTTAAGCTTATTTTACAATTTAATCATATTTTTAGTCAAGTTCTTCTAACATTAATTCCAATTTAATTATTTATCTTGAAATATTTTCATATTCTTAAATATCTTCATTATTCTTTTTAATAATTACAATACTATTGTCATCATCAGTTGTTTATTTAATTTATTCTTATTCTGAAGTAGGTACTTGAGTAATTGAAGACTTTTTGACTTATTTTTTATTTGAAGTCTATTAATATTAATCTTTTGAGTCCTATCTTTATACTAATAATTATAATTCAAAGATTTTGGCATTTAATTACTCTATTTATTTATGTTTTTGAGATTCTATTCTTTCATATTATAATTTAAGTAATTAAATATCTGAAAGTAATTAAGAATTTTATTATCTTTATTAATCCAATTAGTTTATTAAATCAACATTTTTAGTTTATAATTATTTAATTTCAAATTCCATATTTTAGAATTTATCAACAGGATATTGAGTAGTATACCAATCTAAATATTGTTATAATTCTTGTATTTATTCTTTGTATTATTTTATATCTGAATTCATTTTAGACATACTCTCATTCCATTATTTACTACTTTTAACAAATGTATCTAATTATAATTAATAATTAAGAGTAATCTATTTATAAATGAAATACAATTACTTATTTTTCTTTTTGCAATTATTAATTTAATTAAGTAATCTTTTTTTTATAACTCTCATTTGTATCCAAATTCAAATGTAATTATTGTTATCTAATTAAGAATTTTACATTACATATTACTAATTTCTTCTGTTAATTCTCTAATCTTTGATTCATTCTAACTAATCTAAAATTTATAATCAGAATGAATATAAGCAATCTTATCCTCATTATCTATTTCTGATTATCTCAATTTCTTGTCCAGTTCCTTTATTTTTTAATCTTTTTCATCATTTTTATCTTTTTAAAATACATCATGCTTTGTCATAGTACTTAATAGTTTCTCAACTTTATTTCTTTATTTACTTTTTACATGAGCAGTTGTACAATAATTTTACGATATATTCTATAAATGTATAATGATTGAATCATACAATTTACTCATTGAGAATACCATTTTCTCCTTCTAGAGTTCTTATTCTATCTTATAAGGCTCTCATGGCTTTTAAATAACTAGGAGACATTGGTTAACTAGCAGATAGCTTTTTATCAATTGACTCTTCTGATTTCATTTTTGATGTAAATACACTATTTCCAAGATTAAAAGAGGAGTAATAGTTTTTATGTTCAATTTTATTCTTAATCTATTATGCTAGGAATTTAGTTTAAAAACTATCTGCCTTCATATATGTTTGTTATAAATTAATAAATTAAATAATCAAATTATTTTTCTTCTCTTATCTCTAAAGTATATAACAACAAGAACAATGATTGAGCATAAACATATAAAAGCTCCAGCAAAATATGAACCAACCAAAACCTATTAATTCAAATTCATTTTTACCATATTTTTTTATCCAAATATTGTTGTTGTTGTCATAAAGAAGCTCTTAACCATATCAGATGAATACAATTACTCTTCGTAAGCTAATAAATAAATAAACAAAATTACTATTATTTACAATCAATATATATTGTCCTTTACTTAGATCATTTTAAATTCTACCCCATAATTTCTTTAATCTACCCTACCCGGCTGTTCTCATCCAAACCATAAAGTGTTCTTTAGTTCATTTAAAACATTGTACCATCTTCAATATTGGTCCAAGCAAACTTTTCCCATCCCTTAGGGTTTTTGAAATTATATTCCCTATCACTTTCCCAAGCTATATCAGTTTCATCAATTTCAACAAATTATCCTTTAGAATCTTTTAATTTAAATGTATCAGTAAAATATGTGTAGGCTATCTCACCACATGGAAACGCATTCTCACTCTTATTTAATGTATTGCCACCATATGATTTCACTTTCTCTGTATTTTTATTAATTTCAAATAGCTACCCATATCAGAATTAGTTTAATAATCCCCACAATTGGATAAGTCAGCATCTACATTCCCTTTCAATTATTCAACAGATTTTGATTTGAAATAATTTCTATTTCTTCTGTAAAAATTTTCCAGTTAGTAGTAAACAAAAATTGGTGCTGTCATATCACTTGATATTTCAATTGGTATTTCACAATTAAGTTGATTTGTTGTACATGATGACCCATAATAAACTTCCTTTTCAACTATTTGTAAATTGAATACTAAAAATATTATTGCGAAGACCAATAAAAATATTCCTATGTTACAAATACTCATACCAATTATGCTAAATATTATCAGATTTCTTTTGAAATTCTTATGAAATTTCCATTTCTTTATGGCAATATTCAAAAATTCCTCTTAATCCTCTCTAAATTATTTCGAAAATGAGTTAGAATATTCGGCCATTAATATTATTAAATATTATAAACATTATATAATATCATCTATCATTACTTCCCTTCAAAATACTTGAAAAGTACCAAGATGCTTTTAAATTTTTAATCAAATTCAAGGAAGAATCCTTTATTTATCATCTTTAAATTAAAAAATAGAAATAAATTCAAGTATTTTCAAATTGATGAATATGTAATGAAATAGGAAAAAAAACCTATAGATTTAATACCATATATTATTAAGGAATATCTATTTTAGAAAATTAACATACTTTATATAATAGATGCTTAAATATAGTTAAATTGTAATTATTAATTTACTTTGGTATAAATGGATGCAAAATACAATCTTTAATTGATTTTCAATTATTAAATAGATTAAAATTATTAATTTTGGACAATAATTCTTTCAATGGATATTAAAAAGATAAATTGATCTCTCTATCCATTATAATGATTAAATTAATATATATTCAGGATCTATAGATATGTAGATGATTAATTAAATAAATATTAGTAAGTAAGAAGTTAATTATGATGAAATGAGAAATCATATTTTAAATATATTACTTAATCTATCCTATTATTATATGAAAAGATCAAATAAAATATAGGATAAAAAGTTCTTTAATAATATTAATAAAGAAAATATCTATCTTTATATATTAATAAATAAGTTATCTAAACAAAATGAAGTCAGAGTATGATAAGGATATATATAAATAATAACTTAAGCAAATAAATGAATATAAATAATAACAGGATGAAAAAATATCATCAAGTGGAAAACAAAGGAAATAATAAAAGAAAAGGCTTATGTTCATGATTGATTGTTTCTCCTTTCAGATTTACTATATGAAAATATTTAATTATAATGTTTGTATAATATATATCAACAAATCAAATATTAATGCATAAATTAAGATAATTACAAGAAAAAGAAGTTCAATCTCACTTAACTTAATAAGTCTTTGTACCTTTCATTTAAGAACGAGATTCTTTAGGTAAACTACAAATAAACCACAAAAGAAATACTTCACAAAAATCAACATAAAAAAAGAAATCTAATAAAAAGGTATAATATTATATATCAAGAAACTTATAAATAGTAAAAGTGAACATACAAAATCAAAAATAAATTTTTTAAAAGATGTTTATACAATTAATCATAATACAGAATGGGCCAATTTAACGAATGTTTCTAGATTAGAAAAAAAATTTAATTTGAGAATTCAGACTGAATTTGTTGAGTAGAAACCACTTACATTATTAAATTAAAAACTATAGCTGAATGGTGGTATCGTCTAACATAGAGCTAACACTTAATTAAATAATTCACCTAAGTTAGGAAAAAATCTTAGTAAAAATACTATACCTCCTATTGGATATTATCAACCTAAAGATATGTAAATAAAAAAATAACCTATGTTTGTTAAAATGAATTTGTAATAGGAAACTAATAGATAAATTAAAAAAGTTATAAAAACAGAATGTTCATCAACAACTTCAATTCCTAAATTAGAATTCTCTAATATTAGAATTTTAAACAAAATTCCATAAGAATTATTTGAAAAAGCATATTAAACAGAGAGAATGTCAACAGAACATAGATTTAGATACACTCCTTTGCATTTTGATAATGAAGAAATAGAACAATAAGAATATAAGATAAATTAATTAAGATAAATTTATAAAGTTATGAAAAATAGTATTTCTTGATTCCATTTGTATATATATATATATATATATCTATTTATCAATCTTTTAACCATTTTCCATAGAATGATTCATATATTTTATATCTAATTTAAGCAGAATCCTATAAAGATTCAATAAATCCAATACAACTAAACCAATCATCATAAGTAGCTGTTTCTACTCCACAAATGAAATAGTTTCTTGTTCCTTTTTTTAAAAATAATTTTTTCAAATCTCTATAATAATTATAAATTCAATATACTTTAAATGTTATTTATAACGAACTTCACTTCCAGTAGCATAACTATAAATATATTTCTTTAATATTTCTTCATCATGTCTCATCTTATAACCTAAAGTTTAAACATCTTCTATTCTTGAACTTTATAATCCATAATATTCTAAAAAATTATAAGCTATATTCCAATTTAAAATTGCATTTTATCCTTCTTTATTAGCTTTTGCAAGATCTAATCTATATTAAGAAAAATCTATTATTTAATTAGTTTTCCCATTAAAATAGAATACTCTAAAAGATGGATTATATCTTGTAAATGTTGTTACTGAAGGTGCAATATATATAGTTTTAATATATCTACCATCAATTCTAGATCTTATATGAGATATTTAATCAGAATGAGTATGTCCTAGATTTAATTAATTTAATTAATACCATAAAAAAGGCCAGATACAACATGTTCAAATCTTTCAATAACAACACTGAAACGATCTGCCCATTATGAATTACATGAAATATCACCTGGTGGAATATGTGCAATAATAATAGCAAATTAATTTTTTGATTCTGCATCCTACAATTCTTATATTAACCATTTTAACATTCCCCTTGGATCTGTAACACCTTCCATTAAAAAGAAATTATCATAATCATAAGCTTAAGAATTTAAAGCAATAATTTTTAGATTTCTTTTTTCATCTATTTAAGAATAGTATCCATTTCTTCTTAATTAATAATATGCTTCTTAACTTAAATATTATTTCCACATTTCTGATGTTTCATCTCTTAACCATTAAGTTGACTCTCCAATCATATCATATTATTCTGCAGGATAAGCTTCATGGTTTCCATACATTGCATATACTTATGTTGTTGGCATAGTCTTTTATATTTCTTCAGTTATTATTCTTGTTGGAATAGTTTAATTTGATTAAAATTATTGCCAAACATCATGTGCGATACTATCTCCTGTCCAAATTATAAAATCAGGATCTATATTCTCTTTTGTGAATTATAATAAATTTTAAACTGTTCTAAATGGTAAATCACAACTAGCCAAAGTTCCCCAATATTAAGCTCCCTTATTAGGATCTTTTGGTGTTCCATATTCTTTTCTACAGCAAAGAGGAGCATTACAAAAAGCATCAGCTCCTTCAGAGTATTCTGTATCAATATGCAAATCTGTGTATTGTACTACTTTATAATCTTTATTATTTATAAGCAATGCTTCAGCTTATTCTTTCCATCTTTATTATTGTTCTTTTGTAAGTTTATCATGCATAACTTCATTTATATATTCTTTTAAAGTTTAAGGTTAATGTTCCACTTTACAAGCTCCTAATACTTAACAAGCATTTGATGGTTTTAAATAATTACTATAAATTATTCAATTTTCTTACTCAATAAAGTGCACAGCAAATTCATCATGATATTATTTACTTTTGCCAAGACAATGAGGCATATTATAGAAATGAGGACAAAGTGCTAGATACTCTTTTTTGATGATTGTCAATAAGGTGTTCCTTGAGAATTTTTAAACTTGTTTCATCATCAATTTACATGGTAAGCAAAATAAATGTAAACTAATAAAATAATGAAATTATATACTCATGTGGTAATTCAATACCTACATAATTAGCTATTTTTTTTATTATTTCTTTTTTGAGATGTTATTCTGGTGTTTATTATGTATATGTGATACAAATTAACACAAAGATTATCAATAAAGAATATTTCATTATTATATAAAATGATTCAATAAATTATAACATTTAGTCAAAACATTTACATTACATCATATTTTCCTTTAAATAAAATTTCATTATAAAATATTATATATAATATCCTATATAAATATCTTCATAGCTGTCTCCTAGAAAAGTTAATTTTGGAATAAATTATTCAGAAAATTATTATAATTCAACTTAGTTTTGTCTACTTTAGATTTCATAAGAATCAGAAAATAAATTAATAGCATCTTAATCCAAAAAAAAATCTTCTACATATACTTTTTCTTCCAAACCTTATTTAACATTTAAATCAGTTTAAATTTATTCTTATGATTCATTTTTAACTAATCTCTTAGTTTCCAAACTTTCAGATTCCTTTTCTCTTCTTGATTTTTACTCCTATTTAAATTTAACTTCTTATAATTTTGATAAACATCCATGTTCCTGTAATATTGTTTAAACTTTAAATTTGATATCATATTCAGAAAGAAATTTATCCATCCACATTTTTGATGCTTTAAATGTATCACTATTGAAGATTTCAAGGGCTTTAGATTTAATAAAGTCTCTAGTAATTTTCCTTCCTCCTTTCTTTGTTTCAGTCAAGATCCATTATTCAAGTTCTGCAACTGCTTATGGATTTACTCTTTTCCTTCCACATCCTTATTTTCTAACATAACCTTAATTAAACCATCTCTTTAAATTTCTAATTGTAGTATTATACTTTTAACTCTAGATTTCAAAGTTTTCATCTGAAGGATTAGCTGCTAATGCTTCAATAGCTTCTTTTTTTTCATCTGTGCTCAGAATATGATAATCAATATTTGATTTACGTAAATTAAAGAGAAAATATCATTATAATTGAAAATCTTATATGTTTAAATCTTTTAAATCATTTTTATATATATCAATCATTTTATTATCATTCAAAATAAGTTAGTTTGAGTAAATTAAAAAAAATATAGAAAAGAATTATTAAAATTGAAAAACTATAAGATTTTATAATTATTTTCTAAAAATTAATCAATATTTGTTCATCATGAATTTACAATTGTAGTCATTGTTCTTTTCAAATTTTTTATTATTATATCAGAAGGATTACCTCCAACTTCTTATTATTTTCCTCCATTTTTAATTTATTAGGATTAAAATTTAAGTTCTTTAAAATTTGATGAACCTAATACATCACTTATTCTTCTATATTTTTGCAAAGAATTTTATTATTTTTATGGTTATCCACATATTTAATTTATTTATTCTTTTATGTCTTATAAATGATCTTTTTTTATTTCATTTTTAAATGTAACTTTCAATTATTATTTGAGTGGTTTTTCAACATAATCATCTTCAGAACTTAACTTTTAAATTAGAATAGGATCTAATTCAACTACCAATAAATCACTCTTAATAAATCCTGAATAATTGTATCCTCCAAATATGTAAAGTCTTGAGTCAATACAAGAAGAAGTATGATTACATCTTCCTGCAACTTAATTACCTTTAATATCTACACTTATCCAAGTTTGATTTTTAATATCCAAAAGATGAAGATCATTGAGGAATCCATTAATATTTAGATCATCATTCTTTCCTCCATAAATAACAAGCAATTAATATTTATCCACATAATTCATTGAATGTTAACAACGACCAACTATAAATTAAAATAAATGAGATACTTGGAGACATTCCCTTTGTTTAAACTTATTCAAGTCCTACAGGTTTAGTTGTTGTATCAATTCTTATTAAACCATCTAAGTAATGTCCATTTTTATCAAAACCACCAAATATATAGACACCTTGATTACTTAATTTACTATCATTATCACTTTTATAAAGTTCAATTTGATGACTAAAATAGACAGCAGCAGATTTATGAAAGGCAACTCCATCAAGAAAACAACTGTTCTGCTCAGTTATAACTTAACTCCATCTTTAAGTAATTAAATCAAAAGCAATAATATCTCTAAGATATTAACCTTTAATATCAATTCCTCCATGAACAATCATACTCCTTCCAATTACTTCTGCAATATGAGATTTTCTTGGAGGAATGATACCTGTTTACTTAAAAACCTTAAGTTCATTAGAGACTAATTAATTTAGAGGATAAATTTACTTAAATTAATAATCCTAATATCACATGTAATTTCACTAAATATTCTTTTATTATTAGGTATTTAATGAACTTCTCCACCAAAAATGACCATAAAGTTTTTATATAGTGCAGCTGAATGATTACTTCTGAAACCGTTTTATTGTTAATCATCTAGTTTTATCTATTACCATTTGTAAATTTCTAAGATATTTAATGATTACACTTTTATCAACAGAAGCACAACAAAAGTCTTCATTTTACTTAGCTCCTGCTCCACCATACAAATATAAGTGATGATTGTAAGAGAGCATAGTGCTGCCATTTCTTGAAGATGGTTACCATTGAATTTATACATCCTTATATATGTAAACATTTTGCCTTTTAATTTTAATTTCGTTTATTTATTCACTGAGTTTAATTTGCATTTCTTAAGCATCTTTATTGTTATTATTTTGATCATTTATTTTACTAATTCTTATTTGTCTTCTTATAGATTCCATTCTTTACAAATCTTAATATTATAAAGATGGATAAGATTTGATATCAGGACCTTTCGATTTAATTTTTTTAAAATATTTCTTTACTTCTTCAATAGATGATTCTTCCTATTTTTTATACTGTTCCTTTATTTTTCTAAATGTATCTCTATTATGAATCATTTACATTTTTCTTGATGTATAATATTTTGGTTAATCTAAAAGATCTTCTGTAAATAATGAATGACCATAATTATTCCATATTAATTTAGACTATAGGAATGATCTTTTTAGTTCACTCACAGCACCTTAATTAAGTTCTTTAAATCTCATAAAGGATGTTTTCTCACAATTAGGTAATTGTTATAACAGTTCTATATTGCTATCAAAGGCTACTTTTTGAAATTATTCTAATGGCAATGGACTAAGTTTAGTGTTTGCCTATTTGAATTTTTTCAGAAGTAAACCAATATCAACTTTCTCACTTGAATTTGTATTCAAGTTATTATTACTATTCATAAAAATATAATTGCATTTAATTTAATCTATGATTCCTTATTATATAAAATAAATTATGCAAAATTACCTTTTAATTAATGAATCGAATGCTAAAGAATAAGTAAAATTCAATAACAATCAAGTCAAAACCGATTGCAGTCTAAAATAAATTAGCAAATGAAACCATTTCCAAAAAAGACTGTCTCATATAATTGTTAATCTTAGTATTATATATATCATTTAAAATGAATACTTTCTAAAATATAATTTATCTTAAAACTATTGAATTAGCTGTTTTTTATACTGATATCTTTCTTAATGAAAAAAAGATATCAAGAAAAAAAATTTATCTTTTAGCATTAGTGCTTTCAATAAAGCTGAGAAAGTTGATTAATCTAATATTAATTTTAGTTTAATTAAAAAGTAATTAAAAAATAAACAAAAATATATGAATCTAATTTGAATAGGAATATTTTAAAATTATGAATATGATCAAAACGAATTAGATTTGATTTAAATCTATGCAATTTTAATAGAATTTTATTACATATTCTGATTATGCAGACCTTATAGAGCTAAATCTTTAAGATGAAAAAATCAAGACTTATTTTCTATTCATTTTAGTAGGTATTTAAAAAAAAAATAGATTTTTTAATTCATAAATATTAAATATTAGCTTTGGCATAATGTAGATATCTAATTAGAATATTCATTAATATTGTAACCTAATATCTATTAAATATCAAAAGTAATATTAGAGGTTTTTAATTAAATTATATATTGAATTACTTTGTAATTATTTGAAATCTTAATAAAATTCCAAAAAGATACTAGAATAATAAAAATAGTTAAACATTTGATTTAAATCAAATAATATCAAAATTAAGTTCAATATTTGTGTCTCAATTATGATTTTAATTATTTTCTTATAGCTTTTCTTTTCATAATTCTTTTTTTTTTTTAATTAGTGTCCTTATTTTTCATCCTCTACTTAATACACTTTCTCTTCTTAAATTAATCTATATTTATGTGTAATAATATTCATAATTTTTGATATTCAATCTAAGAGTATATACCATTTTTAATTACAATGATATATCAAAATTTAATTAAACTATAAGAAAATTAATATCAATTGGGACAATTTTTAGTATTCTTTTTCTTCAAAAAATATGAACTTTTATAGAGTCTTATTTGGTATTTAAAAATTTATTATTTATTTAATTAATAATAATAATTTTAAGACTTAGGTCTCTCTTTGATGGATCCTAAATTTAATGCTTAAGATACTTTTCAATGTTAATAATGCAAAATTTATGTAAATAAATCTTCCCAATAAGTTCATGAGGCTAGTTGTTAATCAATTTTTAAAGTATGCTTATTATAAATAATATATTAGAACTCTTAAGGAATAATTAATAACAAGGATGTTAAACCTTTTGTTCCAAATATTCACTAAAATTAATCAAAAGATCAAAATAATGGCTTCAAATAGATTCCTCTTACATAAATTCCTTAAATAATACCTTAATAAAATAATACAGGAATACAAAATTTCCAAAAAATATAAGCATAATAGTTTCCCAAGGCACCTGTTTAAAATTTCTAATTTTAAGATAACTAAAAAATTAGAAATTAACCAAATTAACTCTAATTTAATCAACCTGACTTAAATTCAGATGGCTAATGTTAAGGAATTAGATTCTTTCCTAAAGAAAAACCAATTTAAAATTTGGAAACCAATAACTAAAAATTACCTTAATAAATATTTCCATAGGTACCCTTAACACTTTAAAAAAATTAAGTTTAATAGTAAATTCTATTACCATAATAATAATAAAATTCCAATATTTTTTAGATCAACTCTGAAATAGGACGAAATCAGAATCAAACCAAATTTCAAAACTAACAAGGAAATTTTGGTGCCTTTCAAAATTAAAAATAGATTTAAGAATAATCAAAAATATTCATAACTTAAGAATAATAAAATAAAGTGAATATAAATTAATAATAAAGTGCTCCAAATTTTAGAAAAATAGATACTTTACAATAAAAACAAATCAAAGTTAATCCTCCTATTTAAAATAATAATATATTTTAGAATAAAAATTTTTAATAGTTCTAACCTTAATAATTCTAGTAATAATAACATAACATTTATAATAGTTAAAGCATCATTTAATCTCCTCAATTCCAAAATTTTAATTAATAATAAAATAATCGTTTGAATGGAGATAATTAAATTATTAGTCATTCCCAACCAATTTAAGGATAACCATATATACCTCTTTAATTTCCAGCTCCTTAGATACCATAAAATATTTAACCACCTCCTTCTATTTAATCAATTTTTACAAGATTTTCAAATCCATATGATAGTGATGATGATGATGATGATGATGATGATAATAATGAATACCATTCATTAAATTTTTTAAATAGAGGTTTACCTAATTTTGATGTAAACAAATAGTATACAGATAGTGATGTAAATAGAATGAATTAAGAATAATTTTACTAATATTTTTCAAGTTTATATGTCAATGAAAATCATGGATATTCAGAAGATTAGATTAATTAAAAAATATGTAAGAACTTTTCAATGAAATTTGATGATATTAGAATTGATATATGTGTAATATGTTAAGAAGAATTTACTTAAGAAACATTTACTACTGATAAACAGTTACCATGTTCCCATTTATTTCATGAAAATTGCCTAATAGGATGGTTAAAAAGATCCAAATAGTGTCCAATCTGTAAAACAGAAATAGAACTATGAATTTATCATTATGAAATTTAATCCATTTCAATACCTTTATTTATTTTTCATAAAGAATTTTATTAAAATTATATATTGCTATCTATATATAAAATGAAAAAAATAAATATCTATTTCAAATGGAATAATGTAAATTAATTAAAAGAACTATAGTTAATTGGGTTTAAATATAATTTGTTATATTATTATAGGTAATTAAAAGAAAATTCTGCATTTAAGTTTTATATATTTGCCAAATAATAATATTGTTAATTATTTTAATAGTGAAAGAATTATGGATCCCATTTAAAATAAACAAAATATAGACGATTCAGAGGGCGAGGAAATAATATAGGAAGGAGAAGTAGATGAAAACTTCGAATAAAGAGTTTAAAAGCTATTATATGAAACTGACAATGGATTAAACTTATATAATAAACCTGTGATGCCTTTGATTTATTATGAATTTAATGAAGAAATTAAATAATAGGCAGAATAAGTTATAAATTAAGACACAACTATCATTCCTTAAGATAAATATGAAAAATATGAAAAAGAAGCATCAAAAATATGGGATAAATTTTATAGGCATCATTAAAATAATTTCTTTAAAGATAGACACTATTTAGAAAGAGAAATACCTGAATTAAATCAATTTAAAGAAAGCCATAAAATAGATGAAACAAAATTATATGTTATTTGTGAAATGGGATGTGGAGTTGGTAATGCTTTATTTCCTTTAAGAAAAAATTATACATTCTTCAAAAAAGTTTATGGCTTTGATTTCAGTAAAAGAGCTATTGATGTTTTGAAAGCTAATGAATTATATGATGAAAATGTATATTAAGCTTGCGTTTGCGATTTAGTTTTAGATCAATTACCAGATTTTGAAAGACCTGATTTAGGAACTTTAATATTTGTTCTTTCTGCAATATCTCCAGAAAATCATTTAATGGTAGTTAGGAAAATATTTGAATGGATGAAACCAGGAAGTGTTCTATATTTTAGAGATTATGGTTAATATGATTTTGGATAAATAAATTTATCTAAGAAAAAGAATAGAAAATTAAAAGATAATTTTTATGTTAAGCATGATGGTGTTAGGGTTTATTATTTTAGTAATTAAGTAAGTAATTTATAATATAGTAGGAAGTGACATCATTATTTACGACTGCTGGATTTAAATAATTAGATGTTAAAGCTCATTATAGATATATAGAAAATAGAAAAACAAAAGTTAAGATGTATAGAGTTTGGGTTCAAGGTAGATTTTTAAAAGAATGATTTAAATTGTAATTTATTTATTTATTTAATTCATTTTGTTATATCAAATAATTTTAATAGATTATTAAGTTCGAAATTTAAATACTTGTTGTATTTATTGTAATACATCTATTGAAGATAATCTGAATGTTTAGAATTCCATGGAATATCTTATGATACCATACATTCATTAATATTTTCTAAATTAAGTGTACTCAAAGATTATTTAACACAAAAGTCTATTAGATTACGTTTAATGCTAGTTTCGACTAGATCTTTTATATTTTAGTCAAAATTTAATTTGTAATTTTGCATAAGGTTTCTAAAGACACTCTTAACTTTAGCTTTAGGAGCTTTCAAGTCAGGATCATAGACAAAATCTCTTGAAGTAAATTTATTAATAAATACTTATCTGTATAATCTTCAATTAAATATCTAGCAAGTAAAGTACTATTTTTAAGATTAAATGGATCTAATCTTAATTATTTCTCTAAATCATTAATAGTTATTTCATCTTCTGCTGAAAGTAAGATCTAAATATAAATATAATCATTTACTATTTCTGCATCTTAAAGGGTGATTCTTTTTTTTCTTAAAGACAATTTTAATTCTAAAATGGTTTATTCAATTTATTATTTTTTGACTTACTTAACAACTATATTGTCTCCATGATGAGGAGATATCAATGGAGTTAAAAGAACTTAAGTAGCGGATTAAAAAAGTTAATCCTCTCCATAAATTAAAGTTTAGGTTTAAAGTTTCTTTTTAGCAAATTATTATAAATATCTAAATTAGTATATTAGATTACTTATCAATTTGTTTTTGTTTTTCTAATAATATATTATAATCAATTTAAAGTTTATCATATTTGTCATTAATTTATTTTTTTTCAGCTTCTAAAAGTTATATTTTTTATTAAGAATCATAACTTAATTCGGTTAAGGCGTTTTAGTTTTCTTAAATAATTTATTAATATTAATTAAGTCTTGTTTATAAATGCTATATTTCATCCATTTTCAATTATAACTCATCAACCAAAAGATTTTCATTCTTACTATGATGTTTCATCATATTCATTTCTGATAATGGATCTCTATCTCTATATCTCTATATTTATTGATCTTTGAATTTCATAACTTACAATAATTGATTATGTTTGGCTTTAACTTAAATATAATCAACCCTAATTTTTTCTAATTCACTTATATATTATTTTTAAGACTCAATCTTATTTAATAAATTAATATTGTCTTGAACTATTTAATTTTATTCACCTTCAAATTTTTATAAAATCTAATATTTTAAAAGCTCTTTTTTTAGATCTTGAATCTACTTTTTTAAATCTTGTTAAGCTTTAAATTAGGTATTTTCTTTAAGCATTGATATTTCTTGATCTTTTTATTTGATTCTTATTAAACTCTATTAAATGACTTTTCGTTAATCATTCTCATCCATCATATCTACCTCTTTTCCAAATTATTACAATATATTTTATAAGGATTAGTTTTCTATTTGTAATTGTTTTGTTTTTAATTTTTCTAGATGTAATTACTCATAAAGAGTTTCTTTATCAATGCTGATATTTTTAGGAATGATAACTTTTCTATTTCTACATGAATTAGAATCATTCATTGAATAAAGAGTCTTAATTCTTCTACTTGGCTCATTTTTAATGGGATGTTAAAAATAATGATTTGCTATATGTTAACTCATAATTAATAATTTTAAGTTTAGTTTTAATAATATCTCATTAAAATTAACAAAAAACTTATTTTTCTAATTAAATCAAATTACTAAATGAAGGTTATTAATGAAATAGAAAAATAAGATATAGAATTTTATCCATATTATATTAATAAAGTAGTTATTCAAAGATTTTTTGATAAGATTACTAATGAATATTAATTTTTAATTTATTTAACTATGAAAAAGAAATAAACAAAAAAGAAAATACAATAGAAATAAAAATTAAAAACTTAATTTAATTCAAAGGAATTGATAAAATTATTGGATGATTAACATAAAAGAGGATAATATAAAGATTTCTCATTATATGGTTTAAGCTTTGCTAAAATTCCAATAATAAACTTTACACCTGAAATTAATAAATACCTTTAAAAATATCCAAATGAAAGTATAATATTGATATAATCTGAATAGCTTATATAGGATTTACTAAATGCCATTTAGATAATTTAGAAGGATTGGAATTTTAAGGAGACAAAGTATTATCAATAAAAATGAACTACAATAATCTTAAAGGGGATAGTTTATTAAGAATTTCAAAATTATTTCCAAATATTACTTATCTAGATCTAAGTCACAATTAAATAACGAAGATTGATGTAATAATAAAACTATCAAATAGGATTTAAAACATTTAAATAATTTTAAGAAATTAGAGCATCTAGATATGCGTTTCAATCCAGTCAAAAGATACAAAGACTATAAAAAGATTGTTTTTGAATAGATTCCTTAATTATAAAATTTAGATGATGATTAAGAGATTGATGATTCATTAGACAATTCTAGTAGAGATAATTGGGTATTCCTTATTTTAATAATTTAGTTATCTAGTCAAGATGAAAGTGAGGCTAGTTTAAATGAATCAAGTGATTATGTTAAGATTAAAAAGAAAGTAAAAAAATGATTTATTATTCATTTTTATTCAAATAAATCAATTTTATTTTTAAATTAAATGGAAAAACTCTAAAAGGAAATGCATAATTAGTATTAGTATTTAATTTTAGAATTAAATCGATTAAATACTAAATTAGTGAGAATCGAAGAATAATAAGAGTTAAGTAAATCACAACAATCAGTTCCCATTTAAAATAAAGAAAATAATTACGATTTTATTGTAAGAATGACAACTACTAGTCATAATTCCGTAGCATCGAAATGATTTAAGAAAGATACAATCATCTGAGTAGCCAATTCGAAAAGTTAAAACATTAGATGGATCAAAAAGTATGCTTAGATGACTTTGTTAAGTATACATCTAAAATTGCATCTGAATATGCTACCTTATAGATGTTAGATTTTAGCATTTAATCAATTGAAACGAGAATGCTCTTCTATTCGTCTGATAATTAAATGAAAGGTAGTTTAATTACATCTAGAGTAAAATAGTAAAACAAATAAACTTAAGTTTATGAATACTAACATACAATGGAATAGTAATTAGAAGAGAGACTTAATAGATTTAGAGAATTAATAACATCTTAAGTTAGATAGTTTTGTGATTAAGTTTAAGCTTAAGATATTAGTAAACCATTTAGAGAATAAATTTCAAATAATGTAAATAATCTTCATGAAAAATTGCATTAATTAGAATTATTTTAAATCGAGATCTAAAGACATTTGGAAGCAAGAGAGTTTGAAAAACTCATAAAAAAATATACTGAAGTAGAATAGAGATTGAATTTATTAGAAAATCATTCAAAAGGTTTAACTAATTTAATTCAAGTTCTAAATCAGTAAAAAAAAATAGATGAATAAGAATAAAAGAAAAAAAAGAAAGAGAAAAAAATGGAGGACCATTTAAATTAATATTTAACAATTGAAGATTTTTAGAAGTATTAATAATATATTAAAGAACATTATTTTACTTAAGTTTAAGGTAATATATAATTTAAAAAAAAGGGGCTTAATTTTTATAAAGAGTTAATGAAACTGAAGATAACATTAAGAATTTGTTTAATAAAGATATTTATGATAAATTATCATTAGAAATAACTGATATTGATGAAAAATTTGGTATTGTGTTAGAATCTCTATAAAATAAATTAAATTAATAGATACAAAATTAAGCAACTAAACTTAATACATTTGAAATGTCATTAGGATCATTTATGAGTAAATCAGAAGTAATTTAAATGCTTGATAATCCATAAGCTATGATGAAAATGAATTCAGCTGTTTAAAATATATAAGAAAAATTTAAAGAACTTTATTCAAAATAAATTGATATTTTAGAATCCTCATTTAAATTTACAATTAGTAATATATAAGCTGCAAATATTACAGAAAATGATAAATTAAATCAGAATGCATTATTATTAAAAAAGTGTGAATAAATAAAGATAACTTTATAAGAATATTTTGGATAAAATAATTAACAAAATTATTCTTAAAAGAAGAAATAAGAATTATATTAGTAATAATCCTAACAATTTAAAAATTAGAATAGATTAGAAAGCAAATTTTAGAATAGACCTTTATCAGTTGGTAGTAGAAATACAAAATTAAGAAGATAATCAGCAACTCCAAAAGTAATATCTGCATCTTTTTCAGGAAGTTCAGCAGAACCATAATTTTTTTAAAAGGTTTTGCAGAATCCTCTTGTTTAAAAAATAAAGAAATGATTTATTGTTAATTATAAAAAATAATAAATCACTTTAAGTTTTTTCTCTTATTGTAGTCATCATCATCTGTTATTAATTCAAATCTACATACAGGACAACTATTATGTTATTTTAACCAAGGGATTAAACAATCTGGATGGAAATGATGTTGACAAGGCATTTATAAAGCTTATTAAGATTAATATTCCTCTTAACAAACAGTACAACATTCAGATTATAAATTAATTTTTTGGAGTGAATCAATTGCTGATTATGATGCAGGAGGTGATCTCAATAAAATAAAATAATACCCATATCTATTTGGATCATTACGACTAATAAAATCAATTAATTGTTCTAAAGATTATCCAGGTTAAAATTGAGTGTTTGGAAACATTAATTACAGTAGATTATCAAATACATTTGATCTTTATTGAAATCTAATTGGGATTTAATTTCTAGTAATGTGAATAATAGTTTAGGGTTGTTGTCTTTATTAATTTTACTATTGTCTTGATGATTAATTTTCTCCATAAGGAATAAAACCTCTAGGATCATTTGTAGGGTCAATAATTTCACAAAATTCCTATTAACAAAATACACATTTCATAAGATCTGATGTAACTTATTAGGATTCAAATTATTTTTTGCAAATATGACACCAACATTAATTAATGACTTATTACATAATTAATATATTGATATATATTTAATATCAATTGGTAATTTTGCCTTAGACATCTCTCTTATATTATTAATTTTGAGATCCAACCTGGCTGGAATAGATTCTGTAAACATCATCAAAAGTGTTTAATTCTTCATTCAAAGTTTCACTTACAGATTTAAAATGAGCTTCAGCTGAGTTCAAGTCCTAAATATTAAAAATTAATAATGACTTCATTGGCTAAATCAATAGAGTTTTAGATTTTCTTTAATCTATCTTTGCAGGCAGCAGTAGCTTATAGAATAGTGATTAATTGATTTTACAATTTTTCCTATTGATAAATTTATAATATATTACAAGATTGATATCTTCAGCAATAAGATGACCTTTAAATGTTTCATTTTCCTTTATAATCAAACCTTTGAAATCACTATACCCCATTGCAGAAGTAACTTAATTGTCTTATTTTTATGAAAATGATCCTCTGACTTCTGTTTCTAGGATGTCAAGGAAATTAAGTAACTCTTATTAAGCTACTGTAAATTTACTATAATCTTTTTAAGATCCTGATTCTGCAGGGGCCTTTTGTCCCTTCTCAATAATTTTATTGAATGCAGCAGCTTCCTTAGCTAATTATTCATTTGTAGCTTATTCAGCTGCTTCAAAGGGATGTTCTGGAACAGGAGCATCAGATTCTCCAGTTTCTTAATGCTATTCAATTTCATGATCTTAAGCTTCTGTTTGTGTATCAGTTGTTTCTTCAGTTGTTTCTTAATTTGTCTAATCAACTTCTTAAGTTTCCTATTAGTTGTCATCAGTAATGACTTCTGCATCTTCATATACATGAGGAGGTTCATTGTCATCAGAAGTGATTTCTGGTTCATCTTAATCATCAGCTAAATATGATTTGAGTTGAATAAATTAAGCAGATTATAATAATGTTGGTAAGTCAGTCTAAGTGTTTATTGTAATGATATACTTCTTTGGCATTTTTAACAGCTCTTCTAAGGAAAGCAATTAAATTTAAAGTTTTCTTGCTATTTTTAATATCATTAATAAAGTTGGAATTAGATTCGCATCTATTGATATCAAGTCTTGATAGTCTCTCATTATTTTCTTTGATTCTTTTTTCTAACCAACTTATATAGCTTAAAGTAATTCTAATATCTCTTTCTTTGTTAGCCCATTCTTGATCTCTTCGATTACATTCTCCTCTTTAAGTTGAAGCAGATCTCATTAAATCATTTACAATATCTTATTTTGACTTATAGTTTGCATAATATTAATACATATTTAGTGGCAGACCAATCAGACTCTAATTGTTCTAATTATTTTGAAGTTCCATTTTTCAAATCTGCTAACATTTTTAATACAACATCTATTTCATTGGATTAAGAGTAGGTTGTAATTAATAACAATGCTATAATTGCAAATGTCTTCATGTTAATATTAATAATTTATAAATAAAAACGGTATAAACTTATTATGAAATAAAGAGATTCAGTGACTTAGTATTCATATTAACTAATTTAGAGAGATATCTAAATTATAATTTAATTCTTATATGAGTTTAGAAGTTGAATAGTCATGATCATTCTTAAATATTATAAATTAATTTTATTATATATTATTGTTAATGGGTGTATGTGGAGGAAAAGGATCTAAAAATAAAGATAATCCATAAAAGGAGCAAGATTAAAAATAATAAGACACTCATCCTAAAAGTATAGATACTAGATAGAATAATGATAAAAAAATGTTTACATCTTAAAAAACTTAATTCAAAGTTAATCCTTCTATTTTTGTAACATTAAAGAAAGGAGATATTTTAAACTACTATAGAATTGATTAAACATTAGGAGAAGGTATTGCAGAGTTTTCAAATCTTATCAAGGTTCATATGGGAAAGTGAGTTTAGTGACATAAAAGGTAACTGGATTACCAAGAGCTATGAAATAAATCAAAAAGGAAAAAATTGAACAAAGAGATAACATGATTTAAGAAGTTTCCATCCTAAAAGAATTAGATCATCCTAATATTGTTAGTGTTTATGAATTATATGAAGATGAATAATATGTTTACATCATTACAGAGTAAACATTGAAATATCATCAGGCAAAAGATATCTAAGTGGAGGAGAATTATTTGAAAAAATAAATGAAATAGATCACTTTGATGAAACTATTGCAGCAGGCTATATGAGAAAAATCTTGGAAGCTGTTAATTATTGTCATAATAAAAATGTAGTACATCGGTATTTGTTTTCTATTTTATAATAGTGATCTTAAACCAGAGAATATTATATTTGAATCAAGAAAGACTAATTCTAGTTTGAAAATTATTGATTTTGGAACAGCCAAAGAATTATTAGACAGTACAAAATTATCATAAAGAATTGGAACTGTAATTAATTAATTAATATTTTGAATAGCCTTATTATATAGCACCTGAAGTGATTAGTAAATAATATGATAAAAAATGCGATGTTTGGTCTTGTGGAGTTATTCTATTCATTATGTTATGTGGATATCCTCCATTTAATGGATAATCTTAATAAGAATTATATTAAAGAATTTAAGCAGGAGTATACTCTTTTGATGGTAATATTCCTATTAGAAATATTATCATAGAACCTGAATGGAATGAGATTTCTGGAGATGCTAAAGATTTGATTAAGAAAATGTTAGTGACTGATCCAGAAAAAAGAATTTCAGCTTAAGATGCATTATAACATGAATGGATTAAGATGACATAAAAAGAGAAAAAAATTAATCATAAATCACTTGAGAATTTAGCTAGATTTCATGTAATTTTTATATTTTATTAATTATGATATTAGAGTCAAAGTAAATTAAAAGTAGCAATTATGTAACTGATTACTACTTAAGTTATGACTAATTAAGAAAAGAAAAAACTATAAAAATAATTTAAGAAAATTGATGTTAATCATGATGGTACATTAAGTAGAGAAGAATTACTCTAATGTTATCGAGAAATCTATAATGATGAACTTAAATGTTAATAAATTGTTGATCATCTATTCGAATAAGCAGATGTCAATGGATCTAATTAAATTGACTATACAGAATTTGTAATTGCTTTTGCTAAAAAAGAATAAATTATGGCATAAAATAAATTAGAAAAAGCCTTTAAATTATTTGATAAAGATGGAAATGGACAAATTAGTAAATAAGAACTTTAAGATATTATGGGTGGAGTATAATTAAGTGATAATTAATGGAGTAATGTATTTGGAGAACTTGATTTAAATGGTGATGGTGTTGTAACACTATAAGAATTTACTGAAATGCTCATTAAAGGAGCAAATGAATAAGAATGATAAACAGTTTATATCCTATTTTATAAATTTTTTCATCAATAAAACTAGAGCTCCTATTTTTAAATAATTATTCAACTATCAATTTTACTTATATTATACTAATACTGAACTTTTATATTTCTAGTTGTACTAGGATAAATTCTATTTTCAAAATATTTTTAGGAACCATTAAAATTAGTTTCAATTTATAAACCTGGACGTGACTAATGTTTTTGAATGCTTACATAATTACCTTTCTAATTAACTCAAAATTTACATTCATTTTTAATAGAATTCTTATCTATTGTATTTGTTTATTAGTATGAACTTTTAATTCTTTAAATTTTTGATGTTTATTAAAATAAATTATTTTAATCTTCTATATCATGGTTATCTTTTTTGTGATAACTCATTCTTCTCTCTTATAATGTTTAATAATCCATCAATTTCTTTTATTATTATTAGTTTTTTGTATCAATATATTTTTTCCTTATTTTTTAGTATTCATCAGATTACTATTTTTTTTCAATTTAATGACTGTTTTTTTGATTAGAATTATTAAAAATTATAGGATTCCTTATTTATTCTATATTTATCTCCTATTTATTTTTGCTTACTCCTTCATTTTTTAGATCCTTTTATTAGACTATTAATTCTTCATTGTATTATAATAATTATTTAATAAATCCTTCATTAGGATAGACTTACCAACGTTTTCGCTATAATTATTATAAGGCTTCTTTTGAACTAATACTATGTTTTTTCATTAAATAAGCAGCCACAATTGTAGCACTTCTAGATATTCCAGCCATACAATGAACAAGTACATTACCTACTGATCTACCTTTTTCAATGAAATCAAAACAAATTTCAAAATGTCTAGATATATTAGCATTCTCATTATCATCTAAAATTATATGTTAATAATATCTCATAGATTAACTAATTTAAATTGGAATTTTAGATGTGCATATAGTGATTATAGACTTAATTTTTAATTTTTTCAATAATTCAAAGTCACCTTTAAATAAATGTAATTAATACATGCACTCTCAATATTTCCTAAATATAATGATCCAATATTTCCACAATCTAAAATACAAGTTATATCATCCATTTATTTCTTATAACTTTCAATTAATTTCTATTTCATTAGAGAAGACTAAAACATTATAAATATTCAACCAACCAATCCAAAAATTTAAAATTAAATAATAATTAGCTTATAAAATAACGAATAAGTGTTATAAAAGTGAATCTTTTATTTTAATACAACATAGATGGTTATAGATTTAATGATTGGTATAATAAAGGTAAATTCATATCATTTGATAATATTAAATTGAATTTCTTATTGAAATAGTATTAAATAATGGAATTATATCGAACAAACTTTATTGAACATTCTTATTTATTGAATACATAATTGATATAATTAATTTATGCATTTTAGATCTTCATCTTAAGGTTCTAGTCCACAGATTGAAATTCTATAATCAGAACGTACATTACTTACAACTCCTGTGACTTAGAGTACATTGTTTAAAACATTTACAGAAATGGCAAAAGCGTACGATAAAAAAGTAGGTTTAGAAAAGCATTTTCAAACTCAATTTAGAGAATTCCATCTCCTCGAGCTAGATTAACGCTATAACTAACTCACAATAAAGCACAACGTGATTAAATTATATCTTAATTGACTGAAAGACATTAAGAAGCTATTGGTAATGCTCTAATAAATGGGAATTAAAAAAAATAAAAAATTCGTATTGTATAAAAATAAAAAAGAAGAGATCATTCACCTAAAAAACTTGTAAACTTAAAGGAAGGAGCAAAAGGTATTTATTATGTAATAAAAATAGTTTATTAAATGCCTAATTTAGAATTACCTACATTTGAAGCAGAAATTGATCATCCTTCTTAATTAACATTTTATTGTGATGTCTAAGAATTTTATAGGTGTGTTAAAACTTTTAGACCATCATTTACTGAAAGTGGAACCATGATATTTTATGGAGACTCATTATATTTATATGGTGGTATAGCAGGTGATGGAATAAGAGATGAAATGCTTCGGTATGATTTAAGTAAAAATATCATGTAATTAGGATAATAGGAATGGTATATGGTTGAAGGTTTTGGTGAAAAGCCAAAAAATGGTAGAGCTGCTCATACATTTATATCATTGAGAAACCATTTCATATTATTTGGAGGAGCTTGCAAATTTAATGTAAAATTAAAGATTAGAGAATGTTTTAATACAATTTATGATTATAATATAACTACTAAATTTTGGGAGAAAATAAATACATAAGGAGATTATATAGAACCACGTAGACATCATAAAGCATGTGTCTATGGATGGAAATGGATGTTAATTTATGGTGGAATTAATAGCAATGAATAAGTATTAAGTGATACAGCTTTATACAATATAGAAAAGATGATTTGGAAATAATGGGATGTCAAATCATCACCAATATGTTGTCATTCTATAATCAATATATCATAATCAATCAAATTTAATGATAATACAACTGATCTAATCCCAGCAGAAATAATATATTCCTTTGGAGGAAAAGACTAAACAGGAAACTCTACTAATTTCATTAAGAAACTTTTATTTTATCCTAATACTACAACTGCCATAGCTTGGGAAACTATTTAAGCAGGAGGCAAACCTCCACTGCCTTGTCATAATCATACTATGGAGTACATTAAGAAAATTTAAGGAATAATCATTTTAGGTGGATAAAGAGATGATTTAATTAATGGATCTTTAGAATCAAATTAATGTTATATTTTCTATCCTCATTTGAGTCTGTGGTAAGAAGTGTAAATGGAAGGTAATAATCTTCCAAGATGTGCCCACACATCTGTATTATTAAGTTCCAAAATTGCAGTTTTTGGGGGCATTGGCAATGGAAGATATTTAGAACCATTGATAAATTATATAGAAACTGATTAGACATAAGTTTCATCTAAAATTACCAAAGAACAATTTAATAAAAGATAAACTTAATATTTATTGATAAAATAAAAATCAAGTCTAGATAGGATTGAATCTTTAAATTTCACTCCAAAATAGGTTCCATCTTTTCATAATGATAATTACAAAGGTTTGGGATTTAAGATACATACAAAAAAATTCTCAAGTTATTCAACAAAATCATTTCAACCCCCAAAAAAATAAGCTTAAATTAGATATGATATTTTTATAGGTTTAGTGAGTAGAGTAATTGAAGAAAATTCAGATATATTAAATAACTTTGGTAAATTTATGAGAAAATTATCAATATAATGAATATAAACTTTAAGTTGTTATTATTAGAGTTTTTAATAAACCTAAAAATCATTTTTCAATAAAATATCCATAATCAAGATTTTTAGCATTATTTATTTATTTTTAAATATTTTTTTAATATTTTCTGTATATAAAAATTGATTAAAAATAGTTTAATTGCATTTTGAAATCATGGACATTAATTCTTCCATTTTAATAACTTTAAGAAGACACCAATATTTTGTTTAGTATTGATGGATTATGTTAAACTGAAATTGGAAATTTACTATCTTAGATATTTGTTATGATGATGGTCATATTATTTGTTAAAGAATATCCACTTATGAAAAGAATTAAGAATTATAGAAATTCTGCTATATTGATTAATAAACTTAATCAGTTAATGGTATAACATTTAATAGAATGCCCTGCCTTTTTATATGAGATAAATGTTTAATAACCTCAAATTTATCTAATCTTAATAGTATTTTTAAAGGTAGTCTCATTTATTGAATAATATACAAATGAAGTTTGTAAATGAATTAACTTTGTTAACAAAAAATCAACTTAATTAATTTAGGATTTATTTCCTATGTTTTCCTTTATAAATGATCCGTCAATAAATAACTGTGCTCAAAAAGATTACAATCAAAAGTGTAAAATTTTCAATCAGCACCAAAGAAATCTGGTATTGTTTAATCAGAAATATGAAATAGTTATATTCACTTGTAACTTATAATAAAGATACAACTAAAATACAATTATTTGATTCCATAAGACTTTTGATAACAAGAAATAAATAGAATACAGAAAAATTTTGGAAATATAAATATTTCACTCATATTCTTTTAATTTATGAGATGGTTCCCAGTGGTTGCAGAATATAAGATTATTATTAATACTATTAATCTTATTTACTTATATAAATATTTAAATACACTTAAAATACTATTAGATAATAAGAAGGGGAATAAAATAAATAAACAATTTGGTTATTATAATAATAAATGAAACCAGAAAATAAAAAACTTAAATAATTGGCAATGATACATATTTATTTACATTCATTTACGTTAAGGAGATGACATCAAAGATCGACTTGATTTAAATTTACTATTAGTTAAAATTGGTCTAATTGCAATAGGTCTTTTCTTTTCTACTTTTTAACAATCTTTATCATTCTCTTCTGCATCTGCAAGATCAAGCAAACTACGTCTAGCTAATACAGTGTTATCAGTTTCAATTTTATTTAACGAGGGGTGCTTTTAAATGATCAGGTCTAAGATTCTACATACATACACTTGCATACCTTTCAATTTCCCTTTTTATTTTGTGTCAATCTATCTTTATTGATGCATCATATACACTGTATAGAATAGTTTTCCTTAAATTGTATCAAATTTATGCATCAGGGTTAATAATAATATCAATTAATATTTATATCTTAACTTTTATATTTTAACAATTAATAACATTTATCCAATATTCTAGTCTATGTTTTAAATACTTATATTTTAAAAAATAAAAATTGAGAGCATTATTATGAAATTCATAAATAATAATTATATAATTTCTTATTAATACACAAAAGGGTATGTTAAATAACTTAAGCTATAGAATAAAATTAATAATAATAAAAAAGAATTTATAGAAATCATTAAAATCTATAATTGTAATTGAATAATAGGAATAATGAATGAATAAAATTTAAAAGAAGAAAAATAAAAATTTAGATTTCATATGAAATATAAATATTTAATGTTAACATAAAATTAAGAAAGGGAGGAATTAAATTGTATTTTAGAAAATAGTATTTGATTAAAATTGATTTATTATAATAAAAATGTAATATTAGCTTAACATTATTGATATTGATGGATTTGAGAATAAATGGTATTATAAATTGAGAATTACAAACAATTAAAATAGTTGTTATCGTGATGTACGTGTACGATTTTAAGATTTGAATCAAATGCATAGAAATTTATCAAATGACAATTATAATTCACATGTAAAAAGAGAATTTGTATTTTTGTTTATAGTTACCATAATTTCCTGAGAAATCATTTTTTATTTCATTGTTTTAGAATAATGAGAGTAGAGAAGAATTATTGGAAAACAAAGAGTCTATTTAAAACTATTTATCAGGGATCAACAAGTACAAAAAATTGTTCTAAATATAAGGAATCCACCATATAAATATGAAGCAATAAATTATTTTGTGTATAATACATATGATCCTAAGAGGAGTCAATAATTAAGATTCTTGAGCATAAATAAAGATGCATTTTATTAAATCCACATAAAAAAATCTGTTATAAAGAAGGGTAAATTCAATAAGGTATTTCTTGTAAAGGGTGAATAATAAGATAAAGTTGTACATTAATTCTTGATGCCTTCAAATGATGCAGCAAAAAAAGAGTATGAAAATTACAAAAGGGCATAATTATTAATTACTGATAATACTTACATAGTGAAATGTTATGAGATAGGATAAATAATAAAGAAGAAGCAATTCTTTTAGAGGAAACAAAAAAAGACAATTTATAATGCATTAGAAATAGGATTAGACTCATCTTATGATATTATATATGCAATAGAAGATTATGCATAATAACCAATAAATAAATTAATATAAAAGAGATAAGAGAAATAGGATCATTTTAAATTAGAAACTATTTCAGAGGCTCTTATAACATTGATAAATGTAGCATAATATTTGCAATTTTTGTAAATATTTTAGAAATAATTTTCTGTGACCAATTTCTATTATGATGAAAAATTAGGATTTAAAGTAGGAGGATTTTCACCATTATATACATACAAAAAAAAATATAGATTAAAAAATGATACTGATACTAATACATATAAGGCATTGAATCCACCAGAATTATGTGGATCTGCTGGTGGTTATACTATTAAAAATAATTTGAATTCTTATATTAAAACAGATGTATGGTAAATTGGAATTGTTATTCTTTCAATGGCATCACTCACATTACCAATAGATTTAATATGGAGTGAAGCTATTGATAATAAAATAAAATTAGTACAATAAAAACATGGGTATAAATATAATATAACTAGGGAAAAATTAGCTTTTTTACTTAAGAATATGCTATAACGAAATCAAAATGATCGATCTTCTATTAATGATATTATTATACCTGCTTAACAATTAATGCCTATGAATTTAATCTAATTTAAACCAATTAAATCAATAGAACGATTATAGGTATTATTTATCTATTAATGATTAGATAATATCCATATCTCAATAGTAATTAGAAGATATGGATAAATAATTTAAAGAGAAAAATATAGATAAAAAATATATTGTACATTTAACAATTGATAAATATATTGTCCAATAAATGTTTCTATTTAATTTGGAAAGGATTAAAAGAGAATTTGTGATACAATTGCATATTAATGTATCTCCTTAAACTATACCAGATGATTTAATTGATAAAATGATGTCAAGTTTAGTTGAGTATTAACATCTGTAATTATTGGTACTTAATCTTAAGAAATGTACATTATCTGATTAAGCTTAAAGGAATATTATTAATTCGGCCTAAGATATTAAAAAACTCAAATAATTAACCTTGGATATAAGTGGAAATTAAACAATTCCTATTCCACAATCCAAAATTAGAGTGGTTGTATATAACCAATGATATATTTTACATAATATATATATACATTTTATTCTTAAGTATTATCATTTAAGATATATATAACTAATATAATTGACTCAATCAAATAATAACTAATTATTCTATAATATTAAAATACATTTATACAAATGAGTTATTAAGTGATATTCTTGATTTTCATTAAGATAAGTTTATAATCAACCAGAATCAGGACAAAAGAATCCTATACAATGAATCATGAAATTGAAGAAGACATTATCAGAATGGCTCATAAAAAACAAACAGTATATGTACTTAAGTAGATATCTTAAAATAATCATAGTTTAACTAATGCATACGATGTTGATGTATTTGATGAATCCGAATCTGATGAACCTATCTAGACTCCCTATCTTTCTTTGGATAATAAAGATGTTGAATCATTAGAAGTGAAAAATCGTAATGAATTAATTCTAATTTTAGAATGTGTAGGTTTTCCTAAACATCCTTAATTAAAAGAGATTTTACAATATAAAATTAAAGATGCCACTGAAGATTCTTATTATACAGATATGGTGACACTTTCAGAGTATTCCAATTTATTTTTAATGACACAAGAATTATAATTGATATAGGTTAAACTACGTTGCAGTGATTCTGGATGGATTGCCTAAGAATCATAGAGTGTCTTTGATTTGAAAAAGTAACTTAAATTACCAAATTCAACAATCATAGCCAACGCTTTATTCAGTTGTCCAAAAGTAAAATATTAGTTTATATTTTTTAGAAACATTTAAGTTGTTTAATCATAACTCCTTTTGGAGGGTTTTGGGTTTCCAAATTTTCAGATTTCGATTCTAATGATTTACCAATTGAACCATATCCTGAATAAAGAATTATACAAAGAAAGATTGTTCATAAAGTTTCTACTTTTGGAGAATATTTAGCAGTAGCAGTAGGTGAGGATGGTGTAGATTTATATACATATGAATAAGAAGATTAAGATATATATAAAAGAAGTATTATACATTTATTAACAATCTCAAAGTAATAATTTAATGTTACTATTAATATTATTGGAGTGAAAATTGTGGATGATAAATTATTTTGTTTAGATGATACTTAAGGATTATTTATTTTCAATATTTCTAAAATAAGAATGCCTATTCAAATAATGGATATACATATAACTAGAAGTGTAGCATTTGAAGTATATGAGAATACTATACTTGTTGTTGCTTAGACTCCAAGTAATATTGAATATATTTTGGAAATATTCATAGATTTGAGAGATCACTCTTATTTTGTGAATAGAGTTTTAGTTGATGATTTTACATATAGAGATTTGTAAATAAATCCAAATTATGCATTTTTAATTGGAGAAGAAGCACATTTGATAATTAAACATTCAATTTATAATGGATTTGTAAAATACAATAAAGAATTAGTGAAAACATTCTTTGAAAATTAATTGGTTCGTTTTGAATTATATAGTAAATCAAGTGAACCTGCAGAATTAAGATTTAAAGAAACATTTTATTATGTAGGATTATCTCGTTAAGCTATACATGTATGGAAATTTATGGATTATCATGCCTTTTTATTATGTAGTTTTGATGAAAGATCAGAACATGAAATAATAGTTAAATTAAATTCAACATCTTGTGATGAAAAGAATAAGAGAGAGAGTCTTTATTAATAATGTTAAGCAGAATAGAAAATTAATATCTTAGTTTCTGGACCATTATTCTATTCAGACACCTTTACAATTTTAGTTTTTATTCTAATATTTTCAGGCGTATTATTAAATATGATAAAAATAGATTGTTTTATGCATTATATGTATTTGTGTATGTGTTCGTTGGAAAAGATTATTAAGAGAATTAGAAGAAAATAGATATTAGTTAAAAGAAATGAAGAGATATGGACAATTACCAGAATAGGAATAAAATCAAATATGATATTCTCTAAAATTGTTAATTTTAATTATGCGTGGATCCTTGATTTCAGCACCATTTCTTGGATATTTGCTAAAATAATAAGCAAAAATCAGAGTGGCTAATGTCATCATGACAGAGTAACCTCTAACCAAAGAAGGCAATATAGAGATGTCTTAGAAGTTGTGTGCGTATATATATATCATTTGTTAATATTAAGTAACCAATCTGTTGTTAATTTGTGTGACATCACTGCTTAATTGAAACCAGCAGCAAGATTATTACCATAATAATAATTGTTTGATCACTTTGTCAAAGAAAATTAATTTGATTTACAAACTCCAATTATATTCTTTGATGAACATATTCACTTTGCAGCCAGAGCTTGGTTCACATTTAGATATTTTGGATTCAAAAAAGTATTTGTTTTAGATGGAGGATATTCAAAATGGTAGAATCATTAATCAGCTGAATTTTAGGATCACAATATTTGTATATAATTATTTCATAAATATAGAGGATCAACCAAGATTTTAAGGTAGAATCATGAGTACTTCTGAAGTTTCTAGAATTTCTTAGTTAAAACATACAAAAGATCCAAAAGGAGATGAATGGGCAATTGTTGATACTAGAGATAGTACTCGTTTTAAAAAAGGATCAATACCTGGATCTATTAATATAGAATTTACAGAATATTTGAATGAAGATAAAACAATGAAATCTGATGAAGATTTAAAATTAGTTTATGAAAAAAATGGAATAGATTTGAATAAAACAAGAATTATAAATACTTGTTAAACTGCTAAATTAGCTTGTATAGCAACAATAGCTTAAGAAATTTTGAAAACTAAATAGTAAGTTAAATTTATAAAATTTAGATAAATCTTATATGATGGATCTTGGGAAGATTGGAAATTGGAGAATCGTAAGAAATGAAAAATATAATAAAAATTATAATGATTATTATTATTTTTAATAATAATTTATGGATAAGAAATTATTATCAACACCTTCTGAAAAACTAGCAGCAGATGCAGCTGATGAAATGACTTGTCAAAATCATATGAATACATACACTACTTGTTTATAAAAACATTCACTTACAAATAATTATAAGGAATGTGTCAAATATATGGATTAATTTCGATTCTGTCTTTTAATGGCTGCCAAAGTATAAATGGAATCACAAAAAAAGCTAGAATGAATTAACTTATATTTTAGAATATTTCTCATTAATAAATAAAAATTAATGTATTTAATTTATATCAGCATAATTGCTTCTTTTCTTATTGGAAATACCTTATAAACTAATCGTATTCGTAATCATCCAAATTACACATATTCATTTAATGAAGAACTATTGTCATTTAAATTTCCTACATTAGAAGCTCATGTTAAATTGTTAAGGTTTCATTTTTAATTCAAATTATATTAGTAATCCTTCAATTTATGATATTGATGTATTTCGAAATGATGGCGATACTCTAGGAAAGCAAATAGAAACTCCATTCCTTAGTTTAGATAATTAGTATCTAGATGAACAATAATTAGATAATGGTAGGATATGGGCAGCTATCATTAGATTGTGTTGGATTACCAAAACATCCCAAATTGAATGAAATACTCAGTGTCAATTTATTAGATAATACCTTAGACATTTATTACACAGATATATTATCATTACCTTAATTTGAAAAGTAAATTATTCCTCATTTATATAGGATATTTCTATTGACTGATGAATTAGAATTGAGATAAGCTATATTAAAATATAATTAAACTTAATAACCATAATGGAAAGTAGAAATTAAGAATTCTTCTTATTCTCTTAAAACACAATATCCATAATAAATCAACTATACAAATGCTTATTTTGCTTGTTTTAATACTAATCAAGAGAAATGTCTAATATTATCCAATTATGGTGGTATCTGGTTAGACAAAAATTCTGAAATAGAATAACCTATTCTTACAGTTGAGCCAGTGATTTAATAATCTAAAGATTTAAATAAAATAAGTGTTTTTGAACAATATCTTGCTATAGCCAATGGAAATGCAGGAGTAGATTTGTACCAATATAAAGATAATCAACTTTAATATCTTTTAAGAATTAGTTCTAAAGATTTGAATTAAACTTCAATTAATATCATTTCTTTAAAATTAATTAAGAATCGATTGAGTATTTTAGATGAACATACAGGACTCTACCTATTTGATATAATTGATTAATAAGTTTTATTATTACTTAGTCTCCCTTATTAAAGATGTGTAGCATTTGATCATAGTGATAACACTTATTTAATTGTTGCTGAAACACCTAATAATATTGAATATATGATGGAAATCTTTGTTTTACCAGCAACTAAAGAATATTACATAAATAGAATTTATGTTGATGATTTCTCATTTAGAGATATATAAATTGATGATGATTATGCTATCATTATTGGAGAAGATGTACACTTAGTTATTAGACATTCAATATTTAATGGTTTTATGAAAAATAATACTGATCTTGTTAAAACCTTTTTTGAAGATGAACTTATTCGTTTTGAATATATAGAAATGAATCAAACCATTCAAACTTAATATGTTGAAACATCTTATTATATTGGATTATCAAAAGGTTCATTACACATTTGGAGATTCAATGATTATAATCCTGTAATTATTTGTAGATTCTAATATGGAACTACATAAAATTACACTATTAAAGCTAATTCTTCCAAATGTGAGAATCACACTAATACAGATTTATTTGAACAATGTCAAATTACTTAATAATTTGTAATTTAAGCATCAGGACCTTTACTAGAATCAGATTCAAATTATATAATTATTGGAGTATGTGTTTCTGTTGCAGTAATATTAATATTATATATTATAGATTGTTATTTTAGTCATTTTAATATTATTGTGCAGAAAAGGAAGAGCTTTAGCCAAAAAAATATAAGAATTAAAGAAATAAGCAGATGAACTAAAAAAATATGGGGCTTTAGAAGCAGAATAATAATCTATGGGACATTGAAATATAATCATTAAAATAAATAATAAATAATATTTTTTTTTATTTATTTAAAATAAACTTTAATAATTATTTAATCACTTACTTTCCTGTATTATTTCTTTTTAATAATAATAAAATACAAAACATAGTATATTAAATAGTAAATATTCTAAATATATTATTCTTTTTAATTTTAAATTTCTTTGTCAATAAGTTTTTGATGATAAAAGAGATTTTAATTAATCAAATTCAGATATCATAGTATTCTTAGCTTTGACATAAATGCTAAAATTATTAAGCAAATAAAAGTCAAATATATTGTAAAAATATTATTAATATAATAGCTAAATAAATATACTATGAATGAAAGGATCGTTTTTTAAAGTTTAAAGATATATAAATTCTTTACAAGATTGAGATTATTATTGCTATCTTCTAAGAATTTAGATTAAGTGTAAAATACATATGAAAAATGAAATTGTTATCATTTTAATTATAAAAAATGATATAAATAATTATATATTTGAAACATAGATTCAAATAGATATAAAGGATATAAAGAAAACTTTTGAAGAGGTTGTGTTTATCTATAAATTTATAAGGTTTATAATTCTTCAAATAATGATTTAGAATTTTATTTACTTGTAATAATTTAAATGATATAATTTTAATACAATTTCGTTGTCTTTTATAATATATCTATAATTAGCTATCAAAATTAAGATGAATAAGTAATTTTATTTAATATGATTTATCAACAAACTGTTTATCTAATCTTTACATTTGCATATAATTAATTTTTTAATAAATATTGTCCAATGGGAGAAGTAGGAATCAATATTCCTTTAGGATAGCCTTTAAATAAAAACAAAAAACTGATAGAAATGCAAGAAGAATTGAAATGCCATATTAATTATGTGAATGATTGCTTTGATAAAGAATTGTTAACTATAGGAAGTTCGAATAATAAAAATGGAAGAAGAATTAAATTATCATAATATAATGTAGATCCAAACATTTTTGGTTTTTCTGTAAATACATTTGAATTACGCAATCATGTTAATTTCTTATGTTAGTAATTTTACTAAATTTGTGTATCAGAACCTATATATTAAAATAATAGTAAAAATATAAATTATAATAAAGAAAATTGTATATAGTAAGAAATAGACCAATCATTCATAATGAAAAGGATAAAGCCTTTAACTCTATAATTTGGCTTTAGAGAAATAATAATATAGATTCTTTAATTAATATTTTGTATTGGCTTGATTACTTGGGATGCTGTATAATTATAATTAAATATGTATCCTGAAATCGGTGGATCAAGTATTCATTACTTATTATATTTGCGAATTGCTTTAATATTTCTGCTCTTTATTTCATAATTGATGTATCACAATTATAAATTTAGGTATGTGAGTAGGGCTATCAAATTACAATTTTATTTATCCTATCTATTTAGTTTTATAATAACTATCCTAACTATTTTGTGTTTGTATGGATATAACCTTATGACTGAAAAATATTGCCATATTATATTGCATATGTTATAGTGTGCAGTAATTTTAATTGGATGTTTTCTTATATGCATTCATTTATATAAATTAGAAATTAATTTATAGAGAATAAGAGTATTATTGGGAGCATAATACTAATCACCATTAGGTTGCTTTTGATTAGAACTAATTAATTATAATATTTTATATTTATTATCTCAACATCAATAAAAATAAACTAACATATAGATTATATAAGATAATATCAAAATAATTATATCGTTTCAATTTAATTTATTCTAAAAATGTTTAATTTTAATATTAAAATTTTACTTTCATTCTATAAATAATTCTTTTTGGGTTATGTAATAATCCAATATTTATATAAATTCATTTAGAATACACATAAAGCTATTATAATTAGAAGTCTAAAAAAATGAGTATTTTATTTATATAGAATGAAATATATAATTCATTAAAAATAAGAAAATAAATTGTATTCCTAATCATTTTATTTGGATTAAATATTGTCATTAATTTTTATTGTTTTAACTTTTTAAATACATCTTAAAATATTTCTGGCAATGTAAATTGAACCACAAATTGTGTATTAATTTGAGTGTTTTCGAAAAGGGAAGAATGGAAATAAAAAATATATTGGAGTGCTTAAGCCTGAAAGATTAGATTTGTACAAGGTAGAATAGTTTAACTGAAAATTTACATTTTAGGAAAATTCATAAGTATCTAAGTATTCTTTACCAATCCAATTGTAAACCCACATTAAATGGGAAGTAGAAGAAGATAATCTGAATGGGAAGAAGCATTATAAAATAGTGTCATTCAAATTTTAATAAGTGATTAAAAATCATATTTTTTTATAGGTTAAATAAATTAAAGAAAATCATGTAGCTAAAATAACAACATTTTATAGTGATGAGAAGACTCTTACAATACTTAAAGAGCATTTGAGAAATAAAATCATATTTTAAAGGATTTAAGACTTCTATACACCATTATAAACTTTGGGAAAAGGAGCTTCTTCAAGGGTTCTTCTTGTTAGACATAAAAATACTGAATTATATTATGCAGCTAAATGTGTTGATAAATCTTATGTAAATGAAACAGAAAATGGAATTGTACTATATTTTTTTAAATCAAAGGAATCTATGTTTCAAGAAATTTCAATTAATAATACACTTGATCATCCTTCGTTTATTAAATTACATGCAGTTTATGAAGGAGATAATACATTTTATATGGTGATGGATTTGTTAGAAGGTAGAAGTTTGCATGATGAATTAAACAATCATAAAAATGGATTTCCAGAAGATATTGTTAGAAATGTAATGTGGGTATTCATTATCACTTATGGCAAAGCAAATTCTAACAGGTATAGAATATATGCATGAAAAATAAATTATGCATAGAGATCTAAAACCTGAAAATATTATGTTATTAAAAAAAGGAGATTTGAATTCTTTAAAAATTGTTGATTTTGGATTAGCTACATATTGTAATATTGATAAGTATAAAATTAATATTAATAAATATAGATATTTATTTCCTAAATGTGGTACACCAGGTTATGTTGCTCCTGAGATAGCTAATTTAGTAGATAAAACTATTAAATATGATAAAGTATGTGATGTTTTTAGTGCAGGAGTAATCTTCTTTAAATTGTATTTAATTTAAATTTATTTAAGATTGACAGGTAAAGATCTTTTTCCAGGTGTTGGATTTAATTTAGTTTTAAAATTAAATAAATAATGTAAAATTGATTTAACTCCTTTGCAAATGAAAAAAGTTGATCATTCTATCACTGTAATATATTAAAAATTAATAATATATATATATAGGCTTTAATTTAGAAAATGTTAGAGAAAGAGCCTAATTAAAGGATTAGTGCTGCTTAATGTTTATAAGATCCATTTTTTGTATCATGTTTTTAAGCTTAAGGAATACAAGGACCTTCAAAATTAACAGCTAATTAAAAAAAATAAATGTTCTCTTCTAGTGGTAAAGCTTTGACTACTGAATTTCCTAATGATAAAATAAAAGGTAGTCCATAAGACAAACTTGAAAATAAAGGATCTTTTGTAACATAAGATAATGCATTTCGACCTGTCTAATCTAATTAATAAAAGATAATGTAAAAATTTAATACTACAGAATTCGATCATGATGAAAATGCTTAAAGTCCTTAAATGGAAAAAGTTATTTAATAATTTCAAAAAGGTGATGCAATAGAAGAGGAAGATGAAAAATGAATAAAATATCATTAAATATTTATAATTAGAATTATAATTAATTTATTCAGTAATTTTTATTTATTCACCATTTTCTTTTTTATATCTACCTTATAAGAAAATTGAAAGATTGTAATAAAATAATTAATAAAATGACTTTTATTTTAAGGCATGAATGAGATCAGTTGTAAATATTCATTTTTAATATTAATAAATAAGAATCAATAAAATCAAGGATTTTGGTCTGTTGTTTTAGAATTAATTGTTTATTAGAGTGTTTATTGAAATGATTATTAAACAGAAATGGAATGTAATCTTCTCGTTAGAATTGGATTCTTGAAAGGATTCAGATTATCGTTGTTTTCTTTCATTTCTCTTAAAATTTTTTCAGATTTAGGATTTTCTTTAACCTTTTCACATATATGGGACAACTCTCCTCTTATTGGTTTCTTAGCATTACATATTCCCATTTCTTTAAATTTCAAATCTAATAATTAAATAATTTTTAATTGAAAGCTTAAAGATATTTTGAATAGATAATTTATATATATATTAATCATTTTCTTGACTAATTTTAAAGATCAAATTAAATGGATTGTTTATTCTTCTTAAGAGTCTCTGATGATGCTGGTTCTTCAGCTGATTTTAGTTTTTCTTTAAATTATTAAATACTATTTAATTTTGATTAAATCAAACCATTAACTTCCTTTAAAAATTTAGTATTTTCATCATTATTAATCTAATTATCTAATATTTTATTTACATTTTTTACCTTTTATAGTAACTTAATGAAGAGACATAACTTCCATAGATAAATTGCTAATGGTTTTAAGAAGATTTCTACTCAAATTATATGAAAACTCTGCTTTAGCATTTTTTTTAATTTAAATTTATTCTTCAGTTTCAGCTATTTTAGCTTTTAAAATTTTAACAATATCAATAAATTCTACATTAATTTTTAAATTATTTACATGATTGAATATTTTTAATTTCTTTGGCAGACTAATTAATAAGCATAGTTTAATATCCAGTTTTATGACATGTACTTCTCCAATAATAAAATACTTTAGTTTATAATCCTAACTAATATTTTTAATATGCATTAAATTTTGCTTATCTACTATTTCTCTTTCTTGTTGCATACTATTTAAGTGATTTATAATATTTTTTGTATAATTTTAGTCTTTCATAATTGAGAACCATTCTAATTGCCAATTTATCATATTATTCTCTCTAATTTCAATATATATAATACCTTTTATAAATTCTAATTTATTTTTTCTTTTACTATTTCTTAGTGTTCTAACACTTATTATTATAATTCTGAATAATTATTTGAACAATTAGATAATTCTTATTAATATACATTTGTCTTATTATTAACTTTTAATTCATAAAATGCATGCAATTTTCTTAAAGTGTCTTATTTAATTTCATTGATTAAATCATTAAATTCTTTATTATCTTGAGAATTAAATTAAACTTCTGTAGATATTTAAGTTATTCTTTCTTAAGTGCTATCCTTTATTTCACCAACAGCTTTTCTTAAGAAGTTTATGTGTTATTTCATTTGAACTGTACTCATTATTATTCTTAACTGATTATTTAAAATGAAAATAAATAAATATAAAAGTTATATAAATAAAATAAATTCATCATTAAAAATAAATTATAAATTTCATTTACTTAATTTCTTCAATAAACTAAGGTTAGTTTTATCATTTAATAAATCCTCAGTTAAAGTAACAAGTCCTAAAATACAATTTTTGTATCTTCTTTGTGCATAAATTATTTGTATTACTGTAATGATAATATATACAAGCAAAAATGTTAAACCAAATGTATAAAAGTATACTAATATATTCTATTTCTTTTCTATTATAAGATTTTATGATATTATATCAATCTTATCATAAAATAATTCAAATCCTTATGAAATATTAAAAAAATATTAAATTACAAGATTGTTATATTCCTTATAATAATAAATATCATTTGAGATATTCAATTAATATATTCCTTATGAAATTTCTATCTCAAAATCATTTTTAAATAATGAATCCAAATTACTAATAAAACCAATTATACCTTTTCTTAGAATTTCTGAATTATTCTCATAAGGATAAAACCAACCATAAATCATATCAAATTGATTCAAAGGGATAGTAATATTGCAAAATGGTAATATATCTTATAAATAATCACAGAAATCACCTTTATAAAGATCATATAATTCTGACTTATCATTTTCATCAATATAATCACTTAATATTATTGATGAAAATATAGATATTATTTTTTTTTAATAACTTTAAGATATATTTTAAAAGTATTTTGGAACTTTATCATCTTAAAAGTAATTTCTAAAATCTCCAATCTCAGGATCATTAATTTTACCTAATTATTCTTCATATATATGTTGCCCTTTTAAAATGGCAGCAAAAGATAACAAATAACCAAGTTGAACTTCAAATTTAACATATGTTTTGATTAAATTTTCTATTGGCCTATGGTGAGATTCACTATTTTCTATTTAAAAATAACCAAAAGATACAAATGCAACTAATGCTATATAAAAAAATAAAGCAACTCCTAACTTCATTGTAATACTAAATGATTTATTTTATATTTTCTCATATAATAACTATGTATCTCTCTAACGAAGGTTTTAGTAAGATTAATATTTAGTAGATTGCATTAATCTTAAAGGAGATTTACAAGTATAATAAGAATGATTCACATTAATTTATTATTTTTCTGTTTCTGAATATGATATTTATTATTATTTTATCTCTACTAATTTAGATGCTTAATCTTCACTAATCCTTGATATTATTTATACTAAATATTTATGTCTTTTTTCAAATTTATACCAATTTCTTATATTGATAATTAAAGGTACAATAAATAAAATTATTTATATAATTAAAATAGTTTACCAAAATACCAATATATTTGTAGAATAATCATTTAAAATGGATGTAAATTCATCAATTAAATAAATAGTATTCTCATATGCTTATATTATATTTACTCTAAAAAATAACAATGATTTTTAATATTCTAGTGTTTCTTTTGAATATGATAATAAGGCTATTGTATTTTCTCTCAATATAATTGAAAAAGAGGCCTAATTATTAAAAGTTATTTAATTTTTCAATAATGTTATGTTATATTAAGGTTAATTATAATTCTAATCAATATTCACTAAATCAGAATATAGTTTTCCAAAATTAGATCGAAGTATTTATAAATTAATTTATTTATCTTGAGAAAAGGAATTATTTAAATACTCCGATTAATTTAACTTTTGATATATTATCTGGTTAAATCCAAAATTAAAAGCTTTGTTATAAAATTGATTAATTTACAAAGGTGCCTTTATATATTAAGAGTATTTTAAATTTGTATTAAAATCAATATCTATTTAATTAATTTGAATTATCATAAATAAAACTACTTAAATTACTAATATTATTTTATAAAAGTAAATAGAGATGAATGGTTAACTGCTGGATTATTTAAGTAATATATCATGTAAAATATACTATCCTTTTTATTCTGAACCAACAATACTAACATCATTTTATGATTTGGCTTTAATATTTTCTAATTAAAGTATTTCATCATTATTATTCTCAACTTCCTCATTTTCTAATTTTGCTTCTAATGGTATCAATTCTAATTAATACTATATTATATTCCCTTTTAATTCTATTTTTGATAGTTTTACCTTACATTTCAATGCCACATCATTTTCTGTCTAGAAATTAATAATCAATATATTACTATATTCAAATTAATAATTTAAATTAATTTTTCTTATAATTAAGGATCCAAAAAATCAAATTAAAATGTATCATGATTTGAATAATTAATCTTCTAACTTAATAATTAATATTAATCTGATCTATCTGAAACAATTATATAATCTAAATTAGGTGTATTATTTTAGTTATTGAATTTGACCTAGGATTATATAAAATTTTGATATTGTTTATCAATTTTATAAATATTCAACCTTTAAATAAAAGTTATTTCTTTTTCATTTAGATATTCATTATTTTGAATAATATAAAACAAATCAGTTGAGAAATATTAAATATAATTATATTGCTTCATTTAAGAATATAATCCATTAAATTATTCTAAGTAATCATTCATACCAGTAATTTTTCCTGAAGAATCAAATAATATATATCCTTTATCTTAATTAACTTTTTTTAGTAGAGAAATTAAGCTAAAATCTGACTTATCATTACTAATAGTAAAATTAATTTCTAAACATTAAATTTTTCCATTTTCTTATTGCTAAAGAACTTCAAGTGAATTTTAAAGATAATGGTTTTTCAATGAATTTCTTTAAAGGAATCTTTCTATAAATTAACTATGAAATGGTTATATTGCTTCAGGCATTAATTATTCCAAAATCTCTAATTTAAAGTCCTTATTATATCCAAAGAATTAGAGCATAGATTTATTAACATTCAAAATTATACCTTTCTATTTAATCATACTTACTGTAATCACAAATGCTTTACTTTTCATTATCTATAGGGCTTCTAATGTTTTATGATCATTTTCTAATATCTTTTTAATTATTTTTTTTAATTTTAATGCCTAAATTTAATAATTTAAATACTTGTACATAATTTTACATAATTATAGAACTAAAACTAATTTAGATTTTTAAATAAATGATATTTGTATGATTATTTTGAATTTTATTTTTAATAAGCCATTTCTCAGTATTTAAAATTGATTATGAAACTTATATGATTTTATTTTCTGTTTCAGCAAAACCTTTACTACCTTAGATTAAATTATTATAAAGATTTATTTATTTGTTAAGAATGTCAGAAAATCTCTTTTAATATTCTATTTCAATCAAGAGATCTCTATTTAATTATTATATCATTAAAGTAGATTTATTCACTCTCATTATTTCATTCTAAATAGAATTTTTAAATAATTGACTATAAATCTTATAAAAAAAAGATAATTTCATTTATTAGCACTCAAATTTATTAAGGATAAACAATGCTTAAAAGTAACTTTACTAATTTTTTGTTAAATAATCAAACAAAATTAAAGCATTAGTCTCATTCTATAAATAATGATTTTATTGTATTTCATTTTGAATTATTTATTTAATAAAATTAATATATACCGCATTATCTGATTTTAATTAAACAACTTATTTTAAAAAAAATTGATTAAAATTTAATTAAAGCTTATTCTCTATAACATGAACTATATTATTTGATTTAATAAATTAAAATAAATCAATTTGAATTGATAAATAGAACACTAATGTCATTGAGTAAAGTAATAAATTAAAAATTAAATTTTCATTGATTTTATTACTTAATCCTAATAATAGAAAAACTGAAATGATTAAATTGCAAAATATTAGACCTTAATTAAAGTTTTCTGGATCATTTTATTATAAAATATTATGATATTGAGCGATAATTTTAGTGATTATAGTCAGTATATAAAATATGATTAACCCAGTTTATGTATTCATGATTACAAATATAAGAATTCTTATTAAATCTAAGATATATATTACCTATAAATATGGTGTATAAAATTGATTAAGAGGGAAATAAATCTTACTAAAATTGATTGCTATATCTCTTTAAAAATATGTAGTTGCAATTAAAAATATCAAAAATACAACAAAAATCAAAAGAGTTATAGTAATTTCCAAAAAGCTATTTGAGTGATGATTCATAAATTCTATGTAAATAACAATAAGTGGAATTCTAAAAATCTTTTAGAAAATATTTAAAGTTATGGTAATTAATTAAGAAACTTTTTGTGATTTTGGGAAATGAAAGTATAAGATTAGCAATATAAAATAGATTAATGAAAGCGAGATAATGAAAACTTCAAATAAGTATTCAGTAGTATTTCTATTTAAAAAAAGTAAATAATTAGTTAATTATTGGATGCTGCTTAACATCTTATCTTCATATTTGAGTTACTGCCACCCATGTTTTGGAAAACACAATGCAACATTTTAAACAAACTCAATTGTCATAAGCATTTTAATGACTCCGATTTTTGTTTTTGTTTAGATTGAAAGTACATGAACAAAATTTTAATATGTAAAATTCATTTTTTGTAATTTTGATAAATATTTTCTCATTTCTTCTGATAACTTATTTATAATGTGACTTCTTCAAATTAGGTCGCATTTAATTCATTCAAACAATGAGTTGCCTATAATTCGTCTTCAAATTCTACAAAGGCCACACCTTTTGGTTTGATTCCTCTAAACTCTCTAAACCCATAAAAATTTCTAAAATGCTGTTCTAAGTTAACAAAGTCAACTAAATGCAATCCTTCAACAAATAAGACTTTATTTGGTTAATTTGGAATCGAAGAATTAAATATATAATAATACTTTTAATTTATTGCTAGCTCCAGTGTAAACTTAATTCACTGTTAAAGGCATAGATATAGTTGGTGCTTCTCTTTATTATTTTTAATTGAACATTTCTCTTTATCTTTTATCTTGAATTCTCTTTTTATGTTCTTTTATTTTATCACTCATAGGCAACTTCTCTTTTTCTTCATAATCTCCTTTTGAAATATAGTATGATTTTTCTTTAGCAAAATTCACTTTCTAATCATCAAACTTAGTCTTACCATAACTTTATCATACAATTAAGTATTATGAAATGCTTTTTAAGCTTTTATTGCTGATTCTTCATCTTCCATTAAAATAAAAGCCTATCCTCTCATTAAAATATTTTTCTTGACAATTATATCAAGCACTTTTCCACTTTATGAAAATAATGCATATAATGTTTATCTCATTTCTTCTGCTGTCACTTTCTCATTTAATCTATTGATATATAAAGTTTTATTTGGTGTATTTAAATCAATTTCTTTTATTTCAACAGTTTATTTGGTTGGTACCTGCTCTACCTATGCTTATTGAACAGGTTTAAGTATCTCTTCTCTATTAATAGAAAACAAAGGTGGAACATTTAAATTTTGCAACATAAAATAAAATTTAATATATTTGCATATTTATCAATTCAAAATTTCAATCCATTTCTTCAATCTCTTCAAAGTAATCAAATTCTTCTAAGGCAGCTGAATCAACAGTCATATCAATTCCTTAAGATTAAGATTATTGCATATATTCATCTGATTCTTAAAATTAATCTTAATGCAATTATGAATCCCTCAAATCCTAAATTTATAATTATTATACTTCTCCCTCTAATTGTTCCTCTAAATCTTCATTATCATATTTTTCATCTTCAAAATTTCTATTATTAAATTTATTTTGTTATGGTTTTTTTTAAGCAGCCTCTTATTTTTCTCTTTCTTATTATTATTTTAATAATTCCTACTACTTTTATTATTCTTTTAATTTTTCTTATTCCTTCTTTTATTACTCTAACTTCTATTATTCTTATTTTTATTATTCTTATTATTTTTTCAATTCTTCTGATTATTTTCTTAACTATTCTTTTTTTTATTCTTCTAATCTCTTTTATTCTTCTAACTATTTTTTTATTTCATCCTATTTCTTTTATTCTTCTTATAATTATTTTCTCTATTCTTCTTGTCTTTTGAGTTCCTCTTATTTTTTCAATTCCTCTTGTTTTTTCTATTCTTATAATTTTTATTCTTATAATTATTTTTACTATTGTTATTGTTATTACTACAATTATGATTCTTTTTAAGTAGGCTAAGCAATTTTTTAAGGTGCTTTTTCTTCCCTAAAATAAATTTTTATGAATATATTACTATTATTTCTCTGAATGACGATTTTTTAATAAGAAAAATAGCAATGGTTTAGTAGTATCATTAGCTTCAATATTTAATTTTTTTGCAATTTATTCTCGATTAATTTCATCTTTCAAATTACTTTCGCTAATAAAAATCATTTCAAGTAAATACCTTGAAAATATTGAATTTGTGTAATGCATATCAAAAAAGAGGAAAAATTCCTTTATCAATTCTAACATGTCTCTACCACAACCTAATTCATATATTGTTTAAGCTTTATTATTTTCCCAGAAAAATGGAGATGGCTTTTTGTTATTCCCTTCTTATTAATCAACTACATTAAAGACAGATGCTCTAATTTAAGCTCTAATCTTAGCAAGAGATCCATTAGCCTCAAGAGATTGTATAACTAAGTTTTTAAGTTCTGTTAACTCTTACATTATTAAAAATTTGAAAATATATATAATGAAAATTTTAATTGTATAAATACATATTCTAATCTACTAATCCCAAATCAAATTATTCTCTAATCTTCCTAATTATATGAAATTAAATGTTGAGTAGATTAATATAAATTTAACTATTATAAAAATTAATATAAGTTCATCTTTTAGTTAAAGGACTAATTGCTCTTATTTAATTCATTATGTTTTATTTTAATGCATTAATATTATAATTAACATTGTTACTTATTTTTGTTTATTCTATATCTGGTTTATCTGGTTTTAATTTTTGATTTTAAACTATTTTTTGTAAATCTACATTGAATTAAACACTTTTTTAAATATTGCAATTATTTGTAGATTGTTAATTGTTAACAGTATATTGTTAAATTTTTTAATAGATAAAATTTTTAATATTTTGAGAATTAGCGTTTGGATTTGTATTTTCATTATTCAAATTTCCTTATGTTGATAAATGTTATTAATTTATATTATGAAAACTTTCGTTCTATTCTGTTTAAAGTCTTGTATTTAAAAATGATTTTTTTTAAATTTAATTTTTGCTTAATGGCATAGGAGATACTGCTTATTATTTAATAAATGGAGACTATATAGTGCTAACAGATTTAATTTATTAATTTGATGGAGTTTATTTATTATATGGACTTTTAAATTATAAATTTGGACTCTAGAAAGGTGAATTAGGAGTTTTAGTAGTTCCTCTTGAATTTGATGGTTTCGAATATTCAAGTTCTTCTAATGCTTTTTAAATTGGTCTTTTTTCTTCAAAATCCTCTTATTTATATGTATATCCAACAAAATTCATTTCTTTTTTGTTATTTTAAGATCCTTTTATAATCCAAGGTTCTTCTTCTTCATATTTATCAAAATTGCTAGTATCTAATTCACTTCTTACAGTTGGTATGTAAGGAGCTTTCATTTCTCTAATTTTAAGTATTGATAATCCACCAAACCATGGATGTCTTATGATTTATTCAAATTTTAATCGATTATTAGTATCACATACAAGTTTACTAATTAAATCCTTAGCCAATTAAGATATTTTGGGTTCTTCTGGAAATGTAAAGTATTATTAAAATCTAATAATCTTTTAACAAGTATTTGATGGATCATCAGTATAAAATGGTGGATATCCAATTAACATTTCATATAGTATTACTCCTACACTCCACCAATCAACAGTTTCATTATATCCTTATTATAAAAATACTTCAGGAGCAATATAATCAGGAGTACCTACAGTCGAAAATGCTTTCTAATAAGATTAATCATTGATACTTTACTTCTCTTCTAGTTTATTTCTACTTAAATTTTGAAGAAAATACTGGTTTATCAAAATGCAATTCAGCATCTTTACATAATCCAAAATCAGATAATTTAATATGACCATTATTATCAAGTAATATATTATCTGGTTTTAAATCTCTATGAATAAACCCAAGTTTATGAACCGATGATACTGCTTAAACTAATTCTGCCATATAAAACCGTGCTTCTGCTTCTGATAAGATATCTTTTTTCATTAATAATGTCATTAAATCTCCACCTGGTAAATATTCCATAACTAAATATAGATTTTTTTCATCTTAAAATGAACATTTCATTTCTACTATCCAATTATTGCCTTTTGCTTCTTCTAATACTTTTCTTTCATTTGTAACATGACCAATTTAATTTTTATATATCATTTCATGTTTCTTCATCTTTTTGACTGCTACAATCTATTGTGATGGTACATGTCTACATAATCTCACTTCACCAAAGGCTCCTCTTCCAATAATAGCAAGTGGTTAAAAATCTTCAATATTTAATCTTATCCTCCTATCAATTTTGAAAATTTAATACTTCTTTCTCATTTATTCTGCTTCTTTCTTAAGAATATCTTTTTTTATAATTTCCTATTCTTTTGCATTCATATGAAGCGAATCCATTAATTTAGATAACTGTTACCACCCTTATAATTATTATTATTCTTCTTCAATTTATTTTGCATATTTGCCTAAAAAATTATAAAATATATCATACGTTCAATATATATTCTACAGGCCTCAACCCTATCTCTTGTAGCATTAGAAATTTATATTTCTTTCTTCCCAATCATTAACGATATTTATATTAATTTTATTTGAATTTATAAAGACTCTTATAAAATTTCTCTCCAAAAACCTTAATGAACTTCAAATACTATTTTTTCCTATTCTTCTTCAATATAAGTAAAACTTTATTTATTTTAGCCTCAGACCTATATCAAGAAACCTATTTGCACAAACCCATATTATTCTATTAATATTAAGTATATTTTTTTAATATTACCTATCAAATATATAATATCCTTAATGATTATTAAATTATTTTATTATTAATTTTGAATCTATATTCTGATATTTGATACTACATTATGTTTTAGCAAAATTTTGAATATTACTTATAATCTTTTATAAATTCACTTATGTTTACTTTTAAGATACTGTTTTAGAAATATGAAAAGAACTTTTAAAAGTCTTACCCTTTTTAACAACTATGAGTTATAATAATTTGGTCTTTGTTTCATATTAATCTATTATATATTATTGTTTTTAATAAAATATGCAGAAAATTAAAAATTATATAAGCAGACTCCTAAATGACGATCATGTGTGCTTTGATTAATCATACTAATTTATACTATTTGTTAGGATGTTTTAATTTCTTTAATACTTGGCAATTACATTATAAGAAATTAATAATAATGAAAAATAGGTTGATGGACATTTTTCAATTTTCTTTAAAATTCTAAAGTTATCAATATTAGATATTAATTTTCTTCCAGATTATATTGGATTTATTACTACTTTTGTTAATATTGCAGTGTTATTACTATTTATATTATAGATGGCATATTTTAATAGAACATTAGAATTTTTGACGAGAGGACTAATAGCCTATTTAGCTTTATTACCTCAAATTATGTGTTTTTTATTTGTATCATCTAGTTTTCGATCTTTTATTTTAAAAGAAGACACAAATATTATCATTTATATTTGGGCTATGTGTGATGTTAGTTTGATATTTAGTATATCTTTAATTTCATGCATTTTATTTAGAAACATTAGTTTTAATCAATCAACTTACACAAGAGATTAAAGTTTATTGAAAATAGTTTCTTAGATTTTTTAATTTGTTACATAAATATTATATTTTTATGATGATAGAGAAGAAATTTTAATACTTAAATAACTTTCAGCTTTAATGTGGATAGGATTGGAATAGATTGATATATATTTATATATGCCTTATAGTTTATATGATAGCAAATTAATTTTTACATTAAATTAAATAAAATTTGGATGTAATTTAATTAATTTAATTTTGAATAATTTGTCTAATATTATAGAAACAACCTTTTCATAATACATTTATTATTTTATATTTTCATCTATGTGTTTTTACTTAGGTGAAACATTTTATTAGAGACTATTTTATGCAAAAGGATTAGATACTTTTACTAAATCAAGTGAAAAAGATTAGCATTTATAAATAAAAGTTTTGAGATAATTTTAAATTTAAGCATAATTCACATTAAGTTAAACTGAGAAATTATTATAAATTGGAATGGTGAATTAACATATAATTCACTGTAATAGATAATGTAGAGTAATAAATTTATTTATTTAAATCAGTCTCAAGATAGTTCTGATGTAATTACATGCATTGTTAATTGTCAAATGTCAAATAAAGAAGATGAAAATCTATTTTTATTTAAGATATAATATTTGGCATTCCAAAATAAATAATATTCTTAAAGTTTAGCCAGAATAAAACATTATTAAATTAAATATAAATAAGAATTATCTTGGTATTTTAATTTAGTTTAAATTGAAATATCAAATAAACTTAGATAAGAAATAACTAAATAATAATATTCCAAAATATTATAATAGAATTCATCATTTGTTAATTTTACATCTGATGATTTAGTTCATTTAGATGTACAATCAGATATTCTAATTCCCATTATTAGAAAAACTCTGTCAGCCAAATTAGATGTTTGGAAAAAATAATTAAAAGGATTTTCATCTGTTAAATAATTATAATTAGAATTAGTTAAGTTGGCTTAAGAATTAGAATAATTAAGAATTAAATTTAAATTAATTATAAATAGAGATGTATATGAAGTAAATATTTCTTAAGTTAATAATTTATATCATTTAAGAATGTTATCTTTATATTATTCANTTTAATCAATCAACTTACACAAGAGATTAAAGTTTATTGAAAATAGTTTCTTAGATTTTTTAATTTGTTACATAAATATTATATTTTTATGATGATAGAGAAGAAATTTTAATACTTAAATAACTTTCAGCTTTAATGTGGATAGGATTGGAATAGATTGATATATATTTATATATGCCTTATAGTTTATATGATAGCAAATTAATTTTTACATTAAATTAAATAAAATTTGGATGTAATTTAATTAATTTAATTTTGAATAATTTGTCTAATATTATAGAAACAACCTTTTCATAATACATTTATTATTTTATATTTTCATCTATGTGTTTTTACTTAGGTGAAACATTTTATTAGAGACTATTTTATGCAAAAGGATTAGATACTTTTACTAAATCAAGTGAAAAAGATTAGCATTTATAAATAAAAGTTTTGAGATAATTTTAAATTTAAGCATAATTCACATTAAGTTAAACTGAGAAATTATTATAAATTGGAATGGTGAATTAACATATAATTCACTGTAATAGATAATGTAGAGTAATAAATTTATTTATTTAAATCAGTCTCAAGATAGTTCTGATGTAATTACATGCATTGTTAATTGTCAAATGTCAAATAAAGAAGATGAAAATCTATTTTTATTTAAGATATAATATTTGGCATTCCAAAATAAATAATATTCTTAAAGTTTAGCCAGAATAAAACATTATTAAATTAAATATAAATAAGAATTATCTTGGTATTTTAATTTAGTTTAAATTGAAATATCAAATAAACTTAGATAAGAAATAACTAAATAATAATATTCCAAAATATTATAATAGAATTCATCATTTGTTAATTTTACATCTGATGATTTAGTTCATTTAGATGTACAATCAGATATTCTAATTCCCATTATTAGAAAAACTCTGTCAGCCAAATTAGATGTTTGGAAAAAATAATTAAAAGGATTTTCATCTGTTAAATAATTATAATTAGAATTAGTTAAGTTGGCTTAAGAATTAGAATAATTAAGAATTAAATTTAAATTAATTATAAATAGAGATGTATATGAAGTAAATATTTCTTAAGTTAATAATTTATATCATTTAAGAATGTTATCTTTATATTATTCAATAATTATGAATGATTAATTACATTCATTTTTATGTGAAAAATAATACTATTTAATCTATAGTTATGAATAAACTTTATAATAAGATTAATTAAATTCAATTGCATTAGTTTTAGATAAAGTTTCTATTGTAACTGTGAGCTTAGTTTAAAGTTTAGGATCTATATTAAATGCTAATAAATAATAATTAGGACATATGTTTAATTACAAAAAATAAGAAGAATTCTAAAATATCATCCATTTAAATTAATTAATGCCTGATTTTATGGCTTAATCACATAATTAAATGTTGTAAACTTTCTTAATTAAAGGTGATTCACCTTTTATGTAATAATTTCGTTTAATTTTTGGTAAAACAAAAGACAATTTTATATTTCCTTTATATTTGAAATTAGCAAATGACTTTAGTTATCAAGATGATTATGTTATAAAAGGCATATTTTTTTCAGGAGTAAAGAAATATGATTATCTTCTATTTGACAACAATGGAAAAATATTGGGTATCACAAGATAAGTTTATTATGATCTATTTACTAATAATAATAATAAACATGAAATAACAGAATTAGCTTTATTGTAGGATGAATGTTTTCTTTATTATTTTATGCCTGATTTATTTGATATAGTGAAAAGATTTCAATCAAGATAGAAAGATATATCTGATAATGTAAATTTTTCAGAAGATACTATTTTTATATCTCATAATGAAATAAAAGAATTTCATGATAGATTCTAATAGCAAATGAGATTTATTGTTAATGATTTTGGTAATTTTATGAGTTTTAAGAAAAAGCAATCATTATAGAGTATAGATATATTTTATTAAATAAGTTCGACAGAGTACAATCTAAAACTCAAAAGATATTAATCCATTTTAAATTGAATTAAGTTTATTGAATGAAAATTATGCAAAAGCAGTTAAGGAATATATTAATCAAACTGTAATATTAAAATATATTCATTAGGTTACATCATAAAAAACATGTTTTGTGAGATTTACATTGTAATTCTAAAAATATTAAAATAATGGATATTATATAATGTAAATATCAGACTATAGAAAACATAATTTTGGAGAATTAGCTACTGAATTATTTGCTTTGTAGGATGCAGATTCTACAATGAAAAAATCAACTTTGAGACATTTGAAGGGTAACTTATTATAAAAATATATAAGATTTAATAATTTCAAAAAGAAGATATGGGGATATCTAAGCTTATTCAAACATAAAAAAAAAACGTTCTTTATATTCAAGATAACTAGCTTCTGTCAACCAATCTGAAATGTTAATGACTCAATAATTATCATCTGTTATATAAACACCAAAGACTTGTTTTTTTAAACCTGAAATAGCTTTAAATTCTGAAATGGAATCAGTTTAAGAAATTAGAAATTCTAGTTCAGAAGAATCAAAATTTTTAGATGAATTTTTATCAGATGATGAATCAAAGAAGCAAGGTTATAAGAGGGAAAAAAAAATATAATCATTTAGCAAGACTAATAATTTTACTGAAAATGAATAAAATCCAAATTAATCATAAAATTCAAGTGCAATATCTAAAGCATCTAATAATTAATCTTACTTTTTTTAAATTGTTTTTAAATAAAAAGGATAATTACCAAAAAATATTATTATATTATGGATTATAGTATATTGTATAAATTTAATCAGTTTTGGAGGATTTGGTTTTACAAATTATCATATAATATCTAATTACTATTAAGAATAATTATAATCTGAATAGTTTATGGGACCTCTTAAATTTAATCGATATTTTTGTAAAACTTTATCTATTAGTTGGAACTTCATTTTAACTAAATACAATATATTGAATAATAGTTAGTATTCTAATTAATAAAATTTATATTAATTTAGTTTGCTTGATTAATATGTTTTCTCTAATTTATCTTAATTATATCCATTATTTATTTAAATGGAATAGGATGGGACATTATCAAATATGACTTTAAAATACACTGTGGATGACTCAGATAAAGTTGAATTCACAAGATTATTAAACTTTTTAGAGGAGGTTATTCATTATCTTACTTAAATTAGTTATATTGACAAGGGAAATTATCTGAATTTCATTGATAAAGAGTATATTAATAAAGCCTTAATAATTAAATACAACTTACCAGAAGTTATAGATATCAATAATGATCTTATGATTTAATTAAATGAAAATTCTATTGCAAATTAGGAAATAGAAAGTTCAATATTTGTAATTGAACATCTAATTCATACAGTAATAATCTTCTTTATTATGATGATACAATTATTTTAATGGAATAACATTGAATAATAAAATAGAAATTTAGCTTTGCTAGTTGGTAGGATCAAGGATAATGAAGTGGAAAATGAAATTTGTAAGAATAATATCTATTATTTAAAGAAAGAGCTTATAATATTTATATTGCTTTGAATATTCAAGCTGGTGAAGATTCGTGGAAGCGTTATAATTATTATAATTATGGATTTCAATAGGATACATCAATTTATTAACCAAAACAAAAATTAAGTATTAGTTAGAAATTGCAATTTGGTCAATAAATTTAAAAAAGCGTAAGGAATTTTAATACTAAAATAAATTTGTTTTCACATTTAATAAAAATATTAGTATTTGTATTGATATATTAAGCATATGTGTGGGGAGGTTATTCATTATCAAACAGCCAAAATGATAGGCTATAACCATTAAATAATGTATTGGTAGAGTTTGCATTATTCAGTACAAAATTAGATAATTTAGCAAGCACTGCCTTAATTATAAAGACTTAATATTTAATATAAGAAAAATTAATATAAGAAGGATTATATTAAGAATAGGATTTGGATGATAAATAAGAGATAATAAAATTATTTAATAATATTTATAATGAGATATCTGTATCTTTTGCTTAATTATATGAAAAATTAATTAAAGATTTGTAATTAGATAATTCAATCTAAGAAGCTTAAGGTTTATTACATTCAGATATTTGTTTGTATATGAATTCACTTTTACCATTTTGTGAATTGAAATTGAAATAAAATTAATAAGAATTTATCAAGCAATATGGTTAGTATTATGCATAAGATGATAATTCTGATTATTTAGCTTAAGGCATTCTTTCTTTAGTAACATAAATGCAATAATTTTATAAATAAAATTTTGTTTTTGGAATATAATTAGGATAATAAGATTTAAATTAAGATGAAATATTGGACTTTTTGAATAGTTAAGAATTTAATGTTATTATATTAAGCCATTTTAGAGATACTTATTAATGTTTTATTACTTACTTAAAATTATTAGAAGATAATATATTTGTGATAAGAGGTAAAAATTTATAAAGTGTATTAATCTATTATAACATAATTATAATAATGTATTTAATTGGTTTTTAGATTTATTATTCATATTGGATAAGAAAAAATGTGAAAGTGATGAGAAACATTAAATTGGCATTAATTGCAATACCACATTTTTAATTGACAAGTGACCCTGTTATTAATATTTTGAAAAGATATTAATGATTATATTAAATTTTTGGCTTTGGTATGATGAATAAATTATTTACAAAATTTTTAGTTTTGAAATGTATAATAATCGTTAATAATTTTATATATAATAATGTAGTGTCGCAAAGTTGAACCGAATGTTATTATGAATTCGGCAAGATTAGTTCAACGTCCCAATGAGACAAATAAACTTGAAGAAGAGATTGTTCATGTAATAAAGAGTCCAGAAAAAAAGAGTCCCCATAATGGTAAATCACTCAAACGTACTTCTTCTGGTCCAATCATAAATTTACAACAATAAATAATAATACATCAAAATGCTCCTACAAAAGACTCATAAGTTTTATTGAAATTCAAGAATTAAATGAAGAAGAAGAAAAAGAAGAAGAAGATTTAAAAGAAAAAGAAAATATAAACAATAGATTAATAAGGATCAGAAATTAGAGTAGAATAACTATTAAAATAAAACTTAAGAAAACATTAAAGTATTTTTATATCATTTATCAATAGAGGAAAAACAAGAATAAATGATCAAAGAAGAGATATAAAAGTAAAGAGTAGTTAGTTTTAATGAAATGAGAAAAATTATGGATTAACAAATAAGATAAATTAATTAGTAAAGATTTGTTAGAGTAAATTTTACATTCTATTTCTATAAAGTCAAAATCTCCACCATCATCCATGTTACCTTGGGGAGTTGATTAGAATAAACTTAAATAATATTGGACAAAGATGTTGGAAATCCATGATAAATTAGAGAAGCCATAATAAGTAAATCAAACAGCTACAGAACATGCTATTAAAGAGAAAATTAGAAGACATAAATTAGGATTAGATTTTTTAAATTCTAAGCCAGAAAGAGATATTTAAAAAATGATACAAAGTAAAATACAATTCAAAATTTTTTAGAATAAAAATCTAAATAGGTGTTAGAAACTATTTCATCTCCTTAAAAACATAAAAGTAGTTGTGAAAATAAAGAAGCTGAATAAGATGTTAAATTATATATGATGTATAAGAGAGAATTATGGAGACAATAAAAAATTGAAGAGTATCTTTAATTTATTTATTATTTAGAAAATAATTATAAAAATTAAAAAAGGAAAAATTGCAATAAAATTTGTAAATACTAGATTAAGAAGCTAAACTTTTTGCTAAATCCAGAAATGCTTCAGTTAAATCTAATTTAACAGCATAAGCAGCTTCTTATCATGCATAATAATCATCTCAACATTTTAGAACTTCTGAACCTCCAAATTTTAATAAATTAGAAAAAGAATATAAGGAACTTATGAGATCTCTCAGATAATCAAGCTATAGCAGTACTTAATCTCATTCAAGAAAAACAAGTTAAATGAAATTTCTAGATTGGTTATAACATTTACCTGAATCTTATCTCTAAGAATAACTCTCTCAAATGTAAGCTATTAATGAACAAATGAATAATAAAGGATTTTAATATAAATTAAGTGAATAAGAAATGTATCAATTTTTAGAATAATTTCTTAAAGAAAAGTTTGAATAATAAACTAAATCTACTATTAAAGATCGATTTAATGAATTATAAGAAAGATTTTAATAAGTTTCTTAATAATAACTATCAAATAGTTAACAATAATCTCAAATATAAAATATAACTCACTAAAGTCATTAAAGTAACAGAAGTCTAAATTAAAAAGAAAAAGTATCCACATCTCCTAAAGAATACACTATAAATGAAATGAGTGAAGAGGAATTAGAATAAATTTAAAATGTGGCTGCTACTATGATATAAAAGGTTTGGAGAGGTTATAAAACTAGATAAGTGGTATTTGAATATCTTTAATATTTAATATAAGAGTAAGAATTAGAGGAATAAAATACTGAAGGACATAAATTATAATAGCAATTTGAGGGATTATCTTAAGAGGAAGAAGTAAAATCTTTTAACTAAATGACTGATTCAGAAAGAAGATTAAATCCTCTTGATTTAAATTATAAAGATTCTCCATTTCCTCAATTTTAAGGTCATGCACCACCTCCTTCAGAATCTTTATAATAATCTTCGCTTTAACATTCAAGTCCTCGAGGAAATACAAGTATTCCTCCTCTAAATTTAGATTCATTCTCCTAATAATAATCATCTCCTTAAAAGTCTGTTTAATAATAATAAGAACAGAAATAATAATAATAATAATAATAATAATAATAATAATAATAATAATAATAATAATAATAATAATAGTAATAGTAATAGTAATAGTAATAGTAATAATAATAATAGTAATAGTAATAATAATAATAATAATAATAATAATAATAATAATAATAATAATATTAATAGTAACAATAATAATAAAAATAATAAGAATAATAATAATAACAATTAAAATTATAAGAATAATAATAGCAATAAAAATAGTAGGAATAATAATTGTTATCAGAATCCTAAATATAAGAGTAAGAAATAAATTAGAATTCTACACCATAAAAAAGTATTCATTTATATCATGGAGTGAATACTGATCCTGAATACTTTATGTAAGTAATAAAATTAAGAGAAGAGGCATTATAATAGAAATATGACTAATAACTAGCATTATTAGAAAAAATGTTAGATAAAAAGAAAGTTTCAAATGATTTGTTTTCGGAGAACAAAGAAAAATTAGATAAAAGATATAGAAGGGAAAGAGATAGGTTATAATAATCAAAAATAGAAGTAGAAAGATTACATCAAATGTTTAAGGACACTATTAAATCAACACAGAAAGATCAACAATTTATGGAAAGAATGAAAATTTAAACTGATGAAGAGAATTTGTCTATTAGATAAATATTTTCAATTCGTTCTGAAACAGAATAATCTGATGGAGAAATAGAAAAGAGATCTATACCACATTATGGATTATTATAATAAATAAGTATTAATTAATTAATAATTTAGAGAATGATTAATTTAAGAAATATTCTAAAAATAGAAAATAAGTTAGAAGTTTTGATTAATAAGTAAGTTTAGATGAAATTTCTATGAAAAATGAAGAAATATAAACAAGCACAATTTTTAATGTTCACACAGAATCTATAAATCATTCATTACATAAATCTTAATAATTACCATCTACACTTTAATAATCTGTTCCTTCTTAAGAAATAGTATAAATTGAAACTGTTGAAAGTCCTGAGAATTAAGTTATTGAAATAAGAGAAGATTTCAAACATTCAATAATTCCTTTCGATGATAGAAAAATTGATAATCTGACTGAAAATATAGTTTCAAACATTATTTCAGAATTTGCTGAAGAGTTAAATAATTTTCCCTTATAATCTCTTGGCGTATTAATGGAATGGGATGAAGAATCTCAATTAGACTAATAATTTCCTCCTGGATTTCCAACAACTCTTAATTTTATTAAAGATTATCTCGTATCATTTAGTGAATTTATTTAAAGTAAGAATTATTATTAATATTTTAGAACACTATCTTGCAGTCTTTATTTAATAAGTAAATACTCCATTAGGAATTACACCATAAGATTTATTAAAGACAATCTCTCTAAGTGATATGTAATAAAATGCCCTAGATGACTCAACATCAGGACCTTTGTATCCATTGATTAAACATATTCATTAAATGGAACCTTTAATTGATGAAGAAATATGGAATAAATTTAATTAATCTTATGCTCTCAAATTAAAATACTTTAACGATATTAATATAAGTGAATAATTTAAGGAACTAGAAATTTATCATTTAAGAATGATTTATGAAGCTTTTAATGAGGCTATAAATTATGTAAGACCATTTGGAATCAGAGGATAACCATATCCATGGAAATCAAATCCTTTAAAAGTCTATTAAAATTAAACAACTTAAGAATCAATAGATAGAGCTATGGGATTTGCAATTGCAAAAATGTTAAAATGGGGTTCTTTTTTATGTGGATTCATTCCTGAAAAAATAGAGACACCTTAAGGAGAAATAATTGTTATAGAAGATGATTATTTGAATTAAATAAAAGAAGATAGGTTATAGTAAATGTTAGAATATGAAGTAATAAATATTTTGATAAATTTTAGATTCAAGAATCTGAAGAAAAATGGTTAAATTATGATGAAGAATAAGCTGAAGTGGCAGTAGAATTAGCTGATGTTGTATTTGAAACTATGTTGGATGAAGCAGCAGAAGAGATATTCAAAATTACATCAGTAGGTAAGTACTAAATAAAAGATTTTCAATAATGATATTAATAAAGAAAGCTTTATTATTCATATAATATAAGTTCTTTTAAACCTATTTATATATAAGTTAATATTATTAATTGATAATTACAAAAATTACAATATTTATAACAAATAATTTTAACATAATTTTAATAATTAAATCAAATTTAAAATTGAAATAATAAATGTCACAAGAAGACAATCAAAGTGTAAATATGAATAAGATAATATCAATCATAAATAAAGCTATAAAAAGTATAATAATGAATTCTATAATAGAATGTCCTTAATATGAATAGTCATAAAATTATTTGCTTGAATCAAGAAAAATTGTATTGTTTAATGAAGGATTAAGAGACTAAATCTTTAAGTGTTAAGATGAAATAAGATTAATTTAGAAGGAATTGACTTAACCTTCTAAAAAGTTAAGAAGAAAAGCTAATGAAATTTCAAAAAAGTATAAATGTTCAAATTGTGAAAAAAACTATGGATCAGAAGCATCACTTAATTTACATTGTAAAATAAAGCATGCTTTTTCAGAAACAGATTCAAAAACTTAAATTGATCACAGTTTTCAAATTTGATTTTCCTTTTTAATTCGCTGTTTTTTTTAATAATTAAAATTTATAACAATTATTTTTTAATAATTTCAAATAATCTAACATTATTAAATTTCGAGCAATGAAGCCTTAAATCTTAATGTTTTGATATACTCATGAATTATTATTTTCTATTTGAATAATTTTAATCAAATTAATTTGCATTCTAAAAAACAATTTAGGTAAGGCTAATCATTTTAGTTAATATAACTGAATTATTTAAAAAAAGAGAAGTATTAATAATTTCATAAAGATTATCTGAAGTTATAATTTGTGATAACTAAATATACCCATTCATAAACAGGAATGAATCCAAATTAAGTTCAGACATTTCTGAAATGTTTTATTAAAAATATTAAGAACAAATAGAATGTCGAAAATTTTTTGATTTATATTAATAATGTCTAAATTTTTTGATTTTAGCACTTAAATAAAGTATTTTATTAAGTCTAATAAGAATCACATAAACTTTGATTTAGTAATAAATAAATAACTTTAATTTTTTACATTATTATTTTATAAATCACTATAGTATAATACCTTTTTAAGTTATTTATTTAGAAATGAATTAATAATATTTGGAAAGTAAAACTATATATCAATATTTAATAAACTAATTTATGAATATTTATGCAAATGTTTTTATATATTTAATGGCCATTTAAATTAATATAAAAATTGAGGAATACTATAAATAGTTTGTATTTGAATCTTTAATTATAAATCTTATACTTATGAATTATCACAAGTATTAAGAAATTAGAAATTACATAAAATTATTCTTATTTTAATTTAATTTGTATAATTAATTAATATGTCTTATTTGAGGAGGAACAAGTAATTGTTAAAATATATTTAAGAATTGTTTAATAAGATAGTAATTTAGATTAATAGCAAAAATAATAATTTTAAGTTGAGGGATTAAATTATCAAGTATTTCATTAGTACATTGAAAACAAATTTACAGATAGCAAATAGTTTAAATTCTTAAATGGAAATGCATTGAATTAAAATGTTTATGAATTTTAGATTTCATACTAAAATTAGAAATGGAGGTGTAAATATATTAATTATATAGAATAAGAAAAACAAGTCATATGTTTAATTTAATAGATAATATTGTTGTATAAGATAACTTTTTATATTTGATAAATTATTTAAAAGAAGTCTTAGAGCATTCTGAATTTAATTAAAAATTAAAACAATTTTTATAGTTTTCAGATGTTCAAGTGAATAAAAAGTATTTAAGTTGTTATGTTGATAAAAGATCTGGAGGAAGACACAAAGTATAATATACCTATTAAAAAGAGAGCTAATTGTAGGGAAAGATTAACTTGTTGTCATTAATAGTTTTAAAGAAGATATTTGACATTGACTTGTGAAGGTATATGTTTAAGTTATGAATAATTTGGTGAGTAATCTAGAATAAGAGATATGATATTATTTGACTAGAGTTTTTAAATTCATTATGGTAAGAAATAAACTGATTAGAAATATGGAATAATATTTAAGAATAACACAAGAAATCTTTTAGTTAGATGTTATAATGAATTTGAATTTGTAGACTTAGTAGTTTAAACTTAAATAGTATTTAATTAAAGTTAATCAGTCAAAAAGAATCCATTTGATTCCTTTTCTCCAATAAGAAATAGAAATTTTGCTAAATATTTTATAGATGGACATAATTATTTTGATTAACTTAGATAAGATATTGAAGCAGCAAAAGAAGAAATCTTTATAACTGATTGGTGGTTATCTCCTGAATTATATTTAAAAAGACCTTCACATGAAAATGAAAAATTTAGATTAGATAAATTATTATAATAAAAAGCAATAGAAGGTGTTAAAATCTATTCTATTGTATATAATGAACCTAAATTAGCTTTAACAATTAATTCACAATATACTTAAACTAAATTAAATAATTTACATTCAAATATTTCAGTAGTTCGACATCCTAATAGTGTAATTCCAATGTTATGGTCTCATCATGAAAAAATTGTAGTTATAGATTAATAAATTGCTTATATAGGAGGATTAGATCTTTGTTATGGTAGATATGATACCCAATCTCATCCTTTATTTGAAGAATATAAAGGTTAATTTCCAGGATGTGATTATTCAAATAGTAGAATTTCTGATTTTAGAGATGTAACTAACTTTAAGTAATCTGATATTAATAGAGAAGAAACACCAAGAATGCCATGGCATGATGTTTAAATTAAAATAGTTGGAGGATCTGTTAGGGATGTAGCTAAACATTTTGTATAATATTGGAATTTTGTATTAATTGATTTAACCAAAAAAAATGAATATTCTATTTTATAATTATAAGATAATTTGGAATCTTTAAATAGATGGGATAGATATAAACTTAAATTATCATAAATATCTTCAAGATTAGAACATTTTTTATTAACTAAATTACATTTATCCAATGAAAACAACTAATATTAATAATAATAAACACCTGAATCAAGTTTAGCATCTCCAAATATAAATAATTAAAATGTTTAAATTTAATTAGTTTAATCTTAAATTTAAATTTAATCTAATTAATCTGAAGAAAAATAACAATATATTAAAGAAGATAAATAAAGAACTAAAAGTGCCTCATTTTATATGGTTAAGGAAGGTTTTTAAATTGAAGAAGATATTTTAAATGCAATGAATAAATAATCACAAATTGAAGATTCTAATTATTTATTTTAAGCCAAGAAAAGAACTCCATCTTTTTAACAAGCTGATAAACCATAAATTAATAATGAGAAAATTAAATTAGATGTGAGAAAAACATCTAAATCTGGATCTTGTTCTATATAAATTTTAAGATCTGCAAATAAATGGTCATTAGGTTTATCAAAAAATCACACTGAAAATTCTATATAAAAAGCTATGATACATTTAATTTAACATTCATCTTATTACATTTATATTGAAAATCAATTTTTTATGACTTCATTAGCAGGTGAACCATTACTTAATCCAGTAGGTCTGGCTATAGTATAAAGAATCAAATAAGCTTATTATAATTAATAATAGTTTCATATTATGATTGTATTACCCTTATTACCAGGTTTTGAAGGAGAAATAGATGATAATAAAGCTAATTTGATGAAATTATAACTTCATTATGAATATTATAGTATATGTAGAGGTGGATAATCTTTAATTGAATAATTAAAAGACATCCCAAATATTAGTTAATATTTGACTATATCAGGATTAAGAAATCATGGTGTAAATTCTAAGGGACAACCAAAAACAGAAATTGTTTATGTTCATACAAAACTAATGATTGTAGATGATTCAAAAGTTTTATGTGGTTCAGCAAATATTAATGATAGAAGTTTAAAAGGATCAAGAGATTCAGAAATAGCTATTTTAATAGAGGATTCTATAAAAATTGGAGAAGGGAGAAGATTTGCATATGATTTAAGGAGAGATTTGTATAATGAACATTTTCACATAACTGATTATCGTAAACCCAATGATCCTGATTTAGTGAAATAAATACAATTTTAAATTAGAGTATTATCATTTGTTATAAATAGAATAATACAATATTATATAGATAAATCTTTGCATGCTATCCTGATGATTGTGTCTTAACATTTAAATAACTTAAATAATTTAAATCAAGTGCTAATTTATAAAGTTATTTTACTTTATAACATGAAATTGTAGGATTTGGAGTAGAATGGCCACTTGAATTCTTAAAAGAAGAATCTCTAAAGCTACCAGTATTTGCTAAAGAAGTTCTAGTTCCAGATATCAATTTCACATGATTTTCTGTTATACTTTTATGTTAATGATATTATTAAGACATTTTAAGATAATTTATCTATTAAATATAATTAGATGCAGATAGTATTTACAAATATCTATTATATTATTAAATTAGATATAAAATATTGAATTTAATATTCTTATGCATATATCTATTATATTTATATTATGTTAACTATTATTTTATTCAAAAAATAATAAAATTTATAATTATGTTAAATAAATATTTTTCATTTTATAAGGTTTGTAGAGAAAAGACTAAGCTATATAATTACATAAAAAGTGTATTTATAGAAAAAATAGAATAAATCGAAGATAGTTTGATCTATTCAAATGACTTACCATATGCTGTGTTAAGTTTAGAAAACTCAAGATTTATAAATCCTAATATTGGATAAAAATTAGCAAATACTGCAAAGTTAGTTTTTCATAACAATGATTTAACAAAATTAAAATCTGCTTAATTTGCAGTTGAAATTTTAAATTCTTTATATTAATATGCTGATAAATCAGATACTGAATTGTATAAAGAAATTTATAAATTTTACTAAAACCATCCTTATTTATTTGATAAAAATTTGATTTCCAGATTATAATATTATTATCATTAGTTAGCAGAGAATGCTCATTTTGAAGATTTAGTTGAAATAGATGGAAGTGTTGGTGCTATTACTAATACAAGAATGTTTACACCTGTAGTTTTGGATTTATATAACATAAAGAGATAAAGTTATTGGAATTTAATTGTCAGATATGATCCAAATAAATTAACTAGTACAGCAACATTAACTCATAAATCTGGAATTACTATAAGAATGTAAGGTGTTTATCCAAATAATTATGAAGATATAACAGATACAAAATAATTGATAGCTGAGAAAAGATTTGATGCAGTTATTTTGAATTTAGCTCCTGTGACTATTACTTAATTAGATGAGAATAAAAAATTTGATATAATAAATAAAATAACTAGTAATTTAGAATCTAATAAAGTTTTTAAAGATAAAGTTGAATAAGTTTTAGTTACTGATTATGAACCTATTGTTTAAGAATTAAAAAAGTATCTCAGAATTGATAATTCTAAATTAATTCTTACAGGTATTTAATAAGGTTTTGAAGTACCATACACATTAGAATCATTATTATATTAATTTTCTATGTAAAGATAAGATTCAAATTAACCTCATTTAATTTTAGGTGGATTAGGAATTGAAGATAAATTAAAATTGTTTTTAAATCAAATTAACCCTTAAAAAATAACTTAAGAATTATAAACACTTAGATTTAAATGGTTAAATTAAGTTTTTTCACATGTTGCTAAAGCATAAAAAATAGGATGCTTTGTTTGTGGTACATAACCTGAGGCCATTAATCCACCTTCAAAGATCTTGAATGAAAACCCTATTATATAGAATATTCAATCAAAATTTTTGGCTGATATCACTTTAAAATATATTGGAAATAGTACAAAAAAGGATATTTTATTAGTTGTAAATTAATCAATATTTTATGATACTCTAAAAAATATTGTTGAATCTTAAATTATAAAAAATGATTTTAATATTGATGAATATAGATCTGATCTTATTAAATAAAAATTAGGAACATCACCCTTAAATTAAAATTATCTAAATTTATTTAAATAATTTTATGAAGAGTAATTTTATCATATAATATATATAGTTCCTTATAGACAAATTAAATCTATAAATTATGCACTTAAGAGATATTAGACTTGAATAAAATCTCAAAATTAAAATATATTCCAGGATAATAAATTCGCTGTGGTATAAGAGACATTTTATTTTGAAAATATTTGTGTAAATTAATAAAAAGAATTTATATTAAAGATTATTTTCTAATGCATAGTACAGAAATCCCTGATCCTTAAAAAATAGAAGAAGCATTTAACATAATTATGACCACTAAAAATCAATAGAGTGGAAAAGAAGCAGATTCCTATTTAAGAAATTTGGAATAAAATTATCCATACATTTTAGTGTCACTTATTTAGATTTTTGAAAATAGTTAGGTATTTCTTTAAATTATAATATATTTAAGGTTTATTTAAATAAATTCTAAGCATTATTATTAATCAAAAATATTATAGTTAGAAATTGGACTAAATGTTAATTAAAAGATAGTCAAAAAATATAATATATTTCAGAAGAATTAAAAACTCATGTGAAGGATAAAATAATATCCTTTTTAGGAGTTGTTTAAGATGATAAATTTAAAACAGAAATTAATTTGATCCTAGGAGTCATTGCTAAACATGATTTCCCTATAAAATTTTAAGGATTAGGAAATTTTTTTATATAAGGACTTCAAACTATTATATAAAGTGGATCAACTAATAGTGCTATGACTTATGATCTAATTGTTACACTCAAAGTAGTTTAATAGAATGTAATTTTAAATAGAAATAGTATTAAATATAATTATAATATAGCTGCATTTAAACTATAATAAATTTAATTCTTTTAGGCAATTTGGAATAATCTATTACTTCTTTGGAAGAATATCACCTAATTACAATAATAAGAATTGTAATAAAATATAAATAATGATTCATTTGTTAATAAAATCTCTAAAAAATTGGATAGACTATTATCATTATCAATAATGTCCTTAAATTAAGAATACGAATAGTAATTATATAATAATATAATATTTTAGAGAAAAAATACATTTAGTATTTATGTTATTGTTAGAAAAAACAGCATTTCTATTAAAAAATATATCGTAATAAAAATTCTTATAACCAAATCTTAAAACTTTGATTCATAGTTTAGGTAATATTTAAAGTTTATTCTCATTCTGTATTAATTAAGGTTTTTAAGATTATTTAATTTTATTAAAATTAATAATATAGAATGAATGGGAAGACAAAAGAGTTTTAAGAACTGGTTTAATTGGAATATTAAAAATACTAAAATCTTTATTGTTTTTTAGAGATGAACAATTTTATAAAAAGAAACTTTAAGAAGCTAATTCATAATAATTTAAATAAACAATCCAATCAATTAATTAGCTCTTAAATTCATTCTTTTAAGAGAATATGTAATTCCTAATTGAATAACTAATAAAAATTGCTGCAATACCAACTGATCTTAGTGATGAAGAACTTATTGAATAAGAAGAAGATTTAACAATTGATGATGCAAAAAATGAAATGTAATGTCCTATATTTACAATTTGTTTAATATGTTAAGATCAATTAATGTAAAGATTTCCAGAGTTATTCATTTAGAAAATTACTGAAATAATGCAATAATTAATAAATAGTAATTTTAATGCTAGTTAATAAATTTTGGAGAGCTTCTTTGCATTATTAGGATCAACACCAAGGTTAACTACAAAATTAAAAATATAACCAATATAAATTTAACCAGTTTTATAATATTTAATAAAGACAAATACTGTTTAATGTTAGAGAAGATTTGCATTCTTATGTAGAAACTATTGTAATTGTTTTAGTGATTCTGAATTACCTTAAATATTAGAATATGCTAGATTATTATTAAGCAATTCATAAGATTAAATAGTTTAATATTAAACTTTGATGTGCATAAAGAGTATTATATAATATTTAGGTCCTAATTTTGATTTTAGAAATATTACATTTTTTGAATAAGTTGCACCTGTAATTGTTAAATTATTATGTAATTTATAAAAATCAAATATTTTATGGCCATTGTTGTCTTTATTAGAAAATCTAATTTAAAAATATTCAGAAACTAATGTAAATTCTATGTAAATTTTGGTTAAAGTTATTGAAAACTCAGATATCATTTTATTAATGAAAACTAAATCATTATTATTAATAGGAGCTTTATGTGATATGTTTCTTGCATTATTTGTTTCCTTTCCTTTAGGATCTAATTTAAGTCATTTATTTAAGTTAGCAATAATTTTGATTGATACTAATTTAGACTCAAAAGAAAATAATATTTTTGATTTATTACAGTTTTTATTATAAGAATATGATCCTAATTCAGACAATAATGCAACAGGTATTTTATTTAGTAATTTGTATTTAACACATGAAAAGGAATTTATGGAAGATACAGAATTTAGTCATATGTCAACAATATTAAGAATCATTGAAGAATTATTATTATTAAATCTCATTTAATTGACACCAAATATATTTAATCTTCTTTAAGAAAGATTATAGATTGCATAATCAATTAATTCTTATGATATTGCTATGATTTTAAAGAAGAGTTGCATAAGTTTATTGGAAACAATAATATTGAAACAATATGAAAGTATAACAGTTCAACAAAATTAACAGATTATAGTATTTTTAATCTAAGAATTACTTAAATTAAATGGAGGTGATTAAGTTGATCAAATGTATTACACTATTTAATATAAGAATAATATATTGGAAATTCTCAATAGATTTATATTAAAGGATATTATGAGTATGATTTAAGTATTTAATTCTGTTTCAATATCAATAGATTAATATTTTATTTTATGGTAAGATACTGCTTAAAATATTATAAATAGGGGAAATAGAAAAATAAATGTAATTTCTTAATTATTATTCCTCAAATATCTTTAAAAATCTACATTCGAGAAAGTATTTTAACATGTACTCTCAGAAGCATTTCCAGAAATTGATTATGATTTTGATCTGAGATCTAAGGAATTTAGAGATTTACAATAATAAAATAAAAAAAAATTAGCTAATTCCAGATAAACTAGATTATCTAAATAGTTTAGAAATAATTATAGGAAGGAAATCTTATAAGAACTTTGTTTATATGATGAAACATTTAATTTAAGGTAATTCTTCTTTTCAACAATATAGGTAATTTTTTATTTATATTTAATTAGGAATGTATGAAACTCCATAATTACTCTGAATTAACTTAGATTATCAATATTCCATCAATTATAGACAAACTGAATCAATTGATTAATGAAAAATGAAAGAGTGTGAATTATATAAATTATATTAATTGTAATTTAATGTATGTTTATATATTGTACAGATGAAATCATTCTTTTTTTTCTTCTGCTCTAATTTTTCCTTTGCCATTAGTCAATCTAACATTGAGTTCGGCTGCTCTTCTTACAAGTGTAGCTCTTTTTCTGGCAGAGAGATTATGAGCCAATTCACCTGCAAAAGTTCTATTATTTGTAAGTAATAATTCAAGATCCTTTTCATTTGTGATTAATAATTTTCTGAAACCTGTTTAATCCAAATATCTAATTGGATGTTATTTTTATATACCTTGTTTTTTTATCACCTCTATAACCAGCTTTTGGCATAGGTCTATTTCCTCTAAATCTTCTTCTCACTCTGTTATCAATACCTCTTGGTCTTCTCCAACTAGGTCTTAATTTGTGTGGATAGTCTTCTGATTCAAATCTAACAAATCTCTTTGTTCTCTTGTGAACAATTCTTTTGTGAGCTAGTGATTTGACAACCATTTTTAATTAAATAAAGATTTTATTTCAAATATACATCTTCATTCTTAGTAATAATAAAATATGAGCAATCTATATCTAGTCAAAAATACTAAGCCTAACATTAAGACAATTTATAATTAAAGATACCTAATCTATATAGAGATTCATTTAATTAATTTCTGGATAATTTATAGAAGAGATGGATATATTTTCGATAATAATTAATTCTATATAATTAATCTGTAAATGAAAATCAATAATTTTATTGTGATTATAGTTTTATCATCTATAATATATATATGAATTCTTCTTTCCTTTAAAAAGAATTTGGAATAATATATTAATTTAAGTCTCATTTAAGAAATATATAAATATTAAAGAATAATTACATATATGTAATTTAATTATTCATATTACTTATCTGTAGTATATATTTATTGTGAATTTTGAAGAGTTTTAGAATTAAAATTCTACTTGTATATTATGTTAAAAAATTATATTTAAATTTTAAAATACTATAATGAGATTAAAATTAAGATACTTTATAGAAAGTTAATAATTTTATTATTATTTTTATTCTTAATGATATATTTTATAATCTATTTCATAGGATTTTCAAATTTATGAATATTTCGTTTTTAGATAAGACTTTTTATAATTATGATTTTTGAAATATATTTTACTTTTAGATTTCTATTTTTAAATTCTTTTTCTTTTCTATTAAAAAATACTTTTTTATTCATCATCCATTTTAATCAACAAATTTACTTTAGTTTGAATTAAACTGATTATCTATTATGATAGTTAGATTAATATACTTAGTTTGTTGTTTCATTTTAGACATTCTGATGATTATTATAAAATTATTAAATGGCCTTAAATAAATCGAATTTTGAGAAAGACCAAAATTCTGAGTCCAATGTTACAAATAATATTAAATCAATATATTTTGTTTATTCCTCTTATAGTAAATCACATATAGTAATGAGATTCATGTCAAAATGAATGAGATTCAAAATTTACAATTCCATTTCAAGAAAGTCTTTCTTTGAGAATGTACTATTTCCCAAAAGGATACAATCTTACATAGTAAACTAAATAAAGCTTTAACATTCATTATACTAAAATATATATCTACAAAACCTTAACAGAAATGAAGAATGATGTAATGGCTATAAGCAAAATGTTATTTAAATTACAACACTATTAACTTAGACAAATTTAAATTATTTAGGCAGCTAACTCTGTGGTCTTTAGACTTAAGTTATTGGATTCACATAACTAATTTAAACTATTCAAACATCTTTTTACTCTATAAATCCATTATGTTAAACTTTCCACCTTCTAAATCAGTTCTTCAGATAGAGTTGTGCACTATACAACAAAATTTCTGTTCATATAGAAATACTTATGATTATTAGAATTGAAAAAGTTTGGATTATTTATATCATCTTTTGAAATTAAGCAAAATGCTTTATATAATTTGAGAAATATCTTTTTATTAATAAAAATATTATAAGATAAATTTCATAATTTATTTAATACTATGCATAATAAATATATCATAAAATAATATTTAAATAAACTCAAATCATAAGATTATAGAAATTGAATGAAGAAGCTAATAATTTAAATGAAAAATATTTCCATTTTAGGTTTCTTCAATATATTTTTGATTATTAATATTTATTACTATGTACCGATTACATTAATTGTTTTAAAATTATTTACTTCATTTGACAAATTTTTATTCGATAATAAAATCTATAATTTATGAACTCCTAAATAAAACAACAAATCTATTTTATTCAAAATCTATTGTACATAACATTTAAATAATTTTGTTAAAATATTTAATCTTTGAAGTATAATTTGAAATAACCAACTACTCTTTCTTTAATTTGTCAAACATTTTCTAATAAGATGATAATATGATAGTTTATAGTATAAAATTTCATTAATATTAATTAAAATTATATATATTAAGCAAAATCATATATATCAGTGATTTTTGAAAATATCATAAACTGATATATCTAAAAATTGTTAATATTTTAATAAATAGAAGTTTGATGTTTCAAATAAAATTAAAGTTTTTTATTCAATCTTATTATGGAATAATATTTTGATAATGATCATTGAATGATTATAAAATTTCTTAAATTTAAAATCCTTTTAGAATTCTAATATCAAATGATTTTAATTTAATAATTTAATAACACTTAATTAATTTAATTATTAATAATTTATTATAAATTTCAGATTTCTAATTAAATAACTTCTGTTGAATGATTGGTGTCTCTCATATATAGTCCAATAAGATTTGTTGCTTTTTCAAACATATTGGTTCTTAATGAAACAATAATAAATTGAGAATCTATTTTATCCAAAAATTCTGCTACTATTTTAACATTTTTAAAATCTAAAGCTGCATCAATTTCATCAAGTATATATATTGGAGTTGGTCTATAGAAATGTATTGCAAGCATCAAACTCAAAGAAGCTAATGTTTTTTCACCTCCTGATAATTTAGATATCTATTTCCATGTTTTATTTGGAGGTTTTACCATAAATTATAATCCTTCTTTAAAAATTTCTAATTCATCAATAACTTTAATTTCTGCTTCCCCTCCCATACTGAGATGTTTATATATTTCTTATAATTTTAATTCAACATTTTTTAAAGTTTTAGCAAATTATATTTTTCTTTCTTAAAATAGATCTTCATTACTTGATTTTTCTTATTAAAAATTAATTTCATCATCTTTTGCTCTTTTTAACTTAATTTCATAATCTATTGATCTGTCCATAAAAATTTTCATTAAATTTTTATCCTTATTTTTATTATCAGATGTTCCTAATTCAGTATAGATATCAATTAAGTTTTATTATTTTGCAAATAATTTACTAGCATCTTTTATAAGTTAAATATCTTTTGGTATAGATTCTGGTAAGAATTCCTCAATTCCTGCAGGAATAAAAAATTCCCTAAATTTTTAATAATATTCATTTCTAACTTTTTATATTTCTGTAAGTAATTATTAACAAAAAATGTTGTCTTGATGGATTTAAAAAAATAAATTAGGATTTCCAGAATCTGAATTAAATGCTAAAAAGTATTCTTTATGTTCATCTATTAATTCCCTTTATTTTATTCTATTTTTTTCTTAATCTTATTTTTCTATGTTTTTTTTTAAGATAAATGCTTGTTTTTTATCTTCTGTTTCTTCAATCACTGTATTAATAGATGTAATTGTTTTTACTAGATCATCAATTTATTTAGAGAATATTGCTTATTATGCTTTGACTACATTTAATGAACTTTATAATCGATGTAATTATTATTTATGTACTTCTACAACATTACTATCTTAATATTTTTTATCTTATATTCTTTTTAGTTATTCCTTTAATTTTTCCAAATTTTCAGTCTCTAATTGAATATTTTAAGTATTTTAAACAATTTTTTTACCAGTAATAGTTTTTTATGTAATAACTTTAAGAAGTTCTTATTAATATGTTTCAAATGTTTAAGTATAATTACTAAACATATCTTTAGCAGAATTGAGATCTTGATTAGCAATTTCTTTTAATTTATCATCTATTCCTTATAGATCTTATTAATCTAAACAAGTTTTACTTTAGACTTTTTCTATTTCTCTTTATATAACTTCAATCTCTTTTTTAACTTCTTAATTTTTCTATTAATTATAATGGCATTCTTAATATTAAATCTAAAGGATTTCCATTTACTTTTTATTATCATTAATTTATTCTTAAAGCATATTTTTATCAACCAATCTTTATTTATGTTTTGAATTGACCATTTCTTCATCAGATAAGGTTTCTCTCAACTTTTTTTCAAGTGCTAAGATTTCAAATTTAGTTTAATCTAATTTTTCTTTGAGTTAGTTTCTTTCCTTAATTAATTATTCTCTTTAATCATTAGAAAGTTCCTCATAAAATTTACTAGACATTCCTCCTTTCCTCTATTCTGGACCACCTGACATGACTCCACTTTATTCAACTAATTTACCATCTAATGTTACAACTCTTTTTCTTTAACCTATTCCAATATCTCTTGCAATCTCAATATTATCTACAACTAATGTATCTCTTAATAAATTATAGAAAACACCTCTATATTTTGTATCTTTAAAATTGATTAAATCAAATAATCTAAGAGTCTTATCAAGTGATTTAAATGGTCTTTCCATAAATTATATAACATTTTCAGGTACTTTGTTTATAGGTATAAATAAAGCTCTGCCTACTTAATTCTATTTTAAAAAATTAATACAATCTACGGCATCTTAATCATTTTCCACAACTATACCATCCAATCCAGGACAAGCTGTTGTAATAGCACATTCATATTTAGGATCAATTGTTCCTAAATCTCCTAATCTTCCACAAATTTTTAATTAACCTGCTTAAGATGCTCTTGTTAATGCTCTTAATACTGTTGAATATTAATTTTTCTCTTTTCTATCTTCATTATTTTAATCTAATCTTTCTTATTTTTAAGCAATTTCATTAATTAATCTTTTCTCTTCTGATTTTTTCTCACTTAATTCTTTTAATGTCTTTTCTTTTGAATCTCTTATCAAACTTTATAAATCTAATTATCTCTCTATATAACTATTAATTTATTCTATTTAAACCTATAATTATGTTGTTTTTTTATCAAATTAATCAAGTTAATTTAAAAATTCATCAGGACTTTTACTAGTTCTTTCTTTTTCTAATTATAATTTTTCTAATTAAACTTATAAATCATGAATCTATTTATTAAAAGGCTTAAGCTTTTATTCTAATTCTTCTTTTTACTTCATTAAAAATCGAGATTCAACTTTGAGATCTGTTTTCAATTTATTATAATGTGTTTCTGCAATATTTTTTTCTTTTTCTATTTTATCTACCTTATTTTATTTTTCTGGTATCATTTATTCAAATTTTCTTTAATCCTATTCCAAAAGTTCTTTTTCTTTAATTAAATCATCAATTTATTTCTGTAATTTATTAATATTTAATTAACATTCTAATTCTTCATTTTAATCATACTTATTATTTATTGAATTTATTTCTAAATTAATAATTTTCTATTAATTTTCATTATCCTTTATTTCTTAATCAATCCTTTCTTTTTCTCCCCTTAAAATTTTCAAATCATCCATTTATCTTTATCTACATTCAGTTTATAATAGAATTTCTGCATTTTCATTCATTATTTCATCCTCTAATTAACATAATATTTATTCCTTTTTTAATATTTCAATCTAACAAAGTTAAACTCTAAAAATTCTACTATAAACACTTTTAACAAATTCTGCTAAATCTACCATTCCTTTTATTTCATTTAAAGTATGTTAAGCAATATTTGCTTTTTCTTAAGATTCAAAATATCTGCTTTAAGCAATTTATTTCTTTTTAAAAGATTCTTCCATCTGTTCCTTTTAATATTCTTCTTCAATATACTCTAATAATCCTGGCTATTCAAAATTCCCAGATTTTGGTTTCATCATACTTATTGATTCTACCTCTCCTTATAAAATTATGAATTTATTTGTGGCATCAATATTCTTAGATTTCAAATATTAATGTAATTTCACTTACTTAACTGGTTCATTATCAATGTATACTTCTGTTGTATTTCCTTTTATTGTTCTTTTTAAAACAAATCCATCAAATACAACTTCAACTCTACATTCTGACATTCCTGCTGAAATCAACTAAGAGACTGTTTTACATCTCATAGAAGTTGCTCTTTTTCCAAATACAAATTATATCGCATCTATAAAATTTGATTTGCCTGACCCATTAGGACCTATTATTGAATTGAAATGTTATCCACAAATAATACGATGTTCCCCATAATAAGATTTAAAATTCTCTAAAATAACTTCCTTAATCATATTTTCTATTCATATAAATATTCTAATCAAAATATATTATATATAAAAAAATCATTTAAATAATTTTTAAAGTGATTTATAAAATTTAGTTTAGATGTATTTAATTATTTGTTTAATTATTTTTGATACAATTTATGATTAAGCATATATATATATCATTAATCTATTTTTCAATTATCCACATTATATACGCTACTATTAATATTATTTTGACTAGCCAATTTTTTATTAGGCAGACAATATAATTGTTTTTTTTGCCTTTTTCTATTTATTTGGAATAGCATCTTTTTCCTTTTAATTGTAAATAAATCTTTTATAATATTGTTCAAATTAAATTGCACATCATAGAATTCAAATTCTTATTACATATCTATTTAAAATTCATGTTTATCAAAAATCTCTCTGACTATTTCTAATTCTATTAGTTTTATTTATGATGGCTCAAGCTTAATATATCGATTAGAAGGAGGAGGTGTTTCTTAAACTTATTTACTATTTTATCTGCTTAGATTTAATTTGCTATCTTAATTGGTATCTTTTAAGTCCTCAAATTCATTCACAATCTTTTAACTAGAGGCATTTATGGTTTATTTTTTAGTTCCTCTTGTAACCTTTATTCTCATTTGAGATATGCCTGGTTCTTATTAAATTTTATTAGCAATTTTTTAAATGGAATGTTTCATAGTATTAGCTTTTTAAGATTGAGATGATAATTAATGCTTTAATTAAGTTCCAGAATTATCAGGAGAATTTATTGATTCTTGATCATCTGATATAGATTAACCATCCCCAACAAAATTCATTTCATCTACTCTATTTACAGTAAAAAATTCACTATCAGGAAGTAAATCAGTATATAAATAGTTCTAATTACCATATTCTAAAATATTTCGTTATAGCTATCTTAAATTTAACATTGATTTATTTGCTTAAAGTTTTTGGGCATTCTACCGCTAAAGAAAAAGTCTCTTCTAATAATCATTGTTTGCCTTCTTTTTAAATAGTGTTATACTATTTGGAGTGTAAAATACAAAGGGACATTTTGTAAAACTATGATTTTAATAACAAAGTTCGCATCCACTAAATTTGATTCTTCCACCAAATTATATTTAATGTTTAATTCTATAATATTTTTCTAAATCTTCTTTATTTTACTTTAATAAACTTAGTACATCATCAAAAGATACATAAGCCAATTTAGAGAACTTTACAGCTCTTGATGTAAATTAAGCACAATTTTATGAAATAAACCCTTTTTCATCTATGGCTTACTTTCTTTTATAAATTTTGACTAATTTATTATTTCTTAAATAGGCTTCCACCTCACCTTTTAATATAAAATATATTTTATCTACTTGTTGTCCTTCTTAAAATATCACCTCTTCTGGCACAAAACTCTACTCTTTAACTAATAAACAAAGATTTGCTATAAATTCCTCTGAGAAATTTTATCTAAATAATTTAGATTAATCAAATAGAGTTTTATAAAAATCTATTTTTACTTCCCTAATTAAAGTGCCTGATAAATGTTCCATCAATTTTTCACATTCAGAATCTGTGTTTTTTAAAGTTTTTAAATAATATTCAAAAAATTTCTTTACTTTAATTTATAGATCTTTATTTAGTCCTCTTCTTTTAATAAAGGAATCTATCATAGTCATTTTATCTCTTAAATAGTTTTTATTCTCTGTCATTTAAGCAAATATTCCTCCTATACTAGATATAGTATAACCAAAGATTATTGAACTTAATAGAGTTACAAATATAACAAACAACTTTTCAATTTATGTAACCTACATATATAACAATTATTTTACAGGTGTAATATCTCCATAACCAATAGTTAAAGTTGTAATACATGCCCAATAAAAAGATGTTATATATCTGCTTACCCAATCAGTTTCTAATTCAGCTTTATCAACCCAAGTAAAAATAGAATCAGAAAATAAATGCTCTTAAACAGCTATAAAATGCCAAACACATGCAATTAAGTGAGAAGCAAAGAGAAATGTTGCTAATAATGAGACTAAATCTATCACAGCTGCAAAATTTACTCTCAAATTCAAGGTTTCCACTAGGTTTTCAAAGATGAACATAATCTATTTAATTTAATTGATTTACTCTTGAAATTCTAAATAGTAATACAAATTCTATATAAGGAACATTGGATCTTCCAATCATAAAAGGAATGAGTACTATGAAATCAGTAATAAATTTGCCTCTTAAATAGTGTTTCACTATTTAAATTTAATTCAACACTAAGACTCCTCTACTATAATATGCAACATTGAAATTTAATAAAATTTCACATATAAATACATATTAAGGCAAGGTTTCTAAGAAAAAATCTATTCCACTGTTAGATCCCTATATTTCAAATGATATTTTTAATGGAATATAAATTATATTGATGATTAGGATTGTAAAAACAAAAAGATCCCATAGCAATTTTAATGTATGATCTGGCGTTATAGGTTATACACTTATCCCAAGTCTTCTCAAAAAGTTTATTATCTTCTTCGTAAACATCTTGAGGTGAAACTCATAATTACTTAGCCATATTTACGCAAAATTGCTTCTTTGATCTGGCTCGAATTAATCGCTTGCTCAAATAATAATTATAGTCTGCTGCTTGATCACCAATTACTTTGAATTATCTTAATTCCAAATATCTCAATTTAAATTTGTCTGAATTTGTCAATAAATATGTAACAAATCTAGCTACTAAAACTATAACATTCAGTGCTCTTTCTTTCCAAACTTTATTTTTGAATCCTTGCATAAACTTAATTGGAATTTCTTCTGACTCGTTTGATTGAACACTATCACTAGGTTCATTCGAAATCTATATTTTATCTAATTTTGTAAAAAGAATAGAAGGTTTTCTGCCAGCATCATCTAATAACTATTCATCTAGTAATAAAATAATTGATTACTTGGTTAACTATTACGACTAGATAGAATTCTTGGTGTGACTGATAATAAATCTGTTTTTGGTTAATTCATTAATATTATATTTGCTCTTTATATATATAGAACATATATAAAAACTTCTATTTAATATTTTATGAATTTCATTATATTATTCTGTATAATAAATATTTCATTGCTTAGAATACTTAAATTTAAATAAATATAAGATAAGAAGTACTAAATTTTTATTATAATCTATAAATAAGTCTAAAAAAATTATTGCTATTAACTTAATTCTATTAAATTTTTTTCTTAGTATTTATTAAAGAATGACAATAAATAAAATATTAATTAAAATATGAATCAAAACAACTAAAATCTTCCATAATGTAAACATATCATACTATTATTTTAGTTTAACAATTCAACTTACAACAAAATATGGACAATTAATAATTCAAAAATCAGCAGAATTAAGGTAAAATTTAACTTAAAATCTTTTAGTAGGTGAAGGATATTAACAACTAAATATGAATTATCAAAATACCAATAACAACTAACCTTTTACTAATAATAATCCCAATACTCCTAATTAGATAAACAATAATCAATATACTTAAGCTTAGATGGGTCCAAATATTTATGGTTAAGCGAATGCTGGTCTATATCCTTCAGTTCCTATTGATATGGGCCAATTTAATAAAAGTTATAATACGAGTCAATATCCTTATAATTAAAATTAGTTGATGAATTAATTTCAACCAGGTTCGATGAGTATAGGTCCAAATCCTATTGTATCACTCAATCCACCAAACTTAAACTTCCAAACTCCAAGAACAACTTTACCTACTATATCGTAGAAAGAAAAAGAACTTCAAAAAAAAGTTAATGACTTAGAAGAAGAATTAAGGGAAAAAGAAGAAGAATATAGAGAAAACATAAAAAAGGAAAAAAAACCATTGCAGCAATCTATTAATGATTTAAAAAAAAAAATTCAAGAATTAGAGGATGATATTTTTGATTAAAAAAAATTGATCTCAACTCTATAATCTGATAATAATAATAAATTGTTTTAAATTGATAAAATATCTAAAGAAAAATCTAATTTTGAAACATAAATGAATGATATGTAAGGGGAAATTGAGACTTTAAGGAATAATAATTAATTACTAATTCGTAGATCAGTAGTAAGCCCTACAGTAGGTGTTGCTTAATAATTTGATCAACAATTGATATAATAATATGATTAATAAAACAATAAGAGTAAAGAAGAAGTGAAAAAATTAAAAGAAGATAATAATAAATAAAAACAATAATTTGAAGATCAATTAGAGAGTGTTCAAAGAGAATTAGATAAATAAATTAAGCAAGTTGATAAGGAACATCAATATTTTATGGAAGCAAGAGATGAGATTACTAAATTATAAAAAGTCATCAAATAAAAGGAAGAAAAAATTAAATAGTAAGATTTGTAATAAATGAATTTTGTTGATACTTTAAGATAAGCTAATATGGATAAACAAAAATTGGAGGATAAGATAAAATAAAAAGATTTTGAGATAACTTCAATGAATGATCAAATTTAATTATTGTAAAATTAAGTAAATTTTCTAAAAGATTTAATTAAAGATTCATAAAATGGAAAATAAATTAAACTTGATTAAAATAATTAATTTCAATAATTGGAAAAATAAATGTAATGGCTAAATTAAAAAAAAAATGAGGATTAATAAAAAATTGAATAAGAAATATAATAAAATGAATTGACTAGAAAAGAAAAATTAGAGAAAGAGAGAAAAAAAAAAGAAGAAATGCAAAAATAAGCAGAGCTTAAAAAAGGAAATTTACTTTTAAAGGGAAATGAATAAATGTAACAAGCTAAAAAAGAGTTTGGTTAATTAGATGTCTGTTTTATTGTCGATGTTACTGGGTATTGATATTATATTAACTTAAGGTCTATGGATTCATATAAAGAATAAACCAAAAGATCAGTCTAAGGATCTTTAAAAATAATAAAATAAGCAACAAATAGAGAAACAAATTGGGCATCAGTTTGTTATTAAGATAAAGCTGAATTATAATCATTAGGAAAATATCATGAATTTCCATTTTCAAAAGATTAGTAAGCACTTGAAAAATGGTTTGATGGAATTAAGTGTTCTGGAGGAGGAGATGCAGCTGAAGATATAAGAGGAGGAATCAAATAAGTTTGCAAATTAAGTTGGCCTAGTAAATTTAGAATTGCAATTATAATTTGTGATGCTCCATGTCATGGTAAAAAATATAATGGAGGTTGTGGAGATAATTTTCCTGATGAAGATATTTAGGATGCTATTGAAGAATTAATTGAAAAAAATATAGTTTTAATAGCACTTAATTTTACAAAACATACTACAGTCATGTATGAAGAAATAAAGAAAATATATGAATCTAAGAAAAAATAAGAGCTATTTCTTTACTAAGATTTATAAAAAATGGATTAAAATTAAATGGCATAGACTATGACGAAGTATATAGGTGAAGCATCATAAAATGCAACCTAAACAAATAAAAATTAAACAAAATCTAAATAAGTAGCAGTTTAATAAGAAATTCCAAGAGAAAAAGAAGGTGCTATGGAAGCTCTATGTAAATAGGGAAATTTTTATAAATTTGAAGAATAGCCAAATGTTAAAACTGTTAATACTAAGTTTGAAGTTTGGAGAGTAGAAATAAAAGATGAAGAGTTTAATAAAAATATTGAAACTATAGAAAAGATTTAATGTCCATAAGATTTTTCTAAGTTTAAAGAAGGAACTTGGAATTGTTTAAGAACTGAAAAACCATTTGCTTTTGGTATGATGAAAGATGTATTTTTAATGAAAAAATTAAATGTAAATTCTGATGAATTATATGTCATAAAAACACCTATTGGTAGTTAACCATACAAAACTATGAATGATGCTTTAAAGGAATGTAAATCACATTTGATTTGTCAGAAACTTATGAAAAAATTTGTTTCTGAATTATAAGAATAAGCTACTGAAAAAGATAAGAATATAAAAATACCACCTGTAATATATAGTGATTTCTTAATACTTGAAGAATCATAAAGTATTTATATTATATTATTTATTTAATTAGATTCATTTTGGATTGCAGAAAGATTTTTTAAAGGAGAATTTGTTAAATATAATAATAATTATGGTTTTATAAATGAAGATTATCAGACTGACTTAAATAAGTTTGCATAATCATTTACATATTATACATATTTTATCAGCAATTTTAATTACATGGTTAGTGATGTACAAGGAGTGGGTAATTATTTCACTGATCCAGCTATCAATACACATAAAGGTAATATTTATATATTAAAATTATTAGGAGATTTTGATGAAACAGATATGGGAGAAGAGGGATAAATGATGTATTTGGTTAATTATGAAAATAAAAAGGCATTACTAACATATGATTATCTAGGTTTATTGGGAATTTATGAATGATATAATATTAAATATAATTAATAGGATATTGAATATTAAAATATAATTTATTTAAAAATAAAATATGAAAACCACAACAGTAGTAGAATCATAGGTTATTAAGACTAATGTGGAAGTTGAATAAGCACCAATTAGATACAATAGAAAAAGAAATTATATGTCCACTTCATTTGTATCTGCTTAATTTCCTAATACATAATATGGGTGCTATTAAATTATGATTGACAATCATGAATGCCGACCAAAATGTCAACCTCCTCCTTAATAACCTTATATGATGCCTATGTATGTTCCTGTTCCATATCCTTAATAATAAGAGAAGGAATGTGAATGTGAAGATGGAGAATCATATAAGGAAGAATTATTGTTTTTAAGATAGAGAGTAGCAGAATTATTAGCAAGAGAGCCTGAAGTAAAGACTGTTAAAGAGAGAGTAGAAGTAATAGACAACACAAGAGTATTAATAAAATGATTATTAAATATAGGTTGAAGAACTTGAACTTGAAGCATAGAGATTAAGATTATAATTATAATAAGCATAAAATTAATTACGATAAAAAGAGTAAGAGTTTATAGAATTAAGAAGTGGAAATGATCAATCATAATAAGGATTATCATAGAGAATCAAAATAATTGAAGTAAGAAATAAAAATTATATCAGGAATAATTGTATAAGGTAAGACTGGAAATTGAAAGAATTACTGGATTGTTGAATTAAAAAGAATAAGAAATTGTAGAATTCGAAAGAAGATGTCATGAAATGGAAAGTTCTGTTACTTATGAAATTGAAGAGAAAACAACAAAACTGAGATCTGTATTATTAAATATTATTTTTCAAAGGAAGTAGAAGTTTGGAAAAGTAGATTTAAGAAATTAAACACAGAATATTTCACTTGTTAAGAAACATTAATTATGGTATAAGCTGAAATTGATTCAATTAAAAATGGAGGAGTAAAAGAAGTTAAGGAAGTAAAAGTTGAAAAGAAAGTTGTAGGACCAACAATTACAACAGTTTCATCAAGTCAATCAAGAACAAGAGGATCAAGAGTAATTGAAAGTTCGGAAGTCATAAAAGAAGGAACACCAGCTAGGTTATACCCATGAGAAATAAATATATAAATATTTTAAACAAAAAAATGTTTTCATCTTAATTTACTTGGACCATTCTGTAAATTATTACTATTAGCATCCTCTATTATTTTATATTTTAAGCTATTACTGTTGAAGATTAATAGAAGTAAATATCTTTTATAAGACATGGGGCAAGATCACCTAATAAGTATAATCCATTAGATTAAATATTATGGAAAAATTATAAACCTGGTTATCTAACAGAAAAAGGATTTCAATAGCTTTATGACTTAGGTTAATAATCATAAACAGATTATTTTTATGATTCGGACAAAAATTGTATATATCAAAAATTAAATTTTGTTTCATCTGTTATACCAAGGGTCATGCATTCATTTATTGCTTTTGTTTAAGGATTATGTCCCAATAATTTTTAAGAAATCTTAAGAAGTTATTTTTTAGACTATTATTCAAAGTATTCTTAAAATGAAAAAATTTTAAATGAAATTGTGCAATCAAATTTTACAAATCCATTAAATTTTGATTTTATAACATTTAAAATGGAACGTGACTTTTTATTTCATGGTCATAGTTCAACCTAATGTCCTAAATTAGATGATATTAAATTAGAAATTATGAACAACTAAGAATATTTAAATAAGAATGAAGAATTTAAACAAAGACCAGAGTTTTAAGAAGTATTTTAACAAATGAAATATTCTAATTCTTCTTTAGATTAAGCAACAATTACAATTAATAAAATGAAAACATTTTATGGTGGTTACAAATGTAATAAATATTAAGGATTTGATAAACCAGTTCTTTCATTGAATGCTCAAAAATATTTAGATGAAGTAATTAGGTTTTGATATTTTAGGTTTTTATCTATAAATTTTATAATATGGATAATTCAAGATCTATTCAACATTTTTCAGCATTAACTGAAATATTTTAATGGATAATTCAATAAATTAACGGAGATCATACTATTAGTATATATTTTGGACATGATTCAAATTAAGTTGCAATATTAGCTGTTTTAATTGAAGAACCACTTATTCCTCCTTTCGCCTCTAAATTGAGTTTTGTTATTTAAGGAGAGTATGTCAATTTATATTTTTAAAATGAACGTTTAGTGACGAAAATGTGTAGATCTAAAATTAATTGTACTAGAGGATAAGTAATCAAATATTTACAAAAATATATTTCTAAAAATTTGAATGATCTTTGTCAGATTTGATTTTATAAATAATTATTAATTCAATTTTGATTTTAAAGAAATTATTTTATCATCAAAGTGTTTTATAAATTTAAATTTTATTGCCACAAAAGATAATTGATTAATTAATAATATTTTTAGCTCTAAAAATATATAATGATAGGATCCACAATTTACTTAAGTGTCTTAATTATTGATGATAAATAATTCAAGATATATAATTTTTAATAGTATGATCTAATTCTAACCAAAAAACTTTATTTGTAATAAGTAATGCAAATGATTTGGATGAATTAAAAAAAAGGATTCATAGTATTTTTAATTTATGAATAAAGATCTTTTAAAATGAAAACTAAAGTAAGAATTATTATCAAGAAATGGTATGGTTAATGCTATTAACTCAATTGTGGCATTAAAAAGTAGATCACTAAATAATGTGAAATTAAAAGATCAAACTCTATTGCCAAAAAATTCTATATTAGATAAGATTTGAATTTATGACTTAATTTTTATATATTAATTTTTAAGGAATAAATTTAGATTAAAATTCAATTTAAAATCTTGCACTGTAATTGATATAGTTTTTCACGAACATCTTTCAATTAGCTTTTTAATTCAATTTATCTATTTTTATTTTATTTTGGGGTTGCACATAATTCTCTTTCTAAACGTAATACATCGGCGAATAAATACTAATACTAAAGTTTTAAATCTAAAATTATTATTATATTATACCATCTTATCTACCTACACTTTTACTCCTATAATCTGATCGAAATTATGGTATTTTCTTAGGAATTTAAAGAACTTTACTTTCATTTTAGATTATTTAAGGTTCTAATTATTATTCTGGTTATCTAAAATTGTAAAGACAAGCCTTATTATTACAACACTTTATATCAAATATTTAGGCCTCAATCATCTTTAAAAAATTTGGATTTAAGAAAAATCTATTATCATTTTATTTATATATAAATACTTTTCTGTTAGTGTTTTGATATCTAATTTTGAAAAGGTAAGATCTTTCTCTTCTTCACATATTTGAAATTATCCTGAACAATCTCTGCTGCATATTTGTTTATTTTTTTTAATATGATTTCCTCTCATTTAATTTTCTCTAGAAATCTATTATACACATTAATGGAATAATTCTTTAAGATTTTTAGGATCTTAATGCTCCAACAATGGAGTTTTAATATTTTTAATCTCAATTGTAAGATGAGGAGCTAGTTGCATCTATTTAGTTGTTTAAGGCAATAAGGGTTATCTTTAGGTTACACTAAACTCTATATAAATATAGGATATAAAAGTATTTAGTTACAATCTTTATGTTATCTTGTACTTAACTTTGGAGGTTCATTTTTTTGATTGATATTATTCAACCCTTCAGTTTTAGTTTAACTCAATAACTATTCTTGTTTTTGCGTTTTTAGAACATTTGATAATTCAATATTAGTTTCTTTTTCCTCCTATAATTATCTTTGCAGTTGCTATTTATTTATTCTAATTACCTTCACTTAAATTTGTAATGAGAGTCTTAATTTATTGAGATATTAGCATTCAGTTCTGTAAAACTATAATTCTTTGGCAATTACTTCTTCCTCTTATTATAAACAACAAATACATATGTATCAATCGGAGGTTATTATCTATCTAATAAGTTAATTGTTTCCTCTACTAAAGTTTACAAAGATAGTGATTCTATTTTCTCATCTTTAATTATTTTAGCTAGTTTAAGACAAAAATCTATATAAGTTAGCATAGAATATAAATAAAAATAATTAAATGGGTTCCAACAACTAAAAATAAAACTAACTACTCAATAACTATAAGTTTATAGTCAATAAAACTGATCCTGCATATGGAGATATAGTGGTGTACTAGTCAAATGGAAATCCATCTGAACTTATGGCAGTTATTAAATTGCAATCTAATAAACCTGAACTTTTATGTTAATAGATAAAGTAATCTTGAAAAATTAAATTCATAGTTAAAGACTTAAGCATCCTAATATAACATAAATTTTTGATTGTTCTTAATCAAGTGTAAAAGATTTTTGTGGAACTCTAAATATTGTTCATATTGGTATTCAATACATATAAAAAAATCTCTAAAAGGATATGGAGATTCGAAGGAAATTAAGAACAACGTATTATAAAAGAATAAAATTAGTTATTTTGAAGGAGAATTATGGTATTTAATCAAAACTGTTTGTGAAACATTAATTGATTTATAAAATAATAAATAGAAGTATATTGATTTGCATCCATAAAATATACGTATAACAGATGGTGGAGATATAAAATTATTAGAATTGAGTTGTACTCCATAAAATATATCATCATTTAGAAAAGTTAAATTGGGACTGAGAGAATTAGAATATTTATCATCAGAAGAATTATAAGAATTGAAAGATTCTTAAAACAAAGTATAAATTTTTATATGATTTAGTTAAATTTTGATTTAGAGAAAATAAATATTTTTTTATTAGGAATTATTTGTGTAGTTTGTATATCTGGATGTGAAGTTAAATAATTTTATGATGTTGAGAAATGCATTTTTTAATATGGATTGGCCATAACCAAATTAAGATAATATATTCAAAAGTAATATATACATAGATATGTTTAGATATAACTATTCTCAAGCTTTTGAATAAATTATTATTTAATTCCTTTCATATAATCCATTTCAGAGACCAAATTATACTTAAGTGTTAAATATAATAAATTCTTTTGATAGTACTACTATTGCTGATCATTTTTATGTTAAGTGTTCATAATAACCAGTATTATTGGATACTATAAATACTATATCAAAATCAGATTAAAAAACTGAAAGAAGTCCAGATTTATATAATCACAAAGCAAAACCTTTTAATTCCAATTCTAATTCAACTCCTTAAACAATAAAAATAGCTAATCTTGTAAGAACTAAACCTACTGTTTAATAATTCTCTCTTACTCCTGAACCTAGACCTCTTATTAATAGACCTTAATCATCATCACGTCAGAATTCTTAAAGGGCTTAATCAAGTTAAAGAAATGAGCAAACATAAAAACCTTAATTACCTAATTACAGTTATTATGATCCTTACATAGATTCTGCTTTAAAAAAAAGCAAAGATTTATTAGTTTATCATAATCAGAATTCTGTTTATGTTAGATAAGCAAGAACAAACTCTTCATCTGTAAACAAATACACACCAATAATGGCAAGTTTGAATATATAAAACGATGATAATACATAAAACTATCATAATATATAATCATTAATCAAATAAGTTAATATTGAAGAAGGAAAATAAAGGTAATTTTCAAAAAGTTTTACTAAATAATGAATTTGAAAAGAATATTTATAATCAAAAATTTTAATCCAATTATTTCATATCTATCTTAATATCTGTAGTTTTATCATCCATATTATTATTAATTGATCCTCTATAATTATTTTAAATCAAATTTCCTCTGATTTATTATAATCTTTATTGAGTGTAATTAAATCTAGTATAAGTATTTCTTTAAGGGGCTTCTTACTTTTGATCAACTTTAATTTCTTCATTGATTGACTATTCTCTAGAATGGTTTTAAGATTAAGTAGATTCAATAGTAAATTTCGAATTGTTCAGTATAGGTGAAACTGGTAGAGAATTTATTTAAGTATCAACAGAAACTGTTTCATTATTAGATATTTAGTTGGATGTCTATTTAGGTGATGAAATAGTGCCTAATTTAATAATTTCTTAGGTTTAATTGCATGTTGATTCTAATGAGAGTGGGACTTCTTTAGATTTTGTATCATTTTATTAATTTTCTGATTCATTATTTTATTAATTTATGTTGTTAAGTTATTCGTTATTTTATTCTTATTAAGAATTGTTTCTCTAATTTAAATATCCTTATTAATCATTTCTTCTTTATTAAGCTCTATAAGAATATAATGATGGTTTAGAAGGTAAATATGTACGAGCAGTTTATGGTTATTGAGATTCATTATTTGTAGATTCTTAATCTTTTTAAATAGAGGATGTATTCGAAATTGTTGGTACCTGTTATTAAGGTTATAATTGTTCATTATTTTATATTTGAGTGTTCGATTCTGTATTTTTTTTTTGTTCAAATATGCTCATTTTTTTAAAAGATTTTTATCTTTCAACTTATTTGGAGTAACTTGTAAAATTGTAGTTTTAATGATGTAGCTTTTTATCAACTTCAGATATTTCACCACTATTAACCTCGAAGGATCTTTGTTCTATGCATCCCATTATTTTTGTGTGTCTTCTGAATTCTTTCATAGATTGTTGTAAATCATCAATAATATATTCTTTTGAAACTATTGAAAATCCTTTGACTTATTAAAAGAACATATTAAAGGTTGAGGTCGTTTTTGGCGTTTCTTTATTTAAGATTAAATGAATACTTTTCAATTTATCAATCCCAAATTTAAGAGGTGTTGAGATGTCTTCTGTTTGTCTTTCATTTTGATCAATATTATGATTTTTTTCTTTTAATTCACCATTCTTAAAACTAGATTTCTTAATTATTAAGTCCTTATTTGGAAGATCTAGTTAATTATTGAAGGTATTCTTACTTAGTCTAAAATAAGATTCAGGTTAGAATAGCTCATGATCTATTTATTTAGTTTTGGTTGGAGATTTTACTTTATCCTCTTCTTAAATATTCTAATTAGAAGGTTTCATATGTCCTATTTTAAGATTTTAAATATATAAGCAAACATCCTATATTGTTTTACCTTGATCTTTAAGAAGTTTAATGAGCAATTAGCATTTTTATTAAGTGATTGACATTGGATCTGATATCGATGGCAGTAATTTTTCAATGAATTCAATAAAGGCTACTTTTAATGACTATATATCAGCCATTTTAATTAATTATAATGAACAACTTCGAATAAGACTTCTATTAATTTGTTAAAGATTAATTAGCCAAAAAAAGAAGATATAAAGACTCTTCTCCAAATACTCCACAAGTTGAAACTGATGAGATGGAAAGTAAATAAAATTGATTTTATTAAGAAAACAGATTATTCAATTAAAATGTTAGTAAAGTGTTACAATAAGAGAGAAATAAAATGAGAATAAGTAAAGTTTCAAAGGAGTAGCTATTTGATAGAAGATTTAAAGATTTTGCAAATATGGATACCTTTCTTGATATTAAATAATTTCTTAAACATTTAAGCAATTAAAAGATTGATAAAGCTGAAAAAAAAAAGAAATTAAAAACATTAAAGAAAATTGATTCAGATAGTGATGATGATTTATTTGATTATGCTGAGATCATAAAAAAAAGCAAGTAAATTGTTGAGTAGAGTACAGTTATAAGACATTCACCTGACATCAAAGGATATTTGATATAATAAGAATAATCAAATTCAACTAAAAACGATATTGAAGAACTTAAAACAGAAGATGATAAATTTTATAATGGAATTGATTAATTATTTTTTGATATTAAGACTAAATCAGAATAGATAGCATTATAACAGAAATATGAGCAAGAACGAAAAAATTATAAAAGATCTGTCTAAATGATTAAAATACCTCAAAAATAATTATAAGAAAACTTATAAGAAAAAGAGAGAATGGATGAATTAATTTCTAGATAAGCTAAACAATTTAAAGAATAAACTGAAAAGGTTTTAACACTTCTAGAAAAAACAACAAAGCAATTATATAATAATAAATAAAAAAAAGGACTACAATAATATATAAAAAAAAAGAAAAAGTTAACAGAACCCAATTAATAATTATCAGAAATTAGTGAATAAAGAACAACTTTTCATTAATTTTATCCTGAAACTTCTCGAAGTACTAATAAATTACCATAGTTATCTCCAAATACATCCAAAATCTACTCTCATAGAACTTTTTTAAGCTAAGTTGTTATACCTGATTCTAGGAAAGAAATACATATTATAGAGAAAGTGGAACCTTAGGATAAAATAAAAAATTAATTTAAACAATTCATTTAAAAATTAAACAGAGCTAAAGCATCTTTTGACAAATCATATTAAAATGACAAAGAAATGTTATAAATTTAATAAAGAATAATAAACAATATGAATAAAATTGGGGAGATTCCGTTAGAGAGTTTAAGAATACCTAATAAAAAAGAATTTGAGATTAATAATCTGAAGTTGAGTAAATTAAAAAAACTCAGCCCTATGCAAATTTTATGATTTTTCAAAATACCATTAATTTATGAATTTCTTTTCTAATTTTTGAAGGTTTGAATTAAATGTTATATTTTTATAAACTGATGTCTGAATGTTTATGATTAGTGATACACTATATATATTCAGCTTCAATCCAATCACGAAATGTCATTAATTACACAATACATCATATTTTGATATATATTTTAGTGAATTGAGTGAAATTTATAGAAAGATGAGTTTAATGTAAATGAATTATTTGTTTAACTAATATTTCATCCGAATTATATTTATGAACGACCTCCAGGTGGATTCTTAACTTTAACTGATGTATGGGTCCCTAAAAAAATATTCAAAATATTAAAAACCTTAATCCTATTATTATTATTAGTTTTGCTATTATTGCTATCCTTTTTAAGGAACAGGGTCTCCTCCAAGAGTAAAATTACTAGCATTAGGGTCTCTTACGACTCGTTTTTATTGAGGAGCAGGTTCATCCGAGCCCTGAATATTAATTCAAAATTACAAATGAGATGGATGAATTACCACCTGGTGCTTATGTGGTTTTAGTTGATGGCTTAGAAAGCGAATACCCTTAGATATTGTTCATTATTTAAATAATTAATGATTATATTCACTTCATATTAAATATATAAACTCATCAAATATCTTAAATGTATTGTGTTAATTCAAATTATCACATTATCATTAATTTATGTTATTTTAAGCTGTTAAATATTTATATTATGTAAAACTATCAATAACAATTTGAATAGAAAACATTAATAACAATTATATAGAACGATACTAAATAAAAACAAAAATATTCAGATTTTCAATTAATATTGAAATTGCCAGGCCTATAATTATTTTCATCTTGAAAGTTTTATAAAGTCAATTTGATAATAAAAATTGATTAGATTCTAAAATAAGTTCAAATAATTAGATGATTTAACAATTCTTTTATATTAAACATAAATTAGTGTTTTCTTAATGATATTTTATAGAATGAGATTTATTTTGAAAACTTTTTTTCATGATTCTCATTAATTCAATTAATATTTATTCACCTGATTTTAAACAAATTTTACGTTTAAGTTAATGGAAAAACTTAATTTGTTAAAAATATCTTTAAAAATAAACAATATCTTAATCCATAATATTTTACAAATTATTGGTAGAACTAAAGAATAAAGAAATTTAAGATTAAAAGTTTAAAAAAAAATTAATTTTAATGGAAATTATAATGGAAGAAGTGGATTATCCTTATATATTTCTATTTGCAACTTATTCAACATCATGTGATAAAAAAAATAGTTTTCTTCTCCTCTAATTCTTCAATTCTATGAATAAAAATTACTTACAACATAAATATAAAGAGAAATTAATCAACTTAAGCAGAGATTTTAAATAAAAATTAATTTAACTAAACATAATCGATATAATGAACTTATTAAAGAATAGATTTAAAAATTAAGAACTTATGAATTATAAAACATATATTTAGCAGTGCATAATATTTTTTGATAATCTAAAATGATTAATATAAATCATTTTTTCATAAACCCAAACAAACTTTTTTTTTCTGGTTGTTGTTATTAAGCTTAGGTTTGTGGTTATTATTGAGCCTATAATATTAAATTAATAAATTACAGGAGGAGGAGCTGGTTATTAAACAACTGGTTGAGTAGCTCCGGTTGGTCTATTATTATTCAATGGATAATTATTTTAAGGTTGTTGATTTTACTAGGTAGGCTAGGTTTAAGGTTGGGATGCTTTTTATTAAGGTTATGTAGGTGATTGTTATTACTATTAACTTGTAGTTTTATTCACGATAGGATCATTAGGTCTTTAAGGAGGTTATTCTTAATCTTTTGTCACATCTGTTCTTTAGGTAGCATTATTTGTCTAAGTCTTATTATTTTAATTAGTGTTTGCAGGGATCTATTATTATTATTAAGTGTTTGGCTTTGTAGTTTATTATTATTATTATTATTATTATTATTATTATTATTATTATTATTATTATTATTATTATTATTAATAATATTATTATTATTAATATTATTATTATTATTATTGAATTTATTACTAATGATATATTTAAATATTATACTTATGGTTTATTCTATTAATTTGATGCAGAATTAGCTTATTATTTTTATTTTTATAAATATTATTGATCTTCTTATTCTTCTGTTGTTTATAAAATATATTCTGATAGACTAATTTAATAAATTTTGAAATTTACTCAGGATCTCTTTTAATAATCTTTTGAGCATTTTTAAATGTTTCTATTTCCCTATTTAACTTCTTTCTCTCTTCAACAACATTTTAATCTTCACTAATAACAGACAAAATGCTTTAATTTTGCATTAAATTTTATTACAATTATCTCAACATTTAATTCTATTTTATTAAAATGAATAAAGTACTTAGCATCCTCGAACTAAAAAGTACCCTATAAGTTTTGGGACATTGTCTCTAGCAGCCCTAACTACTAATTTGAAATAATGTTCTATTTTAGTCCTTAATTCTAAGACCATAGGATTTCCTTTTTGTTAATCAGCTTTTGATTCTTTTCCAAATTTGATGAAAGGTTTGCCACTTAAATAATTGAAATCATTGGTGAAAATATAGTTTTATTCTGCATCAAGAACATCAGTAATTGAATCATATGCATTTTTTTTACATTCATGAATTACTTCCATAATTTAATCTTATAACATTTTATAAACAGAAGGCAATCTATAAAATATAAATATTTAAATTACAATTATAATTGACTTTCTAAAATAGTAGTTGCATATTATTCTAGAATCTAAAATGCTTATTCAAGAGTATCATAAGCTGGAGCATATAATTTCTTTAATTCTGGATTCAAAAGGGCATAAAAAGCATCAACAGGCAAAAATCCAGGTATAGATTATGCTTAATATTTTTAAATGACTTAGAGAATATCCTCATCCTTAAATTTCTTTAAAGCACAATAATCTAATTGACTATAGTCATCATATAAATCTTTGAAAAGCAATTTAATCGATGAACCAGCTGGTACCTATAAACTCTTGATATTAGCCTTTTGCTTTTCATATTATCCTGTTATAGAATTTCTAAAACGGACTGAAAATTCATGGATGAGTTACCAAATAAAATGTAATTTTTCCTAAATAATGTTATAGAATAGAATTACAGAATCTTCAACAGGCAAGCCTGGTCCTAAGACATCAAGTCTATTCTATACTTTAGATATTCTTTAATTAATTTCTTACATCAAAGTAGGTAAGAAACTTCGAATTCTTCGATATAGAATTCTAGTTAATTTGCCTGTTAACACTTAGGTACCAAATATATCTCCTGGAATAGAAGAATAAACAGGATGATTGGCAAAGAAATTCTTCTCTCTTTGAACAGCTTAGACAATTGGAACATTATCCTTAATTTCTTATTGTGATCTTAATTTCACTCCAACATAACCATATTTGAGTGGCACTTCTTCTCCTTTTAACATTTTAATGGCATTTGTTCCTTAATCCATTATATCTATTTTTGTTAAGACTCCTACAGTTCTAATGCCATCTGGATCTAATTTCTTAGCCAATAATAATGCATCTGATGTTGTCATATCTGCATTGGCTGCAACAACACATAATATGATAGCTGATGGATCTTCACAATATCTTTTAGCCATATTGGTTGTGATTTATTCAATATCTTTAGGTTAATCCATAATTGGTATTCTTGTAATTCCAGGTAAGTCTATATTACATAGAATCTTTTATCTTTACCAACAAGTGTAAGGTCTGGACAATTAGGTCCAGTCACTGCCAAAATGATTGGTTTGTCAATGATATTTTTACTTGATCCACATACTTTATCTGTTAATTCTTCTATATTTTTTCTGACTTCATCAAAATTAGTAAATTTTTTCCCTTTAATTTCTTCTACAAATTCAGCTGTAGGTTGAGCACATACACTTTAAGGTGAATAAGACAGACGCAATTCCAATGGTCTTCTTGTGACAACTCCCTATTAATCAAATCAAAATATTACAGATCCTCTTGGTAAGAAATCAATTCCTACAATATGTTCCAATAATGAAGATTTTCCTGCAGATTGTATACCTAGAACAACGATTCGAGGTAATTTTATGTAATCATTCAATCCAATATCACGTAATTAATCAACTAAAGTAATTACTTTTCTTAAGTTTCCCAACAAACTTGTTTATGATTCTTATGACATATATAATTAAAATATTTTTGTATAAAACTTTAAATTCCATATACTCATCTTAATTAAATTTTCTTTATTACATTTAATTCATTTATATAGTAAATGACAACATTTTAGTATCTCTCTTCATCTGTATAATAAAATTAAAAACAACATTTCAAATATTTTTTATATCTACAAATTCTCTATACATAAAATTAAAGTAATTTCTCAAAATATTCTGCCTATGATTTTAAATTACTCTAATAATTAGGTTCTGATTTAATATATCTTAATTTTACATATAATTTAATTTTTTATGATAAATCTAAAGATATTTATTTTATTAAAAGATTTATAAGAAATTATCAATATTTTAATAATCAATTGCTAACATTTTAATAGTCAAATTCTCATGATGATGTAAAAAGGCTTATATAAATTTAAATCATGTGTTAATAGTAATGATTTTTTATTTATTAATATGTAATATGTCTTAATACTAGTCATTCTTTAATTAGTTATTTTAATAAATGCAATAATACAAATAGGAATGGTTTTATCACACATTAAAATATTCCTTTCTATAATGACTATTTGAATTTAGTATTTCAAATTAGGTTAAATAGAAGGATGAAAATGCGATATGAAAATTGTAATTCTTATAACAAAAAATTTTTTACCTTCTTAGTTGAATAATTATTTTTTAAGTTGTTTTGGAATGAGTATTTATGCTAGATTGTTAATAAATTGACTTTAAAAAATAAATATAAAAAAATTTATTTAATGTTCATATCCTCTTATAATTTCTGTAATTTTGAGAAGACGATTGTTAAATAATTTAAATTTCATAAATTAATTATTGGATTTAATATTAATTAGAGTATTCTGAATTAATACTCAAAATTTTTTATTGAATTTATTTTGTAACCTCCTAATACAAAATCTTGACATCTTTTGTAATTATTTTATTATTTATTTAAAATGATCTCATTCAACAAATATTACTAGAGTCTAATATCAAACAACGATGATATTTAATAAAAATATCTTCAGGAAATTCACGATGATGAAATCCCTAAATAAAACAAAGAAATTTATTATATCAATAATAATCCTATTGATGTTAAGTATGGATTCAACGATAAACAATCTTTACTATTTGAAATTCATAAAAATTTTCCAGAATAACCTGATTTCAAAATTGGAGTTGATTTAATATATTTAATTGATATTAGTCAGAAAATAAATGATGAAACCTTAGAGAAAATTAAATAAGCCTTATAATGTCTGATCAATTATTTAGATGACAAAAATAGATTGTGCATAATAATTTATAATAATAAAGCTGATAAACTTTTCTCATTAATTCCACTAAATGAAAAAAACAGATAGATTATTTAAAAAGCAATAGAGCAGATCACTCTTTAATAAGGAAATTCAAATATTTTAAATGCACTTTTAGTTGCTAATTTATGTTTGAAATTAAGATAATTTAAAAATTAAATTACATCTGTTATTATAATCAGTTAAGATGATGAATTACCAAAAAACAGCTATTATTTTAAATAAATCTTTGAAAAAGAAATAGCATTTAAATTAAAAATTTTTCTTTTACTCTCAAAAAAACATCAATCATCTACTAAGATCAAAAAAGGAGAGATTAATAAATTTTAAAGTTATTAGATAGTCAATTATGTTGATCAATTATCTTCATTTTTATGTTACTATGCATTTAAGCTATAATAGACTGTTATAATGAATTTATCAATAATAGTAAAAAGTCACAAATATTGTCCAATTTAAATATCAGAATGTGAAGGTGGAAAATTCCAATACGTTAATCCATATGAGATTAAGATCACTAAGAATTTAATTTCAATTGGTTACAATAAAGCTCACTTGGTATGTGTTTAAAATAGTAAAATCTCAGATTTAGATAAAATTTGTGAGATTGAAGTATCTTTTTAATAGATATCTTCAAATAGTTTACTAAAATACTCTATTCCAATTTATGCATAAGAATCTAATGGTATTATAGATAATTCTGTTATTGTTCAAAAATATAAGTATAAATCAAGAAGTTAAATGATTGAAGCCATATTATACTATGATCCATATAGAATTTAAGATTGTACTGAAATTTTAAAAAACTATCTATCTGAAGTAGCCAATTTGCCTGATGATATCAAATAATAGTTAAGTGTTGAAACTAAATAATTTGAAGATACTCTATAAAAGTATTACTAACAGCCTTTATAATAAATTCCAAATCCATTTATAGAAATTGATGATTTAAGAAAGAAACAAAAATTAGAATGTTTTTTTGATAAATATTGAGTTATTGGGGTTTTTGCTATTCTTTCTAATAAAAATATTGCATAGTCTTTTCATTTTCATTAAATAAAATTCTGTAAATATAATTGATTATAATAAGTACTTACAATTTTGACTTAATTTAAATTGATCATATGTATTTTAAGCTCTATTTGTATAATCTAATTATAGTAATAAATAATTGATAAGTTTTGAAAATATAAATTTTTATTTACAAAATATACAGAAATAAATTTATCATAAAATAATATCAAAAAAATGTCAGCTTCTAAATTGATGTACTCTTCTCCTGGACCTAAGAGTTAATCTGTTGTTTCATATGGAGGTGATAGAGACAGGGCACTTTCTCCAAGCAGGGCTAAGATCTCTTAATTAAATGAAAAGCTCTCAAACTTATAACATTCTATTAATGAGGATCAAGCAGTATTTTCTTATTTCTATCATTTTTGTTTAGTTTAAGAAAGAAACTTTTGAGTAGAAAGTTAAAATTTTAGAGGATAAAGCTACTAAATAATAATAGAGTGATGAATCAAAATTTAAGTTACTGAAGGAATAAATATCAAAAGTAGAGGAAGGAGCTTAGAATGAAAAAATAATAAGAGAGGTAAATATAATATCTATTCTTAATAGAGTGGTGATGAGAAATTAAGAACAAAGGATTTAAAGGGTTTAGAGGCTTATTTAAGCAAAGAATTATAAGGAGAGAAAGTTAATAGAAAAGATTATGAATAAAAGATCATAAAAAATACTGATGATAGAGTCTATAGTTTAAGATTGGATTTGGCTAGGTAAAAGAAATATAGAGAGGAAACAGAAGAAAAAAATGCTTAAGAAATAGGAGATCGTGTTTTATAATTATAAGAAGAAGTTGAAGAAGAGAGAAGATAGAGGTATATAAAATTATTAATTCAACCTAGAGAAGAATAGAACTAATAAACTATCAAAAGATTGGGAGATTCAATATTAAAATTATAAGAAATCTTAACAACTGAGAAAAAATAGAGAGAAATTGCTTAAGCTTAGATGTTTAGAATGCTTGATGAAATGAATGCATATCTGAATGGTGAATTGAATGCTGAAAAAAATGAGAGAGAAGCTACTGAAGAATCCATTATCAATCTTATTGATTAAACATGTAATAGAGTGGAGAATTCATTAAGAAAATGAACTATATAATAAAGTTAAAGAAAACATTTATTTTTTTAAATAAATATTAATAAGGGGTTTGTTCGAATGGAAGAGGAAAACAACTTTAAGGATAGTCTCAACAATGAACTCACCAATACTAAATCTCCAAAATCAAAAAAAATCAAAAAAATTGATTCTCTTTCACCTAAAAAAAATGTTGGACATTGGACTAATGAGGAACATGAAAAATATCTTAAGTTTTTAGAAGATAATACTTTAATGAAGAAAAATAACAAAATCTTCAAGCCTATGTCTGAAATTATTGGAACTCGTTCCCCAAGTCAATGCAGGTATTTAATAATAAATTAATTAGATCTCATCATCAAAAATTCAACCCTTAATCCCCATTAGGTTAGAGAAAATCGAGTAAAATAATTAGTGTTTCTAATTAAGCTACACCAGCAACAACATTGTATGAAGAAACAAATGCTACCTAAGAAGATGAGATGATTAATAATAATAATAGGATTAAACTCATGTTTTTTGAGGAAGATGATATTGTTCAACCGAATTTTAATTTAGATGATTTATGATCATTTATAAATGAAAAATAGTGCATACTAATTTTCTATATCCATATTTACTTTTTTTATTATATTAAAAAGCTTTTATTACTTTAAATTTATAGATGTTGTTTTCTACTTAAAGATAGATTATAAAATTGAATATATAATTTTTATTACTTATATTAAATTTATGAAGATCATTTAAAATATTCATCCAATATAATAAAAAATTGTTAAATAATAGATTCCTAATATAAAATTAAAAACTGATAAATTATATTATATAAAATAATAAATAATCATATAATATAAGAAAAATAAATAATATAGAGAGAGAGTATAAACTACTAAATATAAGATTTCCTATTATTTTTTAAATGGTTTCATAATGAAGTTAAGTTTTAAATTTGATAAATTATAAAGTTTATAAATTACTAAATTATAATTATCACTATTATCTAGAAAGGGATTTCACTTATATAGCCTATATCAGATCAAGAGTCCCTTTATATTACTTGCTTGGTATATTATAAATAGTAGGTAATTGGGCACTTAAGGGTTCATCAATGATTTGACTCTGAAAAGAATTCATTCGAGAACTAAACTTAATAAATAATATTACACTTTTCTTTTCATCTGATATGATGGTATCTTCTTGTAACTATAGGTCTATTCATTCTTAAAGAAAAGAGTAGGTTATTAAATAGGTGTTTCAGATTATTATTTAGGTTTACTTTTAACCATTAAAGGAGTTGAATCTCTTCTGGATGTGACTTTTAATCTTGGATTTCTTGCTATAATAATATCCTACTCAGCATCTGAATCAGATCCAGATTCTTTATCATCAATTCCCTCTTTTTTAATTAATTTGATAGCTTGATTGATTTCTTAAGCATCAAATAGATGAGGATCAGATTAAGATTCATCATATTGAAAAAGAGCATTTAAAATATTTTAAGCTAATAGATGAAATTCTTCTTTTTCAAATGGTTTTTTTAATGCTCCATATAAAGAGGTTTCAATAGTCATTGAATTAGGAATTTAAAACTTTTTCCACATAGCAACTCTAGCAGTACTCATTCTATCTGGTGTCACATTAAATGAGCAATTCTAATATATAATTAAAATTTGATTACAAAATAATTAAAGAGATCACATCCTTATTGTAATAATCTACTAAATTATTTAACTCTCATATAATCTGAAATATGTTTAATAGGAGTAGCACAACCATAAAGAAATTAATTCAATTTTTTAGAATGTCCATGTAAATCAAGAAGAAAGGCTACTTTGTACTTTTTGATATGTTTTACTATATTATAAATTTCTGGTTCAGTATTTTAATTAGGCATATCCCATTTCCTAAAAATAAAGATAATAATTATTTTTACCTATTTAAATCTATTCCATTAAAATTACATCTAGAATTCCCAAGAAATACACCATCTGGATTAAGCATTGGAAATATTATACATCTAAATTTATTCTAAACCTAATGACCAGCATCTAATAATTTAACTATTTCTTCACAAATGTGTGAACCTACTGATTCACTTGGATGTTGACGTGCCAAAATGATCACAACTTCAGAAGCTAATTATTTCAATATAAAAATATACTTTACTTTTATTTTTAGTTTTAAGTTTAAATATAGGTAATCCCAAAGGAGTACTACATAATACTTTATGTTTTAATGTTGAATGATAAACTAAATGATATAGATTACTGACTGTGTAAGGTAAAGTTAATGCAAAGTACACAATACTTTTATTTTAAGTGAAATTATAATTAAATTGTAAAGTATGCAATGGAAAATTTTGCTGTAGGTTTGCAATAGAAGAATCTTAAGAATGATAAAAGGGATGATTTATATTTGTTCTGTAATAATATAATTCTTTAGTAGTTTCACAATTCCATTTATTATTATCATATACTCTAATATGATTGTATTCTTTTAATAGAGATTTACCTCTCCTATTATTAAGAATACGAAAAGTAAATTGTTAAGGTTATTTGACCAAAATACCAAAATAAAACCATTATGTACATCCATTTGTATTAGTGTCTCCATTCAATAATATATTTAATTCATTGCCTTCTTGTTATACAGCCATGATATTTGAATTCTCAAAAGATCCATAAACAATAATTTCTGATGATTCATAGAACGGTTAGGGTTCATGTTTGAAATTACGCTGTCTATATTATTCAATTAACTCCTTTTTATTATCATTATTTATTGTTGGTTGTTTGAGTTTCTTTTCAAATAATTATGTAAAGTCTAAATATTGATTCCCAAGATCTTTATTTGTCTTCAGCAATTTTTTCATTTATACATTCATTATAATATTTAATAAAAACTTAAATATAGTATTCATTAAGATACAAATGCATTTCAAAATAATGTAATACAATTAGATATTATAAAATCCATTTTTAAATATTGTAATTCATACTATATAATATAACAATTATTTGAATTTTTAATAAAGAATTAGATTATTATTTACCATTCATCACTTCAAACCAATTTTTAATAATACTTAACTAAAATAAAATTTTATTTATCTAAATTCTCTAAATAATTTCATGCATTCTATTCAGGATCTATAAATTTCTTACTCTCCTCTTTAACCTCTTAAGCAAATTCTTCATTTTTCTTTGCAATAACCTCACCACCTTTTGACTTTATGTGAAATAGGGCCAAAGGACAGAACCATAACAAATCTGCATCAATTTAAGCTGCACCCAAAAATAATGCATTTTTTCCTTCTCTCAAATATTCAAGACTTCCATCAAATCTCTATACTTCAAGCAAAAGATATAGGAAATATAGTGTTCCAACAACTGGTTACCAAATCATTGGCCAAAAACCTGCTTATGTAAGTAATGCCTAAAATTCATATATGAAAGTAAAATACTAAAAAGAAACCCAAAAATAATCCAAGACCAGCTATCTAGAAAAAGTTTCCTTTGATTGTAAAATCAACTCCATTCAAACCTGCATCTCTATTTCTAACCAATGCTAATACATATAGATAACCAAACACACAAAGGAAATAAAACACTTCAAATTTATTTAATGGATAATTTACTCCATAAAATACCATGAAAGAAAACTTTCCAATAAAATGAATACCAAAAAATAAGAAATTCCAAGGTTTCTATTTTATATTAATGAAATATATGTACCTTTTTGAAAAATGGACTGCCAAATTATAAAAATGCTAAGAAGATGGCATATATTATGAAATTTAAAAGGTTAAACACAGGTATAAGACTGATCAACCATCTAACTGGACCTAATGAATTCACAAGAGCTGTGCTTCCTGAAGCAAGAGCACAAATTAAGGCTTAAACAATAATTGCATTGTTTATTGGAGAACCAGTTATTTTATAGTATTTTTCAATTTCATTGATTCCCTTCTCACCTGCTTCTTCTATTTCATTTAATTTCTCTTCCAATCTTACTTCTGCAACTGGATTTTCTGTTACAGGAACATCTTATTCTCGGTTTTCCATTTTTTTATTTAATTGAGTATAAAAACGAATACAGAATAGAATTAAGCACGATTTAATTTGAAACAGTTAGGAAAGTTATTAAATAGAAGTAAATAATAATAAAGTATGACAAATTCGTATAGCATCATATTATTCAGGTTTTTTATTTAAATATATTTAAAAAATACATATTTATGAAAGGAGCTAAACAATAGAAGAAATAGTCAATTTGGGATTAGGTTAAAAATGAAGAGAAGGATTTCTATTTTAATTACCTATCTAAAAAATCTAGAAATCTACAGAAGAAATTAAAGGACATAGCTGATTTAGAAGAATTATCAAAGACCAAAGAATTAAAGCCAGAATAAGTTCAAAAGATATAAAGCAAAGAAGAAAATAATGAAAAATTAAAGGAATTAGAAGCCCAATTATCTAATTGGCTATAAGCAAAGAGGGAAGCTGAACAAAGTGGAACACTTCTTACTTAAGAAACATTCATTCTCATTTTAGAGCATTTATCTGAAAATCAAGACACTGTTGCCCTTCTCTCTCAAGACCATAATTCACTTTATGAACTTGCTAAACTACTTTAAAATAGAGTGAATGGGTAATTGAGAAAGAAAGATCAATCATGGAAGGGTTTGAATGTAAATATATAAAAATTTAAATTTAGTTGAAACATTAATTACAATCTGATTCACAACCATAAGAAGTTTAAGAAGTTTAAACATAAAAATAAGAAACACCTTAGTCTTAACCTATTGTTGAAACATAGAAAGAGTAGCCATAATAGCATGAATAATATGTATTAATTAAATCTAGTCCAAAAAAATCATTCTAAGAAGAAACTAGGACTTAAGTTCATCAAACATTAGATTAATAACCTCATTAACATTCAGATGAAAATTAGTAGTAAGAAAATACTACCTTAGAATCAAATACTAATCAACCTTAGGAATAACCTTAAGAACAAGTTTAGGTTGATAATTAAGAGAAATAAGAGAATACCCATTAACAAAGAGAAGGACATAGATAACATCATTAACATGATAATAATAGAAAAGGTTATAAAAAGAATTACCATCATGAAAACAATTATGAGAGAAAAAATAATGGAGATGATTATAAACCTAGACCATATAGAGGAAATAGATAACATCACAATAGGGATAGATAATAATAAAAGGAGGAATGGTAAGAAAAAAAACAAGTTGTTGAATAATAATAGGATAATAATGACCATTAAAGCTAACATAGTTCAGATGAAGAATACATAACAATTGAAAGAAGGTGAATAATATTTCTATGCTTTTAGATAAAAAAAGCCTTAATAGAAACCTTATAGAGGTGGAAATAGAAATAGATAATAAAGATAAGGAGACACTCAATAGAATGTTAATGCCGAATGATGAGATATTATAATAATATATACAATAAAATAGAATCATAGCGAAGACATAAATTCTTCTCTTTATTATTAAATTTGTTTAATCATTTTAGAATATTCTATACAAATTGTATCAAGCATTTTTTAAGTTGTCTATTAATGGTAATTTAAATATTTTAATGGGTCTTCATCCTATTAAAGATTTTATTTATTAATAATTTCAATAGCTTTATTAAAATAAATCTTCAAATATTAAGTTTATTCATTTAATACATCTTTTATTTATGATTTAAAGGAAGTAGATTACATTAATTATTCGAATATTATTGATGTAATTTAAATTTATCTTTATTATTGTTTCATTTATGTTTATTCAAATTACAATAACTTAGTGTTTAAAATGACGTAATCAATTTTTTATATAAATTCTAATTATTATTTAAGTTCATAAACTTCTTTTTTAGTTTAATCCAAAGTTTTTTGTTAAAATTCTTTATGTTAATTTAACTAAATTAATTCATTCTATAATTCATCATTTATAGTTTTTAATTTATTTATTTATTGATTTGCACTTAAATTTTAATTTGTTTAGATTATTTCTAATTATTTTTATTGTTATTCAATCATCTCTTTTTAATTTATTACACATTCAATAATCTATTTTTTAATAGTTTCAATATCTCCTTAATTTATATTAAATTATTTCATTAAAATTTAAATAAATGAATTCAAATTTTATTCATCTTTTAATTTAGGTGATTCTTATTTTTAATCTTCCAATACTGGAATATTATAATCATTAAATGAAATTTCCTCTATAAATCTATATTTCTAATTAAAAACCTTACAAAATTCCATTATTTATTGTTCTTTTTCTAATGAAAATGAATTTTTTAAAAACATTTATTAAACTGTACATTTTAATTCTTAAAGTTCACTTCTTAGTTGATTATATTATTCATGATAATTTTTCTTAAATTTTTAAAGTTTATTTTTCTTAATTTCTTTAAGTTATTGATATCTTTTAATTATATCAAAAGATTAATTCATTTAAGAGTTTGTAGTTTGATCTAAATACTTCTGATTCTTACAAGCATTGAATTCTTTTTCCAATTATATATTTAATTATGAAAGTTCATCATCTTTACCTTTTTAAGTATAATTAATAATAAATACTTCTATAAACTTTTTCAATTTCAAATAATTATTATTTTATTTCACTATATGTTCCATTACATTAACTTATTTCATTTGTACATGGTGATAATTAAGATAAATTTTGTATCCTTTCTTAAACTTAAATCATCAAATTATTCAACTCTTAAAACATGCATTCATTTTTTTTTGGTGTAAAATGCATATTTATTTGAAATTCATCTTTCTTTTATATTGTAACATTTTCTTTTTCAGAATCTATCCATATATTATATTTATACTATGTTTTTATTCTGTTGATTCTCTATAATTTTTAACTTAGCATGTAAAATGAGGTGATTCTTGACCATCATCAATTTTATCATCAAGTTTAAAATTATCTTATTTTTGAGGTGTCAGATATTTATTTAATCTTTAATCTTCAGCTAATTCTTATGATTCATCTCTCAATTCGAATTAATTCTCAATTTCCATTCGAACTTTATCATCAAAAGAAGAATTTTATTACATTATTTATTTATTACTACTGTCAATTCAATATAAAAATAAATTCAAAAAAAAAGTATATCATTATGCTTTAATTCTTCTCTCTTATATTTCCTTCAATAATCTTTTGAATTGTTATAAAGTCTCATCATAAATATCCTTTAATTAATTATTATAATCTTTATAAAACCTTTCTATTTCATTTGATTCTTTTAGTTTATAATTTTCTTTTTTTTGAAATATCAAATTAAACTTATTTAATTTTTCCATTGTTTAATCAATCTATGTTCTATTAGAGTTTTCAGAAATAATATATTATCTAAATATTTTAAGTCCTAAGAAACTAAAAAGAATAGATTATTATTATAAATTGTAACATCCTTCCAATTACAAATTTATTATATTTTAATACTCATCCATTAATTATTTTTTTATTTCATTTTATTTACCTTAAACAAAATCATTTACTGTTTGAATTTGTTCTTTTAAATAAGTAATTTAATTAGCTTTTTTACTGATTTCAATAGATAATTCATAATTCTTTTTTTCTTAATCTTATACTTTTTGTAAAGTATCATTTAGAATACCTTAAAAATTATTTTATCTTATATTTTCTTCTAATTATTTTTTTTCTAATTATAAATTTTTAATCATGATTTCTTATTTCTTAATTTCTTATCCTTAATTATTAATTTAAGTTTCATAATCTTTCATAACTGCTTTTTTAATTTGAGTCATCTACTAATTTAATTCTTCCATCATTTATAATTTTTCAAATGCTTCACTACCATTCTGACATACCTATCTTTAATTTTATTCAAATTTTCTTAATAAAGAATATACATTTTAATCATTATATTATTTTAATGATTCTTCATTTTCATGTTCTTATAATTTATATTATAATTCTTAATTATTTTTTCTCTCCTCATCCAATTCTTTTTTTATATTAATTAAAGATTTCTTTAATTCTTCATTTTCCTTTTATTTTATAGATAAATTATCTGACAAATCCTTTATTTTTGATATATTAGATTGGTTTTAATTAGAAATAATATTATATAATTTTTCTTTAAATTTTTCTTATTCATTTTCTACAACTACCTTTAACCTTTGATAATAATTTTTTAGATCTTATTTAATGTTTTCAAACTCTATTTTTAATTAATGTAAAGTATTTTTATATTAATAAAACATTAAATAAAATTTATGATTAGTTTGTTATTCTATTTGTCTATTTTAAAGAAGAACTATATCTTAATTTTATGTATTTTATTTATTAGTATCAGACTTATTTCTTTAATTATTAATTATTTAATTTTTGAATTGTTACATTAACATTTTAATATCATTTTCAATGAATTATTTTTAATCTTATTTGTAGATTTAGAATTCTTTCAATAAATTTTAATATTCTTATGATAATTTAACTTAATAAGATTTCAATAGCTTAAATGAATTTTTTGCTCTTGTTTCATACATAGAATTTATAAAAAAACATGATGATATTTCCTCTTCATCTTCATTACCTTTATTATATTATTTTTATTAGTTTTCTTCTAATTATTAAAATGTCTCTATGTCTTCACTAACATTTTAGTCGATTTTCTATTAACTATTACTAGGGCCAACTAAATAATTTAAATGTTTACACTTCATTTAATAATTGTTCATATTTTATTTTTATTTGGTATTGGTGGGATTATTAATCAATTTATTTTAGCTTTTTGTTTTAATCTCTGAATCATTTATTTCCTAATCGCAAAAATATTTAGGTGGTGATTCAAAAGGGTTAACACTTGTTTCTTAGGAATACCCTTAATTTTTTGCTTTTTCTAATGATTCATCAAGAATGCGCTTTAATTCCTAAAAGTCTTAGATTTATTCGTTGTTCTAAAATTGTAAATCAATTATTATACTTTTATTGATACTATTTGAGTGCATAACTTTTAAGCAATTAATAATTAGTCAAACAACCATTTGATCAAATCCTCTTTTTCTCTGTACAATTAATTCAATTCTGGAAAGTCTCGCTTTTATGTTGTGTCTTAGCAATCATTCTAATCAGAGATTGGTGAAAACTCTGGTTTTTATTACCTATCTAAACTTCAATAATATTAAATACCTTTTTATTAATTCATAATTTAATTATTTTTTTTTTAATAAAATTTAAGCATTTTAAGTATGATATATAAATATTATATAATGTGATCAACAGATACAATAAATAAAATTTGCAAATAAATTTATTTATATACTAATATTTTAAATACTTTTTATATCAAAGCAAAATGATAATCTAATTTGTATAAGTTATTATATTTATTATAATTCAATTATAAAAAATTAATTTTATAAAGCATAATCTAAAAATATATAATTTGCTTTATATCATTCAATAAAAATGAAATTATTATTAAATTTATTTCATCTAAATAAATAAGTAATAACTTTGAATACATATTTAATAAATCTTAGTATATTATAAAATTAATTTTTTAATATCTATTATTTTATAGTTTATATATTAACAGTTCATAATTATTTATAAATTTACTTTTTTAAATAAATGTAGTTTACTTCTAGTAAAGAAAGTTAATATCTGCTAACCTTATATGAAATGTGTAGAAGAAATATTATAAATTAATCATAAAAAGGAGAATTAAAAGGTAATTATTTCCAAGTGATTTAACAGATTTGCTAATTTAAGGTGACAGAAAAACTTAAGAAATATTACAGATTTATTAAAAAAATGCAAATAAATAAGAATTAGAGAAAGGAATCCTAGAATTATTGGGTAATAACTCCAAAGACATTATCTAGATTAATCTGATGAGTCTTATTCAGTTTACAGTATTCCTTCTTAATATAAAACTAGAAGACCAAAGCCAGTGCAAATTAAATCACTTGAAAAAAATTGGTATTAAATTAAATATTAAAGGGCATGCAAATCTTAAGATTCTCTTAAATAAAAACCAATCATTTAGGAAGAATTAAGTAAACTTAGCAAAGTTATAAAGGAAAGATATTCTTTCAATAATCTCGAAATGCAAAAATCAAAAAATTAAGGCAAAAGATTATCTGAAAATTTCTATATAGAATCAGTTAACACAGGATTTTGATTAATCATTAAAAATAATTGTTTTCTTATCCAAAGAGTCTAGAATATAATTTTTATAATTCAGTATTTGTAACAATGTTTATTATTTATTCTGCAATTTTTATAATTACTTATTTTAGGTTTTCCCATATATAAGTTTTTCTTTTAATTTAGAGTTCATTCCTTGTTTGATTTCAATTTGTTCTAATTTTATTTGTTCAAATTATTCTTGAATCTTCTATAATTTTTGTTGTTTTATTTGTAATTGTTCTTTAAGATTAGCTATCTCCTCTTATTATTATAAGCAGGTTTCACATAATTTTTTCATTAGTAAAAATTTATTATTGAAGAATATATCATTTATAAATAAAATTACTCCCTAATCAGTATTTAATAGTTTAAATATTTATTGCCTATTTAATTAATATTAACAAGAAAAGCTATTTATATGAATTAAATAAAAAATTAGTTTTATTATTAAGATTTCACCAATTATTCCTATAATTTATATCAGATTAATTTATTATAATAAAATGTTCTTTAGATATCATATGAAAATTATAATTATATGAAATTACATTAATTAAATTCTAAACTTATTAACAATTTATCAATTTCAAGCACCAAATAATTTGTTTATTAGATTTTGAGAATAAATTTATGCATTGAATTTTCATAATATTGTAATAATTTATATATAATGATAGAATTGACGATTATCATAATAACCTTAGTATAAAAATTAACCTGCTAATTGATATTACTTAATGTGACTAGTTTGTCTTATTATAACATTTACTCATTTGATGATTTATTACCATAAGGATTTTATTTAAAAAAGGAAGAAGTAATCCTTTTTAGTTTATTATCCTTGAATAATAGTGAAAACTAACCTATAATGGAATTATGTACAGATAAATTTAAAGACAAGTTTAAATTATTTTTTATTTTTAGCTGTGTAATTGATCATAATGCTATTGATTTTTAATTGAGTGTCTAAAATGTTAGAATTATTAATTAGGAACATATTTCAACTTCATAATAAACATAATATAATGCTATTCCATTCAGCTAATATGTTTATTTAGAAATAAGATCCAATAATTCTTTTAATCTAATAGCTCAAATTATTTAATATCAATATTGCCCCTAGTATAAATTTGTAATAAATCAAGCAATTGTAAAAATGGAGGACATTGTAGCTAAGGAATTTGTATTTGCCCTAAAAATTACATATCTGATGATTGTTCTATTAAGGCTGAATCTATTCTTGAAACGTAAACATTGTTAAATACTCAATTTTATTTTTTTGATATATATTAATGGATGGAGAATGAAGAAAGAATTATTCAATATTTTTTTGCCAGATTAGAAGAGGAAGCAACAATAATCATGGAATGTTATGCATAGAATCCTTATTTGTTATAGAATTCTACAGAGAAGCAATTATAGATTATAAACATAACAGTAGATCAAATGAATAATTGTTTAAATTATGTAGATGAACTAGAATCAAATTCTAAATAACAATATGCATAAATAATAATCAAATTGAAACAACCTATTATGGTTAATTTAAGAAATTATGATAGTACAATAGATCCATTAGTTGTAGGAATAGTAGTAGGAAGCATTTCATTTTTTATATTAATAGCTATTTTATTTTGTGTTTATAGATGTAAAAGAGATGAAGAAATTTAAAGAAAGAAAAATGAAGAGAAATAAAAAATGGAGAAAGAAAAAAAGATTTAAGAAGAAAAAGAAAAATAAATTATGCCAGAATTTTCTTATAGTGAAATTTTGTAAAAATTTCCTGGATTAAAAAATGATTAAGAATGTGAAATTTGTTTAAATGTATTTAAAATGTAAGAAAGAGTTAGAGTTACTTATTGTACTCATATATTTCATAAAGATTGTTTAACATAATGGTTAAATAAACATAAAGTAATAATAATTAAATGAATTTTAGACATGTCCTATGTGTAGAGAAAATTTAAATTTAAATTAATTATCATTAAATCATGAGTTTTTTTCTAGTGAACATTAGGTTCAACATATCACAGAGAATCAGCAAGCTTAATATTTATTATTAAGACCAAAATCTTAGCATAATACAAGATTATATGGAGATGAACATTTAAATATAATTGAATAAAATTCTGAATAAGTTCATATATCTAATAACCATGAAGAGAATTAAAACAAACAAAATTAAATATCACAATGAAAATAATTTAATTTAATTTTATATAATTCAATATCATTTTTTGTCAAAAATTTTCAAGTATTAAATATAATTATGTTATATATCTTCTTATTCTCATTTTGTCTTGCAGAATAATAGTTCAACTAATAATGGAATTATACTACATCTGAAAACATTTTTACACTAAATATTACTCTCAACATAACTCTAATAGATAATGAAAAGCATTTACGTTTATATTTATTGCCATAATCTAATACCACAAAGTCATTACTCATTATATGTAATTCTAAGCCAAATATTACTTTGCTTAATATTCATTCAATTAAAACGTATTATAACAAATAATAGATAGATTAGGATGTATTTATGATATCAATTCATATTATCAAAATTAAACACAAGTCATTACATTTGATAATAATCCTGCATCTAAAGAAATTAGTGAATTATTTGTCATCTATTACCTCTTCTCAAGTAATCCATATATAGGAATAATTTCATAAGGAGATGAAAGTAGTTTTATTCTTGAATTAATATAAATGCGAAAGAATTAATGTGCTAAGTATGAAAAATGTATTTAATTTAGAAACTGTTAAAACAATGGAAAATGTTTAAATGGATTTTGTGAATGTCCATTTTCTTATTTAGGTAGTGATTGCAGTATTTAGATTAAAGACATTGAGAATTAAATATCTTTGGAACCAAGATAATAATACTTTTTTAATATTAAATCATTCAATACATCTAAATTTGAAAGATAGTTAGAAACCTTTGTTGATATTAAATATACATGTTAACATCAATATTAGATGTAATTTTAAGGAGTCTAAATAACAACAAACTTAATTAATTTTAATTAAACCTTTATACAATCATGTTTAATGAAAACTATTGAAATATAAGAATAACTTCCTATAAAATTATATTCATATATTATTTTTGAATAAACCTCACCAAATATAATAAGAATAACAACCCAAGAGAATCATTTTATTTTCTAAAATCTAATTGTAGCCTTCATTGCTTTACTTATATTAGCTTTATTAAGTATGCTTTACATATTTTATCATCATAAAAATCCAAAAGACTTAAAAGCTTTAAGAATTGTCCCTATTATTAAATTTTCTTTAGCTCTTGAATAAGTAGAATAATCAGATATCGAGTGTGCATTATGTATGAAAGAGCTCTAACAAAATTAGTCTGTCAGAATAACATATTGCAATCATCTCTACCATGATTTTTGTTTTAAAATGTGGTGGACAAATAATAAAGTAAAATTATAGGTTAGAATGTGTAGAGCTGCCCTCGTTGCAGATCTCCTTTAGATTTAGAGACAATGAGAAAAAATTAGAAAACAGATATTTTATAATAATCAACTTTCTCTAATCTTTAGAGTAATAGAAAAAAAAATTTAGTTACATTTGTTGATACTGGTTCAACAATTAGACATATGCCTATCTAGTAAAAATTAGAACTGTAAATTAAATGAATAATTACTGAAATTTCTAATCATATAAACTATTTGGTATTAAAATTAATTACAATGATTATTTTAATCTTTCTAACTTTCATTCACTTAACTGTGAACTAAAAAATTGAATAGACATATTAGAAAGTATAAGGTGTTTAATCTTTCTAAATAAAGAATTTAACAAAAGATGGTTTTCCTTAAAGATCAAAGATTAAAATATCTCTTACATATTTTGATGGAGAAATACCTATTCTTTTATTGTGTTTAAATAAACCATATGCTAATATGTCAATGGACTATGATTCAATCACAAAGTAAAAAAAATCATAAGTTATAGAGAATAATGTTATTATGATGCTAATGCATATGAAGATAATAATAAAAAGTAGATTGTTTCTCTTTAAGATAAATTAGTTATGAAAAAATATCATAAGAATTTCAATATATATGAATTTTTAGAAAATAGTATATTTGTTGGAGCAATCTCAAAATTATAAGCATCATATATAATTTAAGCAGAAATAATTTCAATATATTCTTGTTCAAAGTAAAGAAATTAAATAAAATTAGAGAATGTCGAAATGGAGGAAGTTGTTTTTATGGAGTATGTGAATGTTTAAAAGGAACATTTGGAGATGATTGCAGTATTTAAGGTTTAGATATTTTGTAATAATCAACTCTTTCATCAAATTATTTATATTATTTGGATATTAAATAATTAACTGGAGCGACTTTTTTAAGAATCTTATCAAACTCAATCCCTCTTAGACAATAATGTTATGCTGATAAACCTTAAATTAATCATGGAACTTAAATATTAACTAATTTGCTATAGATTGATCATGATAGGATATAAAATTGCAAAAATATTACACTTTAAGTTGAGGAATAGATGAAGGTATAACAAACTCCATATTATTTATTTAAAATTTCTGATTAAAATAGTGTAGAAATATTTGAGAACAATGTCTAAGAAGTAGGCATATCCAAAATTATGTTAATTGTATTCATCCCTTTATCAATAATATTATTCTTATTAATTATTTGTTGTTGTTATAAGATGTTTAAAAATAACTCAAATTTATAATAATAAAAGTTATAAACAGAACCAATTCCTACATATGTTGATATATATATACCTACTTACAAATTTTAAGAAATTAAAGATACTGATATTCATTCAATGAGTATAGATCATTAGTATTGTTCAATTTGTTTAGAAAGATTCGATTTATTAAATACTGTTAAAATTACTTACTGCAAACATTTGTATCATTCTAAATGCTTAAAACTCTGGATAGAAAAGATTAAAGTAATTTAATTATCAAAATAGGTCTGTCCTCTTTGTAGAGCTCCATTAGATGAATAAACAATTTTATCTATGCAACCTCCAAAATCTATGACTCTAATTGATTAGATAACAAATAAAAGTTCCAACAAATTAAAACCATCTAATGGATCTCTAAGTTTTTTCAATAACCATAACCTAACTAGGTTCTAAAATATAAATTATCAACGAAGTTTAGTTTGCATCGATTAATGAAGCCTATATAGTTATATCTTGCACTAAAATTGATGTAATAATTTATTCCTTATAAATAAAGATAAAATAAAAATAAGTATTATCATAACCTTCTATTTGAATTAATATTAATTATTATTCAACTTTTTATTAGGTATATCTTATTTTATATTCTTTTAACATGTAACTAATTTAATCAAATAAATCTAACTTTATTTATAGGCTTCTATTTTAATTTAGGTTTTATATATCATAATTATTTGTTTAATTCCTACTTAAATTTGGATGCTGACAGTTTTTGTATATATCAAGAACTAAATTTTAGTTCATCTTTTTATACAAAGAGTCCTGCATTCATTTATTGCTTTTGTATAAGGATTATGTACCAATATTTTTTAAGGAATCTTAAGAAGTTATTTTTTAGATTATTATTCAAAGTATTCTTAAAATGAAAAAATTTTAATGAAATTGTGCAATTAAATTTTACAAATCCATTAAATTTTGATTTCATGTCATCTAAAATAGAACGCAACTTCTTATTTCATTGTCATAGTTCAACTTAATGTCCTAAATTGGAAAAAAATATAATCTTCAAAAAAAGAATTTGATAATAATATTATTATTTTGATTGTGATTAAGCATAAATAAATTGTATATGAAATAGAAATTACAAATTTGAATGGCTATATAAAATAAATAATTAATAAATAATTTTTACTTTAGATTTCTTATTAGTCTCATAAAATGATTTTGATTGAGCCTTTCTTTAGTATTTGAATTAGAAAATAAAAAATAAATTTTAATTTTATAAATAATATATTAATAAAATTCTAATTTTATTTCAATTTTCTTTATAATGTCTAGTATTAAGTAAAATATGCTAAGTTTTACAGTAAAATTTGAGTTAGGATAATTCATAAAGAAATATCAATTACTTTTACAATCTTTTTAATAATCTTAATAATTTCCCTTTTTGTATATTATAATATTAAATTTATAATCTTCGTTTTTGCAAATTATTAATCTAAATTTTTTTAACAAATGGAATCTGTATCTTAGTAATAGTATTTAGAAGAAATGAAATTAAAAGCTCAAGAGTGCATATAGAGTTTAGATCAATTTTATGAAGTAAAATTTATACCTTATGCAAATATTAGTAATCATATGATTAAATCAATAACTTTATTGATTCAATTGAAATTGATATATGTTAAAAGTCAAGACATATACAAGAGTCAAGTACCAAGTTTGTAATACCATAACTTCCTGAATTTAAGGTAGAGATCAATTTAAATTTAACTCCTGATGATATGAAATGCCTTAGGTAAATAATTTTTTTAATAATATTTATAGATCAATAATATAAAAACAGGCTAAATAAAAAATTGAATTAGAAATATAATAAAATGAATTGATTAGAAAAGAAATTCATAGAGAAAAAGAAGGTGCGATGGAAGCTCTATGTAAATAGGGAAATTTTTATAAATTTGAAGAATAGCCAAATGTTAAAACTGTTAATACTAAGTTTGAAGTTTGGAGAGTAGAAATAAAAGATGAAGAGTTTTATAAAAATATTGAAACTATAGAAAGGATTTAATGTCCATAAGATTTTTCTAAGTTTAAAGAAGGAACTTGGAATTGTTTAAGAACTGAAATACCATTTGCTTTTAGTATGATGAAAGATATATTTTTAATGAAAAAATTAAATGTAAATTCTGATGAATTATATGTCATAAAAACACCTATTGGTAGTTAACCATACAAAACTATTAATGATGCATTAATGGAATGTAAATCACATTTGATTTGTCAGAAACTTATGAAAAAATTTATTACTGAATTATAAGAATAAGCTATTGAAAAAGATAAGAATATAAAAATACCATCTGTAATATATAATGATCTATTAATACTTGAAGAATCATAAAGTATTTATATTATTTATTTATTTATTTATTTAGATTCATTTTGGATTGCAGAAAGATTTATTAAAGGAGAATTTGATAAATATAATAATAATTATGGTTTTATAAATGAAGATTATCAGACTGAATTAAATAAGTTTGCATAATCATTTACATATTATACATATTTTATCAGCAATTTTAATTACATGGTTACTGATATACAAGGAGTGGGTAATTATTTTACTGATCCAACTATCAATACACATAAAGGTATTATAAATATATTAAAATTATTAGGAGATTTTGATGAAACAGATATGGGAGAAGAGGGATAAATGATGTATTTGGTTAATTATGAAAGTAAAAAGGCATTACTAACATATGATTATCTAGATTTATTGGGAATTTATGATTGATATAATATTAAATATAATTTATAGGATATTAAATATTAAAATATAATTTATTTAAAATAAAATATGAAAACCACAACAGTAGTAGAATCATAGGTTATTAAGACTAATGTGGAAGTTGAATAAGCACCAATTAGATATAATAGAAAAAGAAATTATATGTCCACTTCATTTGTATCTGCTTAATTTCCTAATACATAATATATGGGTGCTATTAAAATTATGATTGATAATCATGAATTCCAAGCAAAATTTCAACTTCCTCTTTAATAATAAAAATGATTATTAAATATAGTTTGAAGAACTTGAACTTGAAGCATAGAGATTAAAATTATAATCAATACATAAAAAAATATTAATGAGTCCATTACAATTATTATAAGCATACAATTAATTAAGATAAAAGAGCAAGAGTTTATACACTTATTACCATAGTGATTAATTTAAATAATTTTTATAGAGTGTTTAATATAATTGAATGATTTAATTTAGTAAATCACTGTTAATATTTTGAAATACATTATGTTTATAATATAAATATAAAATGTACTATAGAGATAGGAGAGCATCATCCTATTAGAAACCTAAAGTGGGTTAAGATAATTTAAAAAATCAGCTGGATTTATTAGATAAATTTATGAAACCAACCTATGATGTCTAATTGCCCCATGAACCTAGTCAAAAAAGTGGAATTAGATAATCTGGACAATTGAATAAATCTTTTTAGTTTCCTAAAGTGTCAACATAAATAGAAGACTCAGTTAATGAAGAAGTAGCATAGATGTAGCTAGCAATAGATTAATAAAACTAGACTCTAAAGAAATTATTGAAAGAATAAAGAGAAGTAAGATTATAAATGGATAATAAAGATTAATAAAGCTTAAGTTTTTAAATAAGAAGTAGAGAATTTAAAAAATCAAGTTCAAACCATCCATCTCAAATTGCCAAAATTGCCTCAATATGAACAATTAAATGAAATAAAACAAGAAATCGCATCATTAAGATAATCCTTTTTCTAATAAGCTTAACAATTGTAATAGCCAATTATTCAACCTCCATAGATTATTTATTAACAAATGCCTTAACCATTGCAATAACCTCAGTATTTTCCACCTCCTTATCCATATTATCCTCCACCTTATGGATAATAACCTCCTCCTTATGGATAACAACCTCCTCCATACCCACTTTAATAATAATATTAATAACCCTTTTAGTATAATCCTTATCAATCTCCATATTACCCACAACCTTAGCCATAACCTCAAGATGGCTAAATAAATTAATAAAATCCTTAATCCATAGGGAAAATAAAAACTGTCGGTTCATAAGGTTAAAATTCAAGAAGATCTAGTTAAAAGACTATCCCATTAATCTCAAAGAGGTCCATTTAATAAACTAAATAAAGTTTTTTCTCTGATGTATTATAAATTTATATAATTATAGAATGGTGACAAGAAAGTGCCATTTTAGGGTTCAAGACTGAAAGTAATTTTGAATGCTGTACGATATGCTATGAGATGGAAGATATATTGTAAACCTTTAAATATTTTATGGAGAAAATTATATAAACATTCAGTTGAGTGTAAAGCAGTAATCTAAAAAATTTCATATCCAGTTGCTTTAAAACGTATTAATGATTGGTGCAAAATGGTTTTAGCAAAAGTTGAAAATTATTTAACTAAAATAAAAGAAATAGATTTCATTGTATAATTGTTTTTTATCAAAAGAATCCAGAAAAACCATTGACAGAATAAGAAATAGATTAATCATATATGTAATTAACTAATGCTATGAAATATCTAATGACTAGTTTAGTTACTTATTGTACAAATGATTTTATGATACCAGAATTGAAATTTTTATCATATCTATAGTTTTTTGATTAGCCAGAAATAGATAGAGGATTATTTGTAGCCAGAAGAGTATTATTTTGGAAAGAAAAATAATTAGATATGACAAAAACATAATAGATGATGATTGTAGGAGATCTTGTTATATTAGTACATATTCTACCTGCTTTGATGGAAATTCCAGGATAAATATTTTTAATTAAATGTATGGTATCTCTTGTTTAAATTCATTTTATGAAATATTTTGATTTAAGAGTACTAAATCGAAATCCAGAATATAGAATTATTTAATTAAATTTGGTGGATGTTGTTGATTCAAAAATAGTTATGAGATTAGAAAAACTAGAAAAGTTTGATGATGAAAGATATATTGTAGGTGTATATGAGGAAAGTCAATTTTAAGGATTTTATGCTAAAAGACCTCATTTTCAAGATGATATGCAAAAAGCTTTATTTTAAATACATACTAATTTATTATAAGCATTAGCTGCTAAATGAAATTTTATATATTTATTAATTATATTCAAATTTAAATTAGCAGTTAAATGGAGGATCTCTTAGAATGCACTAAATGTGGAAATGAAGTAGATTAAATATTAGCTTTATCATGTGAACATAATCTATGTCTTTAATGTTCTGCTAAACTCTATTATAAACTATAATGTCAAACCTTAGTTTGTGAGATCTGTTCTTCATAAACTCTATTGGATCCATCTGCTATTGAAGTCTTATAAGATATGTACAAATTGCAGTCATCTCGAATGTCAACTGCAAATTTAAAAAGCTCAAGATAACAAATCTAATATTAGGCATCTACTCATTCAAAAACATCCTAAATACATCTTAATACTTAACAAGGATTAACAGTTACATGTTAATAACATGCAAGTGAAGAAGCATTACTTTATTGTTATACATGTGAAACACCTTGTTTTTGTATGGAATGTTATCTATAAGGATTACATAAAAATCATGAAGTAAAGAATGTTTAAAAGTCTTATTCAATTATTAGAACAACCAAAGTAAATACATTAATTAATTTTAGGCTGATTAATTCTATTAGAAGGTCAAATCTAGTTAAGATTAATTATTGTAAGATTAATGTAAATTTGCTGCAAAAAAGAAGGAATTAGTTGAAATCAACACTTCTACAAAAATGTAGATTCAATCCAATTTTTAAGAATTATACAAAGCTCTTTAAATGAAAGAGTCTGAACTTATATAGGTAGCTGATGATACTATGTGTGAGAAAGTCAAAGAAATTGATGTAGAAGTTTAAAAAATTTAAGCATAAATGGATGTATTATTTTATATCAATATATTTATAGAAATTAAATGATGTTTTAAGTGACATAGAATCATATTTCCCTGATCATCCAGATTAAAGTCAAGCTATTATGGCTTTTAATTATATTGCTCTTAATAATAGAAAAATAGATTAACTTACTAGAACCATTCTTACTGAAAGAAATACTTGGGGTGCTTCATTATAGTTATAATATTAATTGGATCCACAAAGCATCATTTAATAAATTGAAGATATTAGATCTACTAAACTAAAAATTATGTCTTTGAGAGCATTAGAAACTGTTGAACCAACTATTAATGAAAAGAAATTATATGAAAGAGCCAGAGATGATAGAACTAAAAGATTATTCTAATTTTAAACTCCAATCCAATAAGTATTTTAGGATGAAAATAAAGAAAATAATTAATCATTTACATTAAATAATGGAGAGTAAACATAATTGTCAGAATTCCAACGAAAATTTTAAGAGGCTAAGAGAACTTTATCTTAAAGATAAAAATTAAATTGAAATATTAGAATTTTATATCTATTAACAATATTAATATAATTAAGGGCTAATTTTGATTGAATGTAATTAATGAATTCATTTCGGGGGACTTACAGCTGGTTAACGATAAATGCGATTATATTGCTCTTTAGGAAGTGTGTGATAATCTAATATTTATTTCTTTATTTAAGAATTATTTAAATTTTAACTTTAGGATACATAGGATGCATCAATTGAAGACATCTAAATTGAATTATTCACTTTTTATTTTCTTTTTAAGAATTCATTATCAATATGCTTTTTAATTTTTTCTTCTCTCTCTACTTATGATATCCTAATATAAATTGTGTGTTTTATACTCCTTTTTTCCTTTAATAACTTATAATGCTCTTTAAGTTTCTATTTCTAATTTTTACTTTTCTTACTTTTTTTGTTCTGCTAATTCCTATTTTACTTATTCCATCTCTAATTCCCTTTACTTTTTCTTCAAGTAATTCTCCTTTTAGATGAGCAATAATCTATCATCTTCAACTGGTTTCAAACCACCAGAGCCCTTTAAATTTTTGATGAGGAGTTATCTTTTAGCTTTTTTTTCTATTTTATTTGGATCCTCAATAATCTTTTCCTTCTTTAATTCTTCAGGTAAAAACCTTGTATCTGGAGGAGGCTTTGCAGGCTATAGTTTTTACATTCTATCCACTAATTTTTACATTCTTGAAAAGTCGTACATTTATTTTATATATTATATTTATTATCCTAAAAAGCATTAAATAAAGAATTTTATAAATTGAAAATATTCCATCACTCTAAATAACATTGGATATCTTAATTTTATTACTGATATTTTTATAATATATTTGGTTTATTATATTATTCAATTATGGCATCTGTCACAAAAGAGAAAAAAATTAAAAAAAAAGAGAAAGATGAATAAATACAAAGTAAATCTTTGGGAAACTTTCATAATTTGGAATTATTGTGTAAAGCAGATGATAGATAAAAAAAGACATTAGAAAAAATAATTAAATCGAAACCAGATTTAGCAAGAAGTTTAAACATTTATGCTGATGGAGTTAAATATTATATAGCAAGATAGTAATAGAGAGATAAATTATTGGCAGCAAAAGACTTACCGTTGATGGAAGTTTCAGAAGAATAACTATAATAACCAATACTACCTCTAATATCTAACAGATAAATGACAAAACAAAACAAATTTGATTTCTTACCCCCTAGACTCTTATCTGAAAGTTTAGAAAAACAAAATAAAAGATAAATTAATCACAATAATTATACTCCTTTTACAAATAGATAAAAAGTAACAATTCCTGCATTAAATCCCTCTTTGAAATTTAATAAAGATAGAAATTTACCAAAATTAAAGGTATTTGTTAATACTATTCTAAGTTCAATTATTATGTAGGATCAGGAAATAATGGAGAACTTGTAAAACGAATTTTATAAAAGAGAGAATAATATTGGACAGCAGTACCATAAACATTTTAATACAAACATTTTATATGGTAATAATCATATTTTGGTATGGATTTTAATCGTTTAACACCATCAGAAAGTTGTTTTGTAAGAGTAATGTATAATTTCTTTGAATTTCATAAGAACATTACATCGAAGACAGGTATGTTTTAGAATTATTTTTAGGATTATCTTAATCTTTACTTTAATATTATAACAATATAGAGAGGACTTTTGATATTATACCTTTAGTTTTTATTTTTAATTTCAAAAATTAGGATTGGGTGAAAGATGTTTAGTAATTTACAGAATTTTATCAAACGAATAATCCATTAGGATAAACTAATATGAAATCTTCTTTAGAATTTGATTTTTATCTATCAAATCTGGCAGGTACAAAAGTCAATTATAATGGAATTAAGTCTTATAAATTGTAGGAAACTTTAGTGAGTAAAACCTAATATTTATGGCTTTTGAAACCAGCTGATTGGAATAGAGGAGAGGGTGTTCATGTTTTTAGCACTCTTGAAGAAGTTGAAGCCTTAATTAAGTCTTATTACAATGGAAAAGGAAACTATGAGTGTAAAGAGTTTGTTATTCAAAAATACATTGAAAGACCATTGTTATTGAGTGGAAGGAAATTTGATATAAGATGTTGGGTTCTCATATCTTAAGATATGCAATACTTTTTATTTAAAGAGGCCTATATAAGAACAAGTGGAGCAACATTTTCATTAGATGATGTAAAATAAAAATTAATAAAATTAGAAAGATAGGTACATTCATTTAACAAATAATGCAGTTTAAAAGAATGCATAAAATTATGGATAATTTGAAGATGGTAATTAATTATCTTTAAAGAGATTTTAAGAGTTATTAGAGTAAATATTATTTTAAAAATAGTCAACAAGAAACAGTTTATGATTTTAGAAAGTAAGGTTGGCCAATGATTAAAGATGTTGTTAAAATAACAATGAATTCAACTAGATTGAATAAAAGAAATAGAAAATATGGGATGCAATTATTAGGTTATGATTTTATGATTGATGAAAATCTAAAGTTATGGTTGATAGAAGTCAATGCAAATCCATGTTTGGAAGAGAGTTCTAATTTATTAAAAATGTTGATACCTCGTATGTTGGATGATGCCTTTTAATTAACTCTGGATAAAGTATTCACTCCAGAAGTGGATCATGGTTAATAGATGCCAAAATATAAGGTTGATGAATATGAGGATTAAGAGAATATGTGGGAATCATTGGGTATTTGTAGTTGACAAATTAACTAAATATAAATATTTATATATGATTATACAATATATAAAGATTTAAATAAATATTTAAATTTAATATGGATTAATAAACAGAATAAGATAAACTTGAATCAATAGCTACTCCAGGAGTATTAGATAAATATCAAAATGCAGGCAAGATTGTAAATGGTATTTTTTTTATTTGATTAATGATCAGTTGTTCTTGAAAAAGTGATTGCTAAAATATAACCAGATGCTGACATTGCTTCCATTTGTGCTTTTGGAGATTAAGAGATTAATGGAGAACTATAAAAAGTTTACAATAAGAAAAATATTGAAAAAGGCTTAGCATTTCCAACAACTATTTCTGTAAATTAAATATGCGGACATTATTCTCCATTAAAGAGTGAAAGCAGTAATTTAGCAAAAGGAGATGTTGCTAAGATGTAAAATTTATTATAAACAATAGTTAATTGGGTGTACATATTGATGGATATATTGCAATTGCTGCACACACAGTTGTAGTAGGAGAAGATTAAGTAGAAGGCTAAAAAGCTGATGTGATATTGGCTGCTTATTAATCAGTTTAAGCTCTTTTTAGATCAATCAAACCAGGTACTACAAATACAGCTTTAACAAAACTTATTTAATAAATTGCAGATGATCATAAATGCACACCTTTAGAAGGTGTTTTAAGTCATGAAGTCAAAAGACATTTTATTGATGGAAATAAAGTTATTATTAATAGAGAAACATAAGAATAAAGAGTTGATGAAGAAGAAATTCAAGTTAATGATGTTTTTGTTTTAGATGTTTACATTACTACAGGTGATGGAAAAACAAAGGAAGTATAATTCTTATCTTATTCATATAGTCTGAATTAAGAACTACAGTCTATAAAAGAGCATTAGATAGATAATATTAATTAAAAACTAAACATGGTAGAGCCTTCATGTAAGAAGTTTATGAAAAATATCCATCTTTATGTTTTTCATTGAGAGCTTTCGAAGATGAAATTACAGCTAAATTAGCAGTTTAAGAATGTGCAAAACATGAATTATTGAACCCATATCCAATTTTGATTAGTCCAAATAGTATTGTAGCATAATTCACAATTACTGTTGCTGTTCTAGCCAATAGCACAATTTAAATTTCAGGTTTGAAGTTAGATGAGACTAAATACAAGGCTGCTCATGATCTCACTGATCCTGCCCTCAAAGAATTATTGAAAGTATATTAATAATTTATTATTAAGTTACCAATGGATAAGGAATCATAAAAAAAAAGACAATTAGAGCAAAAATAAAAAGCTTGATGATATATATCATAGTAGTAATATAGGTATATTAATAATTATAAATACAAATATTAATAGTTTAATTATATATATTTATTGATTCTATCTTATTGAAGTTAATTAAAATATAGATTTTATTTAACATATATTCATACAAATAAAAATCATACTTTCTTTCAATATAAATCATTGTTAAATAATATAAATTAAAATGAATCAATAATTACTATTGTTGAGTTATTACTTTATAGGTTCATTTGCTTAAGTAAAATTATCGAGTTCATATCCATTAAATAGTGCTAATTATAGAGCTTTTTATACCTTAAATTGAATTTCTCCTTAACATTATAGCATTTTGTTGAATCAATTCATTATTTTCTTCATCTTCAATTGATATTTATCTAGCATCGAAATTATCCTCTGTTTGCTAAATTTACTTAAAAACTCAGAATTACATGAGGAATAAACGGTGCTTTTAATTCCTTATTATAGAGCTTTTACCATGGAAAATTTTTAAACCAGGAATGCTATCTCAATTCTTAGGGACCATTAAAACCTAATCTATTTGCAGGTTTTCTTTAGATTAACTAAAATGAATATGATAATTTAATGTTTACTCTATTTATAAAATCAGCAGATTCAAGAGACCAATTATCAGGTATTTCAGATCTTTTAATTTAGACTTGCTTAGCCAATATTTAATCTCTAATTTCTTTACGAGATCTTCCTGTATAAGGTCTCTATTCTAATCTAAAATTAAATACTTTGCCAAGCATAAATTCGTAACCAATGACTCCTAAGGCAAAATAATCAACAGCATATGAATGGTTTTATCTACACATAACTTCAGGAGCCATATATCCAGGTGTTCCACTTGTATCTTAGGCATTATCAGGTCTCAAAACTCTAGCAATACCTAAATCAGTAATTCTAACATATCCTTTTAATTTGATAGTATTATTACCATTTTTGTCTAATACCAAATTTTCTGGTTTGATATCTCTATGTATAATATTTTTAGAGTGCATGTGTTCTAATCCTAGAAAGATGCATGCCATAAAAAATCCTCTTGGTTGTACAATGAAAACTTACTTGTTTGATCTTCACTAAATCGACGCATTCTTCCTATGTGATATCTCAAATCTCCTCCTTACATATAATCTAATACTAAAAATAAGTTTTCTCTATCTTAGAAAGCAAAGTAAATATTAACTAGATAGCTAGAGTTTAAATATGAATAATTATTACGGATGTTTAAGGTTACTTAATATACTTCTTTCATTCATAACAGAATTTACACTTTTTTTAGCAATGATCCTTTTTTATATGAAAATATATTAATACAAAGCTTTAGACATCTCTTTCATAGCATAAGTTTAAGCATTTTTTTTATGTTCAACTCTCCAAACTTTACCAAACCCACCAATTCCAATAACATATAAAAAATTAAACATATTTCTCTAAACTATAACTTCATTTGGAAAGTAGTTATTTTACATGAATTATGATTATTATTGTTTATGTTAATTCTGTTATTGTTGAATTGCTTATTTCTCTTGTTCTTCATCTTCTTTTTTAAGAATTAAATAGTTTAGAAATGACATCTATTGAGTTTATTTAGGTTTAGAAATAGAAGATTTTTTAGAATGATTTGCAGATGTAGATTAACTAGACTATACTGAAATCTTCTACATAGCATGCATCAATGGAGATGGAGAATGATCGTTGTGTTCATTCCATCTAATAAATAATCGTATATTATATGTTTTACCTATTATTATGTATATTTTAGGCTCCTTGGTTTCCTTGATTAACTAAGCTTTTATCGCCTCTATTTGCTTATCCTGAATCTTATCTAGAATGAGGAAATTTATAATTCAAACCTTTCATTTATATTATTTATTATATATATTTTGTTGTAAAATATAATCATCTGAATTTAATTATTTCAAATTTATGCTTTCCAATCATAATATATATTTATGTATAGATAGATTTTATGAAAGTTCAAAGATCTAAATCTTAAATTTTAATTAAAGATGATAATGAGAAGATATTTAAATCGCTCAATTTGCATTCCGGATCCTAATTCAAATGATAATATGTCATAAATTATATTTAATATTATATCAATCATAAATTCCCAATAAATCTAGATAATCATATGTTAATAATGCCTTTTTATTATCATAATTAACCAAATACATCATTTATCCCTCTTCTCCCATATCTGTTTCATCAAAATCTCCTAATAATTTTAATATATTTATAATACCTTTATGTGTATTGATAGTTGGATCAGTAAAATAATTACCCACTCCTTGTATATCAGTAACCATGTAATTAAAATTGCTGATAAAATATGTATAATATGTAAATGATTATGCAAACTTATTTAATTCTTTTTTATAATCTTCATTTATATAACCATAATTATTATTATATTTAACAAAGTCTCCCTTAAAAAATCTTTCTGCAATCCAAAATGAATCTAAATAAATAAATAAATAAATAATATAAATACTTTATGATTCTTCAAGTATTAATAGATCATTATATATTACAGATGGTATTTTTATATTCTTTTTTTTTTCAATAGCTTATTCTTATAATTCAGTAATAAATTTTTTCATAAGTTTCTGACAAATCAAATGTGATTTACATTCCATTAAAGCATCATTCATAGTTTTGTATGGTTAACTACCAATAGGTGTTTTTATGACATATAATTCATCAGAATTTACATTTAATTTTTTCATTAAAAATATATCTTTCATCATACTAAAAGCAAATGGTATTTCAGTTCTTAAACAATTCCAAGTTCCTTCTTTAAACTTAGAAAAATCTTATGGACATTAAATCCTTTCTATAGTTTCAATATTTTTATTAAACTCTTCATCTTTTATTTCTACTCTCCAAACTTCAAACTTAGTATTAACAGTTTTAACATTTGGCTATTCTTCAAATTTATAAAAATTTCCCTATTTACATAGAGCTTCAATAGCACCTTAATTTTCTCTATGAATTTCCTATTTAATTGTTGTTAGTAAATTTACTTTATTAATCTCCGCTTATTTTTGCATATCTTCTATTTTTTTTCTCTCTTTCACTAATTTTTCTTTTCTAATCAATTCATTTTATTATATTTCTAATTCAATTTTTTATTTATCCTCATTTCTTTTTTCATTTAGCCATAACATTTATTATTCCAATTATTTATATTAATTATTTTAATCAAGTTTAATTTATTTTCCATTTTATGAATCTTTAATTAAATCTTTAAGAAAATTTACTTAATTTTACAATAATTTAATTTGATCATTCATTGAATTTATCTCAAAATCTTTGTATTTTATCTTATCCTCCAATTTTTGTTTATCCATATTAACTTATCTTAAAGTATCGACAAAATTGATTTATTAGAATTCTTACTATTTGATGACTTTTTATAATTTAGTAATCTCATCTCTTGATTAGAATTCTTAATATTTGGTGACTTTTTATAATTTTGTAATCTCATCTCTTGCTTCCAAAAAATATTGATGTTCCTTATCAGCTTGGTTAATTTATTTATCTAATTCTTTTTCAACACTCTATAATTGATCTTCAAATTATTGTTTTTATTTATTAGCTTATCTTAAAGTATCGACAAAATTCATTTATTAGAATTCCTAATATTTAATTTTTTCTTCCTTTTATTTGATGACTTTTTATAATTTTGTAATCTCATCTCTTGCTTCCATAAAATATTGATGTTCCTTATCAGCTAGCTTAATTTATTTATCTAATTCTTTTTCAACACTCTCTAATTGATCTTCAAATAATAGTTTTTATTTATTATTATCATCTTTTAATTTTTTCACTTCTTCTTTACTCTTCTTGACTTATTAATCATATTCTTATATCAATTATTGATCAAATGATGAAGCAGCTACTGATTTACGAATTAGTTACTAATTCTGCCTCATCAACTAACCAACTTCCTCTTACAAATCATTGATTTATGATTCAAAAAAAGATTTTTCTTTAGTTATTTTATCAATTCTAAGCTATTTATTTTCATTATCAGATTATAGTGTTTAGATCAATTTATTTTAATCAAAAATATCATCCTCTAAATCTTGAATTATACATTTTAAATGACAAGATAATTAAGAAGACTTCTTATACCCTTTAATTTGTTCTTAAAATTTCTCTTCTTAATCTTATAATAATTCTTCTAAATCATTAATTTATTATTGAAGTTATTTTTCTTTTTAGGATTTATTAAGTATAGTAGTATGTAAGAGGGATGGCAGCCTTTATATGGTGAATGGGGGAATCATTTGAATTGTTGTAGGAGGCATTCCAAGAGAAGCTATATTATTATTCATAAAGTTTTGAAGATTTGGAAACATGTTCATCTAATTTGGATCTAAGATTAAAAATTGATTATTAGAATATACAAGGAGGGAAATTATTAGGATTATTAAAAGGATTGTAATTCAACTAATTGTAATTGCTTTTTGAATTATCCTCTATTTGACAATTTTCCATTACAAATTGCAAGTTTTAATTAATATTATTAATAGAATTAGAATTTTATTAATATATTATTTATAAAATTAAATTTATTATTTATTATGTATGTCAAATATAAAAGGAAGGCTCAATCAAAATCTTTTTATGAGACTAATAATAAATCTAAATTAAATAAATTAAAAAAGTATTTANTTTATTAGAATTCCTAATATTTAATTTTTTCTTCCTTTTATTTGATGACTTTTTATAATTTTGTAATCTCATCTCTTGCTTCCATAAAATATTGATGTTCCTTATCAGCTAGCTTAATTTATTTATCTAATTCTTTTTCAACACTCTCTAATTGATCTTCAAATAATAGTTTTTATTTATTATTATCATCTTTTAATTTTTTCACTTCTTCTTTACTCTTCTTGACTTATTAATCATATTCTTATATCAATTATTGATCAAATGATGAAGCAGCTACTGATTTACGAATTAGTTACTAATTCTGCCTCATCAACTAACCAACTTCCTCTTACAAATCATTGATTTATGATTCAAAAAAAGATTTTTCTTTAGTTATTTTATCAATTCTAAGCTATTTATTTTCATTATCAGATTATAGTGTTTAGATCAATTTATTTTAATCAAAAATATCATCCTCTAAATCTTGAATTATACATTTTAAATGACAAGATAATTAAGAAGACTTCTTATACCCTTTAATTTGTTCTTAAAATTTCTCTTCTTAATCTTATAATAATTCTTCTAAATCATTAATTTATTATTGAAGTTATTTTTCTTTTTAGGATTTATTAAGTATAGTAGTATGTAAGAGGGATGGCAGCCTTTATATGGTGAATGGGGGAATCATTTGAATTGTTGTAGGAGGCATTCCAAGAGAAGCTATATTATTATTCATAAAGTTTTGAAGATTTGGAAACATGTTCATCTAATTTGGATCTAAGATTAAAAATTGATTATTAGAATATACAAGGAGGGAAATTATTAGGATTATTAAAAGGATTGTAATTCAACTAATTGTAATTGCTTTTTGAATTATCCTCTATTTGACAATTTTCCATTACAAATTGCAAGTTTTAATTAATATTATTAATAGAATTAGAATTTTATTAATATATTATTTATAAAATTAAATTTATTATTTATTATGTATGTCAAATATAAAAGGAAGGCTCAATCAAAATCTTTTTATGAGACTAATAATAAATCTAAATTAAATAAATTAAAAAAGTATTTATTTATAATCAAAATATAGTATTATTATCATATCATCATATCCTTAACTTTTTTGTTTTAGTTTTAGTTATCATTTTTCAATAGTTTTTATGAATCTATCATTTGAAATGATAAAATTCAAATGTATAAAACAGTTCCAATTCTTTGATTTTAGTAATTTTAAAATCATTCATATATTTACTGTTTATAATAGAGCTAAAAAGTTTGAAATTATCAATTCTTAGTAGAAACTAAATGTTGAACCTCCCTTCGCTTATTATGATATTATTCATTAGGCTGAAGCATTAAAAAATATATTAGAATTATGAAAGTGTAAATTTAATTACTTTACCATTTGATATTCTCAAGAGGATTTGTAGCTTATTTCTAACCAGAATCAAATTGTTGGGATGATAGTAATCAACCCATAATTATTTTTTAGATTTAAATAATAAAACCATTATAATTTATTACTTATTTTCAAAATTTCTTGTTATTGCCTTTGGATTAAGTATTCTCTTAATAACAGTAAATAATCTTCTTTATAATAAATCCTTTGCCAAAATTATCTAAAATATTGAAACCAAAGTATATTTTATATTAATTAAATTAGTTAAAAAACATACCATATTACATTATAAAAATTCTATGGAAATTTCTATTTTATATTGTAACATTTACATGTGTGATTAAGTGGAAAATGATAAAATTATCAGGTTAACATGTAGTAATATATAAATCTATTTTTTGAATATAGGCATCACTTCCTTGATCAATTAATCTAACAATCTAAGAATGGGTAATAATTAAGTAATAAAGTCCTGTTTGTTGTATATTAATTTAACAATATTTACACAACTATATAATAAATCATTAAGATAAGAAAGTTTCATAATCTTTCATTTCCAGACAACCACTGTTATTTATCCCTTTATTGCTTAGAGATAATATCCTTCCTCATGTGTTACAAATAGACCAAAGTTTTTACCCACTACACAGTGCCAAGGACCTAAATGCCTTTTATCTAACCTGAATAGTGATTAATAAATATACTCTCTCTTGATATAATATGCAATATCTCTTTCATTACTATGCTTTCTTAAATTTTCCAATATGATATATTGTACATCTTTTAACAAATCACTTGTCATATCACATAATTTGATTTTTATTTACTGTGCTTAATCACTCATATTATTCAATAAATTTATTTATTCCTAAATAAATTATAGAAATTATATTTATTATTAACTGTCACATGAAGTCTAATGACTTGCTACAACAATTTAATGATTTTAGAAGAAAGCTCAAAGCACAAATTTAATCAAATGAAATAACAAAAAGTCCATAAAAAAATTACATTAAAACTCAAAGTTCCCCTTTACAATGCAGTTCTAGTATTAAATCAAAAATTAATCTCAATCAACATTAAAATAAAATCTAAGATAGATGTAACAAAAATTAAACAATTCAAAATGATAACCAACTTGAATCCTTTAAAATTAATCCTAGATTTTAATGCATAACTCATGAAAAATTTGACAGTAAATAATAGAATGTCTAATCCTTTAAATCCTCTAATTCTTCAAATAAAAAAGAAGTTGTTGTAAATAAGCTTTTAAGTTAAGAACACTTGCATAAATTTTATTTTACTTTTTAATCGATATCAGATGATGAAGTTAAATAATTACCAAATGAATATAAATAGCTCTTAAAATAATTGGCAACTTTTGTTAATGAAAAGCTTCTTTAGTGATTTATAATCTACTAAATAATAGGATATTGTATTATTGATAATATAAAATATGTAACTCTTTAATTTTCAAATTTTAAGAAAATAATATAGAATAAATTCAAAAAGTATTTAATGGAATCTAAGGTTTCAATTTTTAATTATTTAACATTCTTTTTATATTTCAATTTTTAAGAAGATTCATATTTCAAGATTTTATTTATTTTCTTAAAATTGATTGGATTATCCAATATCCAATTAAATAATTATTTTATTCCAAAATTTCTCAAATATAGAAATTTACTCTCTACTGTATTTCTTAAAAGATAGCTTTGATTTTATTATGTTATTGTTAAATGTTAGATTCTTAATTCAAATTTTATTTTTCTAAAAAAATTTAATTATAGAATTATTTTAAGAACTTTATTAAGTTAATTTACCATTTTATTAGAAGGCATTATTAAAAATTATTATTAATTAATTTTAAATTCTATATTATGAGTAATCTAAATATAACAATAAATCTAAATAATTGAGGTAATTAGGAAGATTTATAAAAAACATTTTTTCTTCATAACAATATATTACGATATAGCCTATTTCTATTATATTTTGAGATGATATTATCCTAATTGAATAGATCAAATAATAAATTTATGATTTAAATCTAAAAATTAGAATAAAATATAATATATATTGTTCAAAAAGTAAAAAATAAAATAAATTATATTTCTTTTAATTGATTTTAATTCTTAAATTAGATTTTATAGGTTTTTATTTAGTAAATCACAAGTATTTAATTATGTAAATTGAACTAATCATTAATAGATAAATAAATAAACAATAGAAACAGTAAAATTTTGTTTATTATAATTGAAAAATAATTGGATTTTAATAAGTGAATATATACAAATAATTATAAAAATAATTATTTTATTCAAAAATATACACAGCTGAGAATGAGTTATCAACTTTATCCTAAGCCTTTCCATTTTTGTAAAGTGATTGAAATATTTTTAGATTACTATTTACCTTATCCTCGCTAACTTGCCATTCCTATGATTCCTCCTTATAATCTAAACAATTATCCTTAATAATTTGGCTCATTTTATAATTAACCTATAATTGGAAACTCATCAGACAATTGTATTGTTATAGAAGATGATAATGTATGTTTATTATTTATTATTACTATTTAGATTTAACATCCACTGAACCCAAATCAATAATCAATAATTTAAACGTAAACTAATAGAGAATAGACAACTTAATAAGAGTAGTTGATGATTCTAGAATAGCCATTAGAGAAATAGATGTAATAATATGACAAATTAAATGAAAATGAACCACACATTAGAATAAGTGTTTTTAAACAACATTCAACTCAAATTGATGCTGAATACATTCTCTAATATGATAGGTATGTTAATTAATAATTATCAATTAGAATTTTAGGAAATTAATACAAAAATGAAATAATTATAGGAAGAAAAAAATTATAGGATGATAAATCAGAAAATTGTGATATATGTAATCATTTTAAACTAATAACTTTAGAATTACCTCATGGAGATAAAAATGTTGAAAAAGTCCATTGTAAACTTTCAACTGAAAAAGGTTTCTCTTATTCAAATCTTCTAACAAAATCAGTTCTACTATTCTTCTCATTATTTAAGTCAAATAAGTATGCAATGAAATTACCATTTTCAGTTAAATAACATATATACTCATTTATTAAGTAATAATATTCATATTTCTTAGAGACAAGCCTTAATTTTATTTAACAGATAATGCAACTAAGACAGGAACATTCTTAAAAATAAAAAAGGATAATTACAAAATTATGTAATTACATAATACATATCTAATTGGAGCTGATACATACTTTCATATTATGGAAATCAAATCAAAACCTACATAAATAAAATATAAAAAAAATAAAGATTTAAATTAGTTTTATAATGCTCTAGCAAAAGAACATATAAGAAAAGGTGTTAAGATTCATGGACTTACATTAGAAGAAAGTGAATAATTAAATGTATTAATAAATGAATTCAGAACTAACAATTTAACACAAAGAGCTCCTCATAAATTAAGTCAATATGATAGACCCTATTTAAAATTTGCCTTCAATAGTCCTTCTATCAATTAAATTTAATCTCATATATTCATTGCTAAATATGATTAAGAATCTGTATTTAAAATTGGAAGATCCCAAGAATGTGATGTCATTATTAATATTAATACTGTTTCTAGAAGATAGGCACAAATAATATATAAAAATAATGAGTATAAATTATATACATATTAAGATGGTACATCCATGATGGTGAAGGTGTTAGAGAGTCAGCAAATGGCACATGGTAGTCTCTACAAAATTATTCAACGAAAAATCATGAAAAAAAAATATAAAGTAAACCCAGATTGATTGAAGATTAAATGGAGATCAAAATTAGTGAGAACATTATTAAGTTTGATTTTGTAAACTTTGGTGTTACTAAAAAGTATTTATTTTAATCATTATTTTAGACGAAAACTTAATTAAGCTTTAATTCAGGATTTACTTTGGTGATTTATTTTTATGTATTTAAATAACAGTACAATTTTGTATTAAAAAAATAAATAGGTTATAACATAATAGGATATATGATATTATATAGAAATCAAAGTTTTTTATTTTTTAGCATTTTTACAAATTCTTCATACGATATCTATCCATCACCATTATTATCACAATCAGTTAGTATTTAATTCCATATATCTTCACCTAAATCTCCCATTACAGCTTCTAATTCTTTTTTTGAAATAAATCCATCTCCATTCTAATTTTATATGGAGTTGATATACTTAATCAAATATTTTAAATGCTTATTCTACTCTTTAAACTGATAGTAGTTTTTCTTAATTCATAGCTGCCATACAAAACTCTGAAAAATCTATCAACCCTGATCTATTTATATCTATCATTTCTAAGATTTTTTCAACTTCTTCTTAAGCCAATTTTAAATCATTCTAAATCTAAAGGTAACCTCTTAGAAATTCTTCTTTTGATAAGAATCCATCATTATTTATATCTAATCTTTGAAATTCTTTTTGTAACTCTTAAATTTCTTTTTATGTTGACATTTATGTTATCATATAAGACATTAATGCTTATTTTAATACTGTTTAAGCCTATATTGATTATATATTATAAGGATTTACTTAAAATTAACGAATGTTATCTAAGACCTTACGATTTACTTAAGTTGAGGGAGCATATTTAACTAACCAAGGATCTTCTAAAGCCTATTTTGCAGACAATCTTTTATTAGGATCTACTCTCAATAATTTTGTAATAAATGCCTTAGCTTCCTTTGAAATAGAATCCCAATCTTCGGCTAAAAGATAATATAATTAATTTACGATCAAATGTAAATTTACCAATTTTAACTCTTTCTAATATTTGATTTTCTGTTTTACCAACAAAAGGTGGATAACCACATAATAGAATATATAAAATGACACCACAAGACCAGATGTCACATTTTTCTGTATATGAATGACCTAATACTTCAGGTGCTATATAATAAGGCTGATTTAAGAGATATAAATACAGTTCCTAATCTTTTGCTCATAGTTTTTGAATTGTCAAACTTTCTTGATGTTCCAAAATCAATAACTTTTAGTTAAGATTATGGATCTTCATTTATAAATATAATGTTTTCTGGTTTTAAATCTCTATGTACAATTTATTATTCATGACAATGTACTGTTGCTAATAAAATTTATCTAATGTAATCTGCAGCTATACTCTCACTAAATGATGACATCTTTTTTATCCTATCAAATAGTTCTCCTCCTGATAAATATCTATATTGATTGAATTTATTACTCAGTCACCAAGTAATAATTATTTTCATCTTGAAACAATTCAAATAATTTTACAATATGTGGATGATCTAAATTCTTTAATATATTCATCTCAGAAAACAATCTTGATTCCTCCTCTTTGATAATAGAGTTCTTCTTAATTTATTTTATAGCTCTGATAAGACCAGTTGTTTTATTTGTTGCCTTCCAAACTTTACCAAAGGCACCTTATCCTAAGACTTTACCAAAATTATAATGAGTGCCAATTAAACCTTCTTTTTCTTTAACAAAAGTATCAACACCGAATTTGAATACTTTTCCTTATGATTTAACACAATTATCGGTTTAATTTTAACTCTGTACTTCATTTTTAACTATATCTACAAACAATTGATTACTCTATTCATTAGTCATATTTTGAGTTTAAACTATATCTGGAACCTTAGATATTTGTTCCTAAATTATTGTGTCCACTGGCTTTTCTTATTTTGGTTCTTATTCTAATTCACTTCCCACCGCATATTCTTTCTACTTATTCTCTGTTGGAAGTTGTAAATCTTCAACTTGAGATTCCTTTTTTCCTTATTAGGAAAGTGACTTTTTTAATTCTGGATTTAGTGGTGCAGTAGCATCTGGATTCTGAGCTGTTAAGATTTCATCTACTTGAAATTTCTTTACTTAAACCTTTTATTTGTATATTATCGTCTCTACAACATTTACCTCCCATCTTAAAAGAATAATTCAATATGAATCAATTAATATAAAAATAATTGTAACACTCAAAAACAGAATATTTACCTAGATCTCATTTTCATTATTTATCAATATAACAATATATTTTAGATGAGTATTGTAAATATATTTTAATATTAAATTTAATGTAATATTAGAAACAGTTACTCAAGTAATTATAACTATTTATCTTCAATATAGAAATACTCTCGAAGAACAGTAATAGTATCGATAATAGTAATAATTGGATTAAAAAAGAAGAGCAATTGAACAAGAATAATAAATGCTTCAAGAATCAGCAAAAGCCTTAGAGTATGATGAACTTTAACGCAAATAAATATAAAAGATAAAATAAAAGGAATTAAGTGAAGCCTATGAATAAAGCATAAACTAAAAAAAATAAAGTCAAAACATAATCAAATAAAAATAAATTTAAGATGAATTCAACCTTGTTTCTTAAGCTTAATAATATTAGGAAATGTAAAGATAATAGAAAATGCAATAATAATATTAAATGAAATAAATGGCTTAAGCATCTATGGATGATAAAATGAAAAAAATTATGTAATAAAAAGAAGTTTAAGAATAAGAAAAAATTAAGGAATAACTAAATTAAAGAGATGAAGAAATTCGGATAACAGAAAAGCAAAAATAATATAGAGATGTATTTTTAAAATTTAAATTTAGTATTATAGATAAGTAGCTGAATAATAAGAAAGAATGCAAAAAAACTTTTCAGAAAAGATTGGTAGTGATAAATAATTCTAAATTGAAAATATGATTAATAGAGGAATTGAAAATGTATAATACAAAGAAGAGATGGAAGCCCAGTAAAAAAAATAAAGCTAACTCTATAATAAATAAATGATGAGAGATTCCTTATAGAAATAAATCTTTGAAAAAGAATAAAGTACTAAAAATTAGAATGCTTCATAAATTATGAGCAATGGAGTATATTTTTAAATATATTTCTAATTAGTTTAGAAGTGTTGAAAACAATTAAATTGATCCTTCAATACACAATCCCCTTTTAAATCCTATACCAGGATATAATCAAAATCCATATTTAAATTAGAGAAGTTAGTTAGGCACATATGGAAATTAAGTACTTAAAATGTATTGAATAATTTTATAAATACAATCAATAATATATTTTTTATGCAAAAAATCTCCTTAAAGAGTAAATTTAAAATATTCCTGCACCAATAATGACAAATATTTGAATTAATGTAGCATTAAACACATTATCATTAATTTTAATGTTTTCTATACTTAATTTATCTTCATTTTCCCTATTCATTTATTATAGTTTAATAAAATCATCTTCTTATTTTTAAAGTGATTTTATTTTTTACTTTAATCCTGTAATCTTAAAGTAATACATTAATAAATACTTGACTTTCTTTTGCAGCTGATGAAAATTCTTAATTTTCTCCTTACTTTATTCTTAAAAAATATAATGGTTATTTTTTATCTCCAAACCAACCTTTACTATTTGACATTTTCAAACAAACTTAGTATCGTCCTTATTTTTTTGTTGTAAATGTAAATTTTCCTTCATCACTATTAGTCATTTTTGTCAAAACAACTTAGTTATCTGGATCAAGAACACTTAATTCAACTCCTCCTCCATTAGGTTAAACTTTATCCAACAATTAATGAGCACCAATAACAACTGTGTTTGCAGTATATTCATCTAAAAAGCACCTTTACTTTCCTTCTGTGAGATAAAATGTGAGAGCATTACTGCACGTGGCAAAAATAACTAGAATAAAAATATATTAATGCATTAAAAATATTAATGAAAATTCTAATACTAAAATGATAACCAAATTATCAGAGATATATTTAAAAACCTTAATAAATAATAGTTTATAGTTGTATCTATAATTTTATATAATATATATATATATATATATTAATATTCAAGTCAAAGTTCTTGCATTAACTTTATATAAGTTTAATTGATCTTTTAATATAAAGGATCGTATGATTTTATAGTAATTCTAATTTTCTTAAAATGACTAATGATTTTAGAAATCATACATATTAGTACTATAAAACAAACAGTATATGAAAAAACTAAACAGGAAATTAATATTCTTTCATCATCAAATGAATCTTCAAATAAGTGGGTAGTAAAGTAGGTTAAAACTCCAATTATAATTAAGATAATCAAAAGAAACATTGTTTCAAAAAGTAATTACCATTTGCTTTATTGCCAAAGGTTAATATCGAAATATATCTAACTGTTAATTTATCTAAATTCATTGCATTTTTGACATTTTAATTATTCTAAAATAGGTCCTTATTTTAAAAAATTATTCGCACATTTTACATGTGCTTAAGAGCATCTACAAATAGGAATTAAATTTTCATTTTCTTTACAAAAGCAACATCCCTAAAATTATACATTTTATTAAGCATCTTCTGTATGATTAACATTTAAATTTGATTGATCATTGTTCAATAAAATTTTAGTTTCATTTGGAGAGATCTTTTGCCTTATAGATGTATCGAAAATAGATAAATCAGAGTAACAAGGCTTTTACTTAATCAAAGTAATTGATATCTCTTAAGGTTCATCAATTAAGAAATTTCTTGATTTTTCAACTTTTAGTGATTAAATGTTTTGTTTTGAGTTCATTTCTTAATTCTTTAGTGAATTCGAGTATTAAGGAGTTTTGGGAAGTTAAATCATGATTAAGTTTAAAATTAATGAATTGTAAAGTAGTTGTGATTTTCATTAGGGGGAGTTGAACTAAATTTTTAGTAAAAAATAAATAGATTTAATTAGTATACCATATTTTTAATAATTCGAATTCTAATAGTTCTATTATTATAAGTTAATATAATTATATCAATATTAGTATTCAGGAAAGAACAAAACTATTCTAACTCTTATAAATAAAAATAAATATTAAATAAATTTTAGTTTCAACAAACACACTATAATTTTATCATATACAAAATTAGAGTGTATTAGATATTGGAGGTTGTAATTATGAAGAATATGATACAAAATATTAAATATATATATATAATTTAATGGCTGATTAAGAAGATTAATAAAAAATATAGTAATAAGTAGAGGAAGAAAATGTTGATTAATATTCATATTCAGAAGGAGATCAATATGAGTCAGATTCTGACAATTTGAAATTTGACATAGTAAAACCAGAGAAGAACCCTTTTAGACCTATAGGAATTGATTTTCAAAAAATTCAATAAATTGCGCATTTAGCACCTAATTCAAAAGAAATTCAATAAGAAGAAGAAAATAGAAAAAAGATTGAAGCTTATAATTTGTATCAATAAAAAGTATAGGAGGCAGATTAAAATTAAAAGGAATTGGAAAAGTAGATAGAAGAAAAGTTAAATTAGAAAAAGGAAGAGGAACTTCAAAATTTGTAGAAATAACCATTAGAATTATAAATTAATAAAGGAGGATAGCTTGTAAATGCAGATGAGATCCAGAAAATAATTTATCCTTGGTAAGTGTTATTTGATGATACATGGAAAAAAAATTATTATTACAACCCTGTAACAAAGGAAAGTGTTTGGGAATTGCCATTAGATATAGTATAGAAATTATCTGATTATAGAAGATAATTTGAGCATAGATTATATGACTATTAAGAGAGGAATTTTTTCAAATTTTTGCCAAAATAATATATAGCAAGATAAAGAGAATAGTTATTTTAGAAAAGATAGAAAGTGATGTTAAGACCAGCGAGAAAATAGGTTGAAGAATCATTGGCAACAAAATTTGGTTATAAATAAGGAGATGAGGAATATAACACATGGTTTGATAGATTTTTAAGTGATGGAAACAAATATAAAGAGAAAGATCCTGCTTTAACAAGAATGCATCCTGATATTGATAGCGGTTATACAAAAGCAGATTTATATGAGAAATTTAGTACTTATTTTTGTATCTTCTTTGCACGGGGTTGTTGTGCAGAAGGAGTTAATTGTAGATATTATCACAGAATTCCAACAATGGATGAGTGTGAATAAATTGATAACAGTAAAGATGTCTTTGGTAGGACAAGATTTGCTAATCATAGAGAGGATATGAAAGGGTAACTAATGATTATCTATGTCTTATATTAGAATAGGTTGTTTCACAAGTGACACAAGAGCAATCTATATTACTCATTATAAAATGCCTAAGGCTGAAACAAGTACTCAAGCATTAGCCTTAATGTATGATACGTTATGGAGACATTTCAGTCCATTGGGAGATATTGATGATTTAAATGTTATACCTGCCAAGGGTGTCTCATTTATAAGGTATTTTATACTATTCATACTATGAATGCAGATACAAACATAGATGTTAGGCTGAATTTGCTAAAGAAGCTATGGATTCATAAGCTTTAGATTAATAAGAGTGTATAATGTGCAAATGGGCTTATGAGGATCCAAATCCTAAGGCTATGTCTAGGGAATTTGAGGAGGAAAAACTTAAATTAGTTAATGCTGTTAAAGATAAAGAGAAGTAATTCCTGATTAGGATTTATTAGAAAAGAATAATAAAATAATTCATAGTTTAGAAAGAAGATTGATGGACAACATATTAGAGATAGATCCCAAGATGATAGAAAAGGAAAAAGAGGAGGTGATAGAGGAAATAGAAGAGGTGGACTTCGTGGTAGAGGTGATAATAGAGGAAGAGGTGGAAATCGATTATTTGATGATGATTGATAATTTACATCATTTTATATTACATAATTATTTTATAATATGGGTAGTGCTTAATGTTGTAACAAAATTGTATAAAATGAGGAAGTCTAAGAGATAGTTATAGGTCAAGATTCGAATTAATAGTCTGCAAAATTATAAGAGTATCAAAATTTTATTAATTTCTTTAAAGAGTTTAGTAAGTAAAACATAGCTACAAAAAAACAGAAGATTGTGGAACTCCTGCTTTTCCAGAACTAAGGTCCCAATAAAGTAAAAAATCGGAACAATACTAATCCTTGAAAGAAATTTAATTTATAGGGCAAGTTGAAAAAGATGAGCAGATTTTTAAGTCATCTTGCACCTTAGGGAAAAAAAGATAAAATGATTCTCCTATAGTTGCATTTGAAGCTAAAAACTCTTTAAAATCTTTTGATTCTAGTAGGCTTAAAAAACTGTAATCTGTTACTGAACAATAACTAAATCTAAAAAATATCTCATCTCCAAGAGAGGAAGATTCATTTATGTAAGATAGTTAAAGAGGAGGGTAACTAGATGAAAAGTCTTGTAAAAGCATTTTAAAATAAGAGATGAAGTATAGTAGATTTAGAAATTAATAAAATAATGCAGATAGCACTTTTAGAAAGGTGTAATTTAATTTGGAATGATCATAGTATATAGTTTTGTATTTTTTTTTATTTCATATTTCATAAATTAATTTATATAATGAGTGGTGGTTTAACCTACTTTAATGAAGATTTTCCTGTCTATTCTGATTTGGTTTCTACTATTAATGATCAATTATAATCTATTGATAATCTGCATGTTATCACTTGCACAACAGAAAATAAAAATAATATTTCCTAATATTTACGAGCAAAAAATGCAACAATGACTAAATATTTAATTCATTTAAATATGTACTTATTACATAAACTAAATTATGGAAATTTGGATGAGTTTCCTATTGATTAGTTAATAGAAGATAAAATTTTATTGCAGAAAATTATTTAAGCTTAAAAAAAATTATAATATTCCATAGACAAATTATCAAAATATTAAGACACTTAGACTAATGAAGATGACTAAGTTGTGGATTAAGTTGAGAAATTATCCTTAAAACCTAGAATAGAGAATCTACATAAAGATGAAACCATTGATAAAGCTAGTAATCCAAATTAAAAGTATGTACCACCAAAACTTGCAGCAACTCTTTCAAAAAATGATTTAAATAAATAAAAGTAAGAAAGAAGGGAAGAACTTAGAAAAACATAAAAAAAAGCTAATTTAATTAGGAGTATATTGGATGATTAAGAAGTATAGATTTATATCATGATTCAATTAGACTGATAAACCAAAAGAAATGACTGAAAGAGACTTATAATAATTATATTATGGAAGAGCTGAAGATGAAAAATAAATAGAAAAAAGAAAATATGAAGAAGATCATATGACTAGATTGCCAACAACCAGAGATGAAAAAAGAAGGGAAAGAATAGCTGAAAGAAAGGCCAATGTGACTAGGCTTGATGATTTTTAAGAATTTGAGACTATTAATAAAGTGCTCAATAAAGGAACAAAGAAGATAAAGAAACCATTAGGATCCAAACTTAAAGGAAGCATGAAAAAAATTCTAAAAAGAAAAAGAAGATGAATTATTGTTTATTATTTTAATTATATATTTTTTTTTATGACAACAGCTCATAGACCAACATACAGACCTGCTATAGGTGGAAGTGAATAAGGTGGAAACAAAATGCTTGTTCATTCAAGATCCTATCATTCAAAAGATCTACCTGCTTATTTAATATTGAAAATGAGAAAACCTGGATAAGGTACATAGGCAGAATTGGAGTAAAAAGATTTTAAGATGGACTTAATAAAAAGAGAGGAGGAAGGAAGAAGATAAAGAGAATTAAAGGCTTTGGGAGTCTCTGAAACTTCATTAGCCATAGAAGCAACATAAAAAAGTAGAAACATTTTTAAATTATTAATTAGATTAAAATAAAGATGTTTAAGAACCTATGATATTAAAAAAAATTAAAATGGAAGAAAAGGAAATTTATCCTTAAGATGCAGATGATAAAGATTTTATTAAATCTTCAGATGATGAAGACAATGCACAAAAACCAGAAAAGCCTATAGTATAATAATAAGAATTAAAAATTGAAGAAAGTTCATCTTCCTCAAGTGATGAAGAAGATGATGATGAATTATTAATGAGAGAGTATTAAAAAATAAAAGAATAAAGAGAAATTGAAGAAAAAAAGAAAGTAATACATTTTTTTATAAATAGTTTTTAGAGAAATAAGAATATTTGGAAAAGAATAGAGAAGATGAAATTATTAAAGGAAATCCTTTATTAATAAGTGAGGATTATTCTCTAAAGAAAAAGTATTATTTTCATAAATTATCTATTTTAGATGGTATGAAGATACTATTTTCAAAAATCAGTCTAGACTGGAAGTAAAAGAAAAATAAAGATTTATTAATGATGCTGTTAGAAGTGATTTTCACAGGAAATTCCTAAATAGATATATATAAATGTGATTATTTGTTAATTCTATATTAATTATAAATTAATATGAGTACAAGTGAACAAAAATCATTTAATATGGATTATTAGTAAAAGCTAACCTTGTCACCATTACAAAAATATGAATTATACAATTAATTCCCTTGTCAAATGATTTTACACACTTTATTGATAGTTTTTACAACTGTTCAAGTTCTTAATGTGTTGGATCAATTAACTGCTTAAAGTAGAGCTTAACATATGATTTTAAAGAACATTCTACTTGGATTAGAAGAGGATAGTGATGTATAATAATTTTATAACTTTGATGACTTTCAATAATAGTTAATTACAATGATGGATAATCTTAATGGTTTAGAAGATATGTTATTTTAAAATGTTAACATAAGTTTATCAGAGTTTAATTTTAATATTTTCTATTCTTAATTTGACACTGATAATGCAAATTAAACTGTATTCAATGTAGACATAGATGAAGGTTTTATAGAACCATTTGATATTAAAGATGTCCATTCTATCAAAAATTTTATTGAAAATGTTTAACTAATGGAATTTCAAGGGAATAAGATATATAATTTTATAAATTTCAGAGATATAGAAGGAGTTGAATCTTGTACAAATTGGAATTTCAAAATTACATATAATTTTGATAAAATAGGTGTTATATATGCAAAAATAGAAACAGGGAATAGTAATTGTCCTGAAGATTAAAAGAAATAAAGTGGGTAAGACTTTTTGCTTATTCATTTTATTGTACTAATCTTAGGTGGTATTTCAATTTACACAACAATATAATATCTATATGATATAGGATCTGAATATATGTATAATAAATAAATGTATAAAGACATAAAAAATATTGTAGAGACTTAACCATTAAATGATTAATAAGATATTATATAATAGGGACCCTAAGTTGGTGTTAAATTTTCACAAGCTTGGAGGACTGTTGATTATTAATAAGATGTTAAGGTCTTTAATAATTGGTATATTTTAAATGCTTTAGGAGGTTTTTTCTAAGTAGTGGGAGCAACTATAGCAATAATGGATTAAATATTGACAAATGATTTATCTATTTATAAATTCTAAATTATGATGATGGGATTTGGTTGCTTTTTATCTTGGTTAATGCTATTATAATATTTGGAATATTTTTAGGATATAAGTATTGTAACTTGGACATTAAAGAAATCAAGTAAGAATATTGCTATGTTTATATTCAGTATTTTACCATTTTTTTTTGGATTTGTATATTTAGCTTAGGCCATATTTTGGAAATATAATTATTTCTAATCAACAATAGATACAATTTTATCATTATTTTCATTATCAAATGGTGATATTTTATTAGGTATATATTAATAATATATATTTAGAATCATTTAATTTAGTTAAACCAATAGGAATAATAGGTTAAATATATCTTATTGTATTTATGATAGTCTTTTTTACAGCAGTATAAAGTGTACTAATAGCAATAATTATGGAAGGATATGATGAAATAAATGCTTAAAGAAAAAGAGAAAATAATTAAGAAGAAAAAATCAAAGATGAAATTTTAGATTAAATTTAAAAAGAATAGGAAGAAATTAGTAAATCTGTAAGAAATGATGAATAAGATGATGATAAGGAAATAATTATTTCGAAATTGAATTTATTTATGAGAAGAATAGATAGAATGTTAGAAGATCTAGATTTAATGACAGATGAAATAGAGAATGCAAATATTACAATTAATGAGAAGGAATATTTATTAAATGTATTAAAAGAAAATATAGATAATATATCAAGAAATGTTAAATTTTAAATCAGTAATATGGAGTCATGATTTTGATTATTTTGTTTTATAATCTAAATAATAAAATCCAATTTAAAATGATTTTTTATTAAATAAATAGTAATTCAAAAAAACATATTATTAGATTTCTTATTAATAATATCAGTTAAAAAAATGAGAATCTGAATGATATTTAATATCTTGTTATCGTAAAACAAATTATTGTTTAAAATAAAAGACTTAAATAATCAACCATTTTATATTTAAAATTGTGAATTAAATATATGAGTTATTTTTCTTTGTCGCCTTCAAGTGAAATACTTTCTCATCAAAGTAAGGTGTAAAGCATCAATAATTTTGAAAATTTTGTTAGATCTAAAAGAGAGAGAGATAAAACTATTGATAATAAGTAAGTTAAGGAATTCAGAGTAATTGCAAAATTTCTTCAAAAATATGAAATATATGTCTAAATGTTACTTGGAAGATAATTAACTCATAAAGATGAAATAAAATTAAGTTAGAAATGGAGTGATAATGTTGATAGTTTTAATGATTAGATGTTACCAGATGCTATTTTAAGGTTTTGATTTCAATTTAATATTTTAGATTTCCAAACCCTGATTTTAAACATTGTGAATCATATGATACAATGACAGCATTAGAATCTATGTTATATATTGAAAGAATTTTGAAATTAGATAGAAATAATATTGAAAATAAAATATTTTTTAAGGCTGTAGAAGGAGTATTAACAAATCTTGAACCTAATAAAATTACAAAAGTTAGATTTGCATTCACTTAAAATTCTTAATTAAAAGCAACTCATTAAGATTTATATTTATTAGATAACATTCATTAATAAATAAGTGAAAATAATGAACCTATATATGAGGCAACTCAGAAAAAATAATAAGAAACACAAAATCATTAACCATAAAAAATGGATAAGCTTAATAAGTTAATTTAAAACTTTAAAGAATTATTAAATAATAAAACTGACTAAATGAATAATATAAGATAAAAATTAAATGAAATTTTGGATATTGATTATAATATTTTGAAGAGGATCACACCAAGAAAAATGAAAAATGGAGGATTTCTAACATTTGCTAATGGAAAATGGTCTCGAAATTAATAAGATACTTCAGACTTTCTTACTTTAATGAGAAATATCATCATTGTCTAATTATTATTAACTGGATATAATGTATATAATTCAATTTCAGAAGATGGAAAATATATATTTTGTAAATTATATGCAACTGAAGATAATCTAAAAACAATGGCTGAAAAATAAAAAATGAAAAAAAAATTAAATTTTTGCTTTTCTGATTTATTTTCTTTAGAACCAGTTGATACTAGCTTTAGACCTCTAAGATTAAATAATAGATTATGGAAGCCAGATGATTATGATGATTTGACAGATATGTTTCTATATTTAAGACCTAAGATCATAAATTTAATAGAAGATATAAATTTCAAAAGAGTTGCTAGAGAAGTAAATTAAAGTAGAATAAGTAATTAATTATTTTAATATGGTAAATTGGATATTTAAGATGATGATGAATAACCTACTGATCTTTAATGGTTTGCATATTATTAATATCTTGTCCATCTTGAAAAAGAATTAAGAAGTATTAGAGTTAAGAATGTAATCAATAGTGATATAGCAGCTTTAATAAATAAATAATTAACACCTTATGAATTATATATAATTAGAAACAATAAAAATGATTAAGTAAAGAAATTAACAAAATAAAATATTAAGGATAAATAAAATTGGTTACATTAATAAGAAGTTAAAAAGATACAAGAAAAGGTTTTTGAAGTGATATAAGAATATTCTAGATTTTTTGTAAACTCTGATAAATTAACAACTAAATTATTAAAATTATTTAAGCAAGAAAGATTAGCATAAAAATATTTTAGAATTTTTGAGGAAGCATTAAAAGTAGCTAATACAGAAGGTAAAGTACTTTTCAATTTTTGGGATATGATACATTTTGAAAGATTAGATTCATATGTTATTTTTACAAAGCCAACAAAAACTTGTTCTACAACTATGAAATATTAACATAAGATGTGTTGGTGTAAATATTAGATAAATGAAGAAAAAAAGATTTCATTGTTTTCTTCTTCAGAACGTTTGAAATTGGTTGAATAATCAATAAATTCATTATTTTAAATGAATGATTTAATAAGTAAAAAAGTTGTAATATCCTTATTTTGTGTTAATGATCATTATGAATTATTTGGACATTAAACTATTTCATAATAAGAAAATGTAGAAGAAGATTTTTATAGAAAGAAAATGTATCATCTAGAATATGAATGGGCATTCAATATAACTAAACCTTGGAGTACTCCTATTAATCAAATTTGTGAATATTATGGTGAAAAAATTGGTCTTTATTTTTATTACACAACATATTATACATAAATGTTATTAAAAATTGCTTTTATAGCTTTGGCATGTAATTTAATTTAATGGGTAATATAAGATAGTGAAAGTGATCTCTATTATTTATTGAGAATTATTTTTGCATTTTTATAAATTTAATGGACAAATCTATTTGTTGTACTTTGGTAAAAGAAATAATTGATATTTAATATCTAATTTGGTTAAACAGCTAAAGAAGAAATCTCAAAATAGAGAAGTAATTTTATAGGAAATTATAAAAGATCTGTTGAAAATGATTATATGAATTCTATTGGAATTAATTCATTTGAATTATTTACACGTATGCTATTTGCTACTTCTACATTATTATTCATTATTGGATTATATGCAGCAATTATGATAGCATTATATATATTAACAACAACTCTTAAGACATAATTTTAGAATATATAAACTTTATAGAGTGGATTCTTTGAAATTCTAGTCACAGCTTCAATAAATATTGTTATCATTTAATTTTTAGATAAAGTATATGATATTATTTCAATTCATTTAACAGATTTTGAAAATTAAAAATCTGTTAAAGATTATGAAGAAAGCTTTATAGTTAAAAAATATGTTTTATATTTTGTTTCTTATGTTGGACCCTTAATTGTTATTGCATTCTTAAATGGACCTTTCGATTTGTATTGCAAAGAAACTAATTGTTCTGATCATGTTTAATATCATTTTGCTACTATGATTATTTGGATATTTGTATTTAAAACATTCAAAATTATGAAATTACTCTATTATGTTAAAAAGATTCCAATATTTAAATATACTTTTGATGAAATTGAAATAAATAAATATATAGAAGAATAATCAAATAGATAAAATTATGCTAAAAGTTAAGAAAGATATGGAACTTTAGAAGATTATATGGAGATTTTTTTATAAAATACATTATTATCCATTTTTGGTTATACATTCCCTTTTAGTTTTTTTCTTCTTTGGGTTTAGAATATTGCTCAAATGTAAGCAGATAAAGCTAAATTTATTTATTATCTTTAGAGACCATGGCCATAAAATAATTCATCTTTAGGAGTTTGGAATAGTATATTAGAATTAATTAATTATGTTTGTATTCTAACTAATACAGGATAAATGATTATTGATTATAGTTTTAAGTATGGGGATGAGTTGATTTTAATATATTTAACATTCTTAATTAGTAATTTTATGATGAATTTCATTATAAATGGAATATTAGGATAAATTCCTTTTGAATTAGGTTTATTTTTATAAAGATAAAAATACTTAATTAAAAGTACTATTGAATAATTTAAAAAAACTTAGGCTAAGGCTTTGATGAAAAGCTCAGAAAATTTAAAGAAATTCCCTTTATTCAAAGTCTTTGGTTCAACAAATATTGAAATTAAAGGAGAATTTTAAACAATTAGTTCTGAAGATGAATTATTTGATCATTATGATTTAAGCTATATGGAAAAGTTTTGTGAAGTATAAAAAAAAGATAAATTAAAATCAAATAAAGTTATAGAGAATAACCAATATAAAACAACTAAAACTATAGATAATTGTTAATTAAGATCAACAAAAAATATAGAAAATAATTAAAGAAGAACTTTTATAGGATCATATCAAAAATTACCTATTGAATCAAATTAAAAATTGCCAATAGGTTCTTTTTAAAAAATTCAAGAATCTAAATAAGTATTAAGTATTCCTTTTGAAGAAAAATTTGGAAAACAAAAATTCTAATTTAAGGAAGAAAAGGAAAATAAAAAAGAATAAAAATAAGTTGTTAATAGATAAATTAGTGCTTTATTTGATTAAGTAATGTCTTAATAAACAATTTAAAAATATTTCTAACGTAGAAAAAATAATTATATTTTTGAAATAAAAAAATGGAAAAGATCAGATAAAAAAAAGTTGCAATCTGCATAAGAATTTTTGTATTAAAAAGTATTATTAAATTCTCATAAATTAATCTGGTCTGATCTCAAAATTGCATGTAGATTTGTATTTATGAGAAGAAAAACCTTATACTTTAGAAATCTAGATTATAGAAAATTAACTGTCTTTAAAAAGAATTAATAGACAATCTAAGAATTATATAAAGAAAAGGCAAAAAATAAATTTAGAAAAGAGTTTAAATTACTTTAGAATTCCAAAAGACATACGAGTCATATCAATATTAAAGAAGATATAGAAGAATTAAGTATCTTAAAGGATAAATAAAAAAATTATATCAATAAACACACTTGGCTTTATAGTAGAAAGGTTTTACTATTAAAAATAAAAGGAGTTTGGTTTAGTTAATATAGAAGATAATGCTAAAGGGAACCATCATTTAAAATTGCATTAGACTTTCTTTCCAAAGCCAAATTAATTGAAAAAATTAAAGGAGAGACAGATTTAAAAGAAAAACTTGCAAAATCTTTAGGAGATCCAGCAAAAATTTAATATATTGGATTAGATACTTTAATTAGGGGATATCTATCATTATAATATAAGTATTTTATTTTTATATTTAAAGTGCCAAAGAGAGATTTGAAATTCCACTTTCTACAAGATAATTTAATATTATTGATTATTACATAAATAAAAAGAAATCTGATATATTTACATTTATAGTTGATAGTTTTAGGGATACTTACATATTTGATCATTAATACTAAAAATTATAATAATTTTCAATGTAATATTTTGAGGAAGAACTATTTCCAATTGAAAATTTTAAATTGAAAAGATAATTAAATAATACAACTTGGATTAGTGAAGATTAGTAAGGTAAAAAATCATTAATATAATTTTTATAAATAAGACATGAATAATAATTTAAATATTAAAAGCCTAATTAAGAGAGTTATGGAGTTTGTTATTTAGAGGGAGAACTAAAAATTAGACTTAGTAATTTAGTAGATTAAGTTGATGATTTCTATATAAAAGGATATTGTATCATCAAATATCATGTATATTCTTAAATAACTTTAAAATAAGTAATAAAATATAGGTTAGTTCATGGGATATAATATAAATTAGAAGAATTATATGAATTTTTACATGCTTGTCTATAGATTATAAAATAATAAAAGTGTGGAGATTTAAATTTAAGTAGTTTTGTATTTCATCAAAGAACTTATATTTTATTCAGATCTAATCATAATGATGATGATGATTTAATAAATTTGGCACAAGTCATAATTGAAATGATTTTATTAAAACCAGTACCTGATGCAATATCTGGATTTGTAAAAATAAATACATCCCATCCTCTTAAGGGTATACTTTAATAAATGATATATGAAGATGTATAAATTGATGATTTACTCTATAGAATACCTATTACATCAAGTTTTGTTGAAATTAATGTAGAAGATGAGATAAAAATAAAAGATAGAAAAAAAGATGAAGATTTTATAGATTTTTTAACTCTTTCAATTCATTAAATAAATTTAAATTTCAGAATGAAATAATTTAAGGAAGCATTGAAAGAGATTTAATTGGCAGAAGATTAATTAAGTAATAATAAATTTACATCTGCAACTTCAATTGAATAAGGATTTTATCGTTATTTTGTAACAAATCAATATAAAATTTTAACTAGTCATTCTGATATATCATTTACATTTAATGTTCTATTAATCATATATATAAAATTTGGTACTTTATTGTAAATGAAATTTAATTTTATAAAAGAATTGGAAATGCTATATTATGCTTTAATGAGATCAGTTGAAAGTTTAGATGATTTAATTAAATAATTATCTCTTAATGTAAAATTAGAATAATTGACAAATACAGAATAAAAAATTATGTTGAGAAGAAAGTTAACACGTTCTAATTCATAAATAGATTTATAATCAAAAGATAGATTATAACTTATTAAAGATATTAGAAAAAATCCTTCACATATAAAAATAATTACAAAAGTGAAAAAAGAATTATAAAGATATTGTTTATAATTTTAAGCTTTACATTCATTATATCTCTATTTTAATTAAGATTTTGTTTATTCTGCTTAAATTTTAGAGGATATATAAACTACTTAAACTATGATTATTTAAAATTAAACTAAAATAATACAGGTTGTTGAAGAACCAGATGATTTAACACCTAATTAATTCAATTTTAATTAATAATCTCCAACTTTAGATGCTGCATTAAAGATTGCTTAAGAAGAGAATTTTGAATTATAAAAAGAATTTGATGATTCACCTAATTACTGTTTACAATTATTATATTACAAATATTTATAATTAATTGTATGGTTCGATGGAGGTAAAGAAACATTTTAAAATAATTACATTGATTTTTTATAAGATAAAGTGAATTCACCTGTTTATGAATATTTCTCATCTTAATTAAAAATTATATAAAGATATGAAATACCTAAAGAATATATAGAATTTAATAAGGAATGTGAAATTGGTAAATACATTGTTATTAGTATGAATAAATGGATTGAATAATCATTTTTCATACCTTCCAAACTTGAATATAGTAATGATCATCAATTAATGTGGAAACAATTAATATCTTATAGTGTATTAGAGTAATCATTAGAAAATAGACAAATATTAATTAGATTATTAAATTAAAAAGAGTTAACTCTTCCATTTGTTTTATTAGAATTAAGAGCTATTCATTAACTACTTCATTTAGATAATTATGTTCCACTTCATAAATCTTTAAATTAGAAATAAATTAATAAAGAGAATCTTAATAGTAATTTTATTAATAATAGTTTGATAAAAAGATTATAAAAATTGCATAATGAAGTCTCGATTGATTCTGATTCATGGTTTCATTCTAAAGGATTATTGCAATTTAGATTATATTATATTTTATCTCTATTTTTTTCTTTTTCTAAAAAACACTTTGAAAATATGTTGACTGAAGATTCGAATTTATTATTTTTAGGAGAAATGGCAATGAAATAAGCATCATGTTAATCTGAAGCAGATGCTAAAAGAGTATAAGCATCTTAAATTAGAATGATACCATTTGATATCAAAGAATTAAAATCTGATCCAAAACCAAATTAAGTTAATAAAATTCTAAGTTCATATTTATCTATAAGGGATTTAATAGAATCAGAAGAAGAAGATGATCTTAAATGTTTGATAGATAAATATAATGATTAATTAAAACCATCTTTAATTGTCTTGGCTATAATTTAATATTATATTGCTATTGATCGTAAAGATTTAGCAGATATAATAATTTTATAAACATTTAAATTAATAGAATATAATGTAAGTCTATTTGATTATGCTCATCCTTCCTTTAAAGAAGATTTATTATTATTTTAAATAAAGGTTAATGAAGAAAAATGGATTCATTTGGAACCATTTGATAGATTATTTAAAAGGAAAAATGATTTTAGAAGTTTAACTTCAGATGTTTTATTAAATTTATAATATGTGATTTATAATTAGTTCTTTTATTTAGATATTTAATTTAATATTGATATGTTAGAAGATTAATTTAAGAATTTCAACCTATTACCACCTTAATATAATAAATTAAAAAGTATATATTAATTATATCTGTTATATTTACAGACTACCCAAGGAAATATTAATTTGGAAGAAATTGAAAAGTACAATTTATAATATATAAAGATTTATAAAAATAGAATTTAAATAGAATACTGCTTATTCAGCAATAATAAAAAATATTTTAGTTAGATATTATATAAATATGCAAGACTATGAATTAGCTTTACCTTTAGTATAAAATATTTTAGATTATCTATATTCTCTAAAAATATTATCAAATTTTGTATTAAAATAAATAAATGAAACTAGTTATGTAAAACTAAATTATAATTATTATAGGTTATTGAAAATAATGTGAATTTTATATCATCTATTGTAGATGTTAAATTAATTGAAATATAACCTGAAGAAACAGATGATTAATATTTTCACATTATTGATACATAATTCATACAGGAGAATTTAATTCATTATATAGATATTATAACTAATCTATAAGATGAGAACTAAAACTTTCCTAAAATTTAAGAAATATTTAAATTATTATTTGATATAACAGAACCTACAACATAAAATAACCTTTTTAAAGTTTTATCTTAATTATTTTTAAGTTATTCAAAACCTGAATATCTTCCTTCTATATTTAATTAAGTTTATAAAAATTAAGATAGATAAGTAAATATATATATAATTATAGCTTCATGCATATCTCAATTAAAGAAATAGTTTAAAAGAAAAAATGAGTTAATTAATAATTATTAATGAACTTAGTGAAGAAGACAATGTCAAAATGACTGCATAAATTAATGTTTTAAATTATCTAATCACAATATATGAAAGTGTAAGTAAAGGCATAACTCAAACTACTATATTAAGTTGGAGCATATAAGCTGCTGAAAAAGCCATGATTGGATATAAAATTTAAGGTAAAAACTTTTAATCTTCATGTCATTATGTATATCCATAACTCTATCTATAATTATCTGATTGTTTTGTAAGATTAGGATAAATATCAACAGCTTTGATACATATTGATTAGGCAGAAGAAGATCTATTAGAATGGTTCCGTTAAAATAAACATCCTTTAAAAGGATTTTTTTTTATGAAATAAGCTCTTTTAAGACCCCTATTAACTGAATTATTTACAAAATATACAGCTTTGTTAATGGATTTGGATTAAATTAATAGATTATAAATTTATGATATTATTAGAGCTCTATTTTAATTTAATAAAAAAATTTTACAACTTTTTGAAAATAGTTAAGATCTATAATCATTAGAATTAGGATTATTAATTTATGCTAAAACATTAGATTCAACTGAAAAAATCACAGTTGATATATTTGAAATGTATTAAGGAAATGAACCAATTTCATTAATGAAATAAGTAATGAAAATATCTCCTTATGATATGACTGGAATAAATATTTTAATTGATGTAAAAATAATTATTTAAAAATATATAGGCCTAGTCCATTTTCCAATTATTTAATTAAAATAATCAATTTACTAAAATTGTCTGTAAAAAAATTGAAGAGTACATTTGATTTTTGATTTATGTAATAAAATTAATCATATACTCCGTTTTAATTTAATTATAATAATAATGGAATACATTTCAAGATCAAATATAGCAAAAATGTTTGGCAATTAGTTAGTGAAAACAACAACAACTGATAAATGTAAGAAATTAGTTACTTGGAGTTGGGAAATGCTTGGTTCACTTTTAATTATTATGGGAAGTCCATTATCAGTAAAAAGTATTAAAAATATTGATGAATGTGATTCATAAATATCAAGAAACAAAAATGGATAAAAAGAATTCACTTTAGTATTAGATCTTGATGAAACATTGATTCATTCAGAAATTGAAAGAACTTCTTTTTTAGATGAAGAAATAATAGTAAAAATAGGAGAGAATATTGAAAAATATTATATTATGATAAGACCTTATGCTAGAGAGTTTTTATAAAACCTTTCATAATTGTTTGAATTAGTCATATTTACAGCTGCTTTAAAAGAATATGCTGATAAAGTTATAGATTTTTTAGATCCATGTGGATTTATCAAAAGAAGATTTTATAGAGATGTAATGTAAAATTAATAAAATTAGAGTTGTACAAAAAAAGATGGAGTTTATTATAAAGACTTAACAAAAGTAAACTAAAATTTAGAGAAAACTTTCATTATTGATAATTCATTGTCTGGAATGTAATTAAATTTATGTAGAAATATATTTTATTTAAAGAAAATGGAATTCTGATTAAATCATGGTATAATGATCTTAAAGATTAAGAATTATAGATTTATTAAAATATGTTAAAAAAAGAAATTAAGGAAGGAGATAATATTGCTACTTGTATATCTTAAATGAAATATAAATATCCAAAAAATATTTTGAATTGAGTACATTAAAACTATATATTATGTTTATTCTATGATCATTTAGATGTTGAATTTACATAATTAAAATAACCAAATTTTATTAATTTTTTAATAAATAAAATGAAGTTTGAAGAAATCATTAGAAAATATGTTAGTCCAATAAAGAGATTTGATCATGTTCTTCCAAATAATTATTCAGCTTAAGATATTTATAATTATTATGAAGAATTGGTATTTCATTTTGTGAATTAGGCTAAATTTAATGAAATTGAATCATTTACAAAAATCAGATTTACAAGAAAATTTTCAGAAGTTGCATAAACATAAGACTAAATGGATTGGTTGAATGATAGAGCCAAGGAGATTTCTAATGTGGCCATGAGTTTATTCAAACTTAGATTTCCTTAATTATGAGAAATAGAAAGATATTAAAAAATAAAAACAATATATTTCTTTATATTGAGTCATTGTTCTTTTGAGAATTATCCTTTTGATATTTCTATTAGATGAGGATATTAAAGTTTAGAATTCAATATTTCTTATGCCCATTATAATATTTTCATTAGTATTGTTATTTTAGCTTATTCATTTCCTTAGGAGTCTTAAAATAATTATTAATTGACTTCACTTGCTACCTTAATTCTCTATGAATTTTATGTTAGATGATTTAAAGGGCATTTATTAAGATCTTTATAAGCTAATAAAGACATAGCCTTTTCAATTTCATCAATAAGATGAGGCTTTATAAAATATAAAAATAATACTTAATCTTTTAAGAAACCTATTATTTAATTTTAAGCATATTAAACAGCCTAATCTAATTCATTAATTTTAATAAGTTCTATCAATTTTTGCATTTTCAACTTAAAAAGAATTTATTTATTATTGTTCATTGATACTTTTTCTAAAGCAGAATCAATTTCACCATTTAAAATATTCTTCTTAATTTCAATTCTTTCAATCATTTTATCAAGTTCTTTGTTTGTCACTTTACAATAAAATATTTTAAATATTACATTAAATTCCAGCTTCTTTAGAAAATTCAATTGCTGCATCTCTATAACCTTCAACTATAAAAAAATTAAGAACAAATTCATTCATTTAAGCTTTTGGTATTATAATATTGTTTTAATTATGATGCCAATCTTCAGCAGAAATTTTATCTAAAGTTTAATTCATTTATTATTAATAAATTAAATAATAATATAATCCATCAAAATTATTCATATTCTAAATCATCATAATGTTAGATTTATTATAGAGGTTTTGATTCAAGAACACCTAAATTACATAAACATAAAGTAGCTATGGATTTTTCATTTAAATGATTAGCACACTAAATAAATAATTAATATATATATATATATACTTATATTGCATTTCTTAAAATATCTGTCTATATTTCAATTGGAGTTTATAAATATCCAGATATTTTAATTAAATTTAATAAACAATCCAATTATAATTTATGATTTTTTAATCTTCTGGCTAATTCATAACAATTCTGTCATATTAAATTTATAATAAATACTTGAAAATTCTCATAAGCTAATTAATATTATTTAATTTCTAAATAAACTATTCCTAATTATCCAAAAGATATGCATTAAGATTCTGCTTCATCTCTCTTCTCAGCCCATTCCAATGCTTATTAAAAATATTCTATTGAATCTTCATAATTTCTTAACCTTCTTTAAGCTAATCCCATATTATAAAAACCAGTAAACCTATTTTCTTGATCTGAATATTATAAATTTTGTTTATGAAATTCAATTGATTTTATATAATTTCCAGCATTATAATAGTTAAATGCTACTCTATTTGTTCCTAAAGCCATTCCTATTTTATCCTCCATTAATTTAGCACAAGCTACAAATTTTTTATAAAATCTGACAGCTTCATTATGATTTTTACTACTTTCATAAACCATTCCCAAATAAAAGGACAAATGAGCTTCTTTTTATATGTCCCCAGCCTACATACCTGCTTTTGCCCTTACTAATAAATCTTTGATGCTTGTTCTATTATTTTCCTTTACATTATGAGTGTAAGGAATTGAAGGTGCATATCCATTACCAGGAGTTAAGGGAGAAGCTATACTTGCATTAGGTAAATCTGGAGGTTAGACAGATATTTGTTAATCAAAAAATTAAAAGTTTGTTTCAGGTTGAACTGCCAAATCCATTTAAGCAACTTTATCAATTTCTTTTTTTAAATCAATATTATCAATTGGAGCAGTAGATTTCAATATTTATTCATTAAGTAATGATCCTATTAAATTTTTAGTTTGCTTTTCTTCATCTTCTTTTATATTTAGAATTTTATCATATTATTTAGCTTAGCCTTTATGAAATAGAGCTTCAAAATCCTTCTCTTTTTCTTTTAACTCTTATAATGCATCTGCTTTTGGTTATACAAATATGTCTTTATACATTTGCATCTCATTTTCTTATCTCCTTAAAGGTTTCTTTTTATATTCTTTTGGCTTGAAATAACATTGATTATAATAATTACTTATATGACTCTTTATTAACTAGGTTAAACACTTTTTAATAAATTTGGATTCAATATTGTGCTTTCTATTTTAGTTTGAAACTCACTTAATACCTCTTAAGTTTTATATCTTTAGTAATAAGATTATTATACGTAATAGGTTATAATCTTTCAGCAACAACAAATCTTGAAGGCTAATAATTTTTATTCTAAATCTTTTCATTTGAAACTTAGATCTTAATAATGGGTTTATTGGTTTTCTTCATAGGTGGAGATTTTGATTTATCACTCATAATATAAAATATATATTATATTAATTTAAATTAGTATATATTAATATGTAATAGGTGATAATTAATATGTAATAGGTGATAATTAATATGTAATAGGTGATAATTAATTTGTAATAAATGATAATTAATTTTTCAATTCGTTAAGCTCTATGTTTCACAAAAATTTATATTATTATTAAATCCAATAAAAAATAATCTATATATATTGAAATATAGATCATTTTTTTTTGATTTTTATTATCATATAGGAAATCATTCAAAAAAATAAAATATTATTTAAATTATATTAGATTTTCTCATGTCTATTTGGATTTCTTTAAAACAAAAGTTTTAACAACTTAGAATGAGAAATTAGATTTTCTTAATTAAAATTTTTGTGCTGCTTATTAGTTTTTTCCTTATTGGATGTTGTTTTATAGTTCAAAGAAACATAATGATTGAAATTTATGAAGATTCCTCAAAGATTGTATTACAAAATTAAGATAGAAAATCTCTTGAACTTTTATTACCATAACTTAACTATTATATTGTTTCAAAATAACAATCAAGTATCAATTTATTATTTATTATATCAAGGAATATAGCTTTTATCTAGTTTGTCCACTTTTTACAAATAAGTTGATAACTATACAATATCATCAAATTTTAAAAATTCTTTGGCATGTTAACCTATTGATAAAATAAGTTATTTATTTAAAATCCCATAACCTTGCTATACTTGCTTTCTTTGTGATGGAGGTAACATCATACCTAAACAAGTTTAATATCAAGATCTAGAAAAATTAGAAAGAATGCTTACTGAATTTATATTTTCTTTCAATACTCTATAAAAGAATAGGATATTCTATGTAGCAACAGGAAATATATCATTTGGATATATGTATCCTTAAATAATTTATAATTGGTCTTTTTAACCTGCAAAAGTTAATTGGTATACTAATCATATGAAATTAAGAGAGTAGAATCCTAATTAGAAGTATTTCTTCTCTTTACTTTATTTTTCTGGAACAGCACAAATATATAAATAGACAATAACTTATTCTTTAGAAAATGGAATAAATAATCAATTAGATGGAGTTGCTGGAACAGATATGGATGCAGAAGACTGGAATATGAAATCAATTAAAGCTAATACTTATTTGCTTAATTAATATGGAGAAATTCTTTATAGAAATGTTGATTTAAATCTAACGGTAAAAGAACTCAACTTTATATATGATGAAAATAAAACAGGTTTTAATTAAACAGATTGGATATAAATTTAAAACCTAGCAAAAAGAGATAAATTTGTTTCAAATTGTTATATGCAAGAAATTAAGATTCTATGTAGATATAATTCAATATATAATGAACCAATTAAAATAGTAGCCAAGATAATTCCTGGCAATTTTACATTAATGATGTAAAAATATTACTATATATATATTTAGGTTTACTAATTCAAGCTTTGAGGCTAATTTATAGAAATCATTTTTAATTATGGAACAACATATATATGAATAACTAAAATTTAGTTTTAATACTCAGATTTTAATATCTTTTGTGATTATTTCTATTTCAATGATCATAGTAATACTAATGTTTCTACCCATACTTAAAGTTATGTTATTGGCCAAATTATATATAAAAAAAATGGGTAATAATTTAAATAAGGAAATCTTTAAAATAGCATAAAAAGCAATAAAAAGCAAAGGCTTATTTAGTTAATTGCAAATAAAAATAATTAATTTTGGAGATATTATCTAAAAAAGTTAATAATCAAAAAGTGAGTTGTGTAAAACATTTGAAGAAATATAATACTAATAAAAATTCTATTATAGAGAATAAAGTGAATTTTTATAATAAATTAATCTTGAAACCTTATAAGATGATACAAAATAAAATATATCTGAGAAAGCAATCATTTAATTAGTAACTAGTTTATTTTAATAAACAAATTAAATTCATCATTCTTTAAAATGAGTCTTTTATTTAATTAATATTAATTTTAATTTCGTTATAATATGTCTTATAATATATTTATTAACAATTTTATAAATAAAAAATATTATTAGATTTCATAATATTTGTATAAAAATACATTTTTTTTCTTAAATTTTGTAAGAATAACTATTACTTTGATTTCATAATTTATAATAATAATGGATTATTTATTTAATATTTTTATTTGATTACAATTTTATTTTTTATTAGAATAAATATAAATTCTAACTAATATATATTATATTCGAATTAATCTATTTAAGATTTTTAATTAAAAGTTATATTAATATTTAATGAAGAATTAAATTTATTTATAAAATAGATTGGTTTTAGATTTAAAGGTAGTGATAATATATAATATTAGATAAGATTCAAAATAAAAGGACACCAACATATACATAAAGTGATAAAATTATTTTAATTAAATTCATAATATATTAATATTTTTATCTCAATTTCATTAACAAACTAGTACTCCTACAGCTAAGTTATATCCTAAATAATTGCAATGATCATCTACACTTAAATCAACAAGATTTTAATTTGAGCATCTTGGATCTTCTTTTTATTCATCATTACAAATTTTAACACTAAATGTTAAGAATATATTTATACTCTTTATGGAAGATGAGAAAATCTTTGTAATAAGCTTCTGTGTTAATATGATGAAATCCTTAAGCTTCCATAGGTAAGTGAGGAACAGGATCATGATCATGAGTCACTCTAAATTTAGCTGCTGGATATATTGATTTGACAAAAGTGAAGAATGCAGAATCTCCAACTCTTGGTGATCCATAAGAATAATAATGATCAATCCTATATCCATTAACAGTTAAGGTCACTAAAGCATGAGTAGCAAGAGCTCCTCCTAAACTATGTCCTGTTACAACTAACTTAGCATTAGGATATTTGTTTGTCAATCTTTTGGCTGCTTCTAATACTTAATTTTGAATTCCCAAATAAGAGTAGTAGAATCCTCTAAATATTAATAAGATATAATAACCGATGGACTTGACAATTGTTTGTACAGTAAGGATAAGAAGTTTTGATATAATTAAGATCTTCAAACCAATTTTTAATTGACCATGGAAGAGTTCCTCTGAAAACAATAATAATTTCATTATGTTTTGGATCATATCCTGAAAATCCTGCATTTTCATTAGTTGCATTAACAAATATTTAAACATCATCCATATAGGGTGTTTTACTACATGGTGTAGTACATGACCAATTTACTATAACATTAGGATTACAGTAACTAGCAGCACAGAAATACCAATATCTTATAGCAGCTGTCTCATCATATTCACTATTAGAATCAAAAATGAAATCATCATCTTCTTAAGCATAAGTATTCACTGTCAGAATTAAAATGACAAATAAGATATAAACTTTCATATTATTATTATTTTTAATATAATATATTTCATAATCTCGGTCTTTCTTATTGCTTTTATGCCTCTATCTTTTCTAATACATCTGGATTAGCAGATTAATCTGCTCTAACTTTTCCATTTTTTTGATTGTATTTCTTATACAATATCACTACACAAGCTCCACCCAATCCAATATTATGTTATAAAGCATAATTAAGATTCTGTATTTATCTATCTTCAGCCATTCCTCTTAATTACCAACATAATTCTGCACATTATGCTAATCCAGTTGCTCCTAAAGGATGACCTTTTGAAATCAAACCACCAGAAGGCTATATATAGATATTTATAATTAATATTTACATTAACTACTACTCTACCTCCATATGTATTCTCTCCCTTATCTATAAATTCACCTGCTTTTCCAACTTCACATAATCCTAAAGCTTCATAAGTAATTAATTCATTTGCAGAAAAACAATCATGTAATTCAACAACACCAATTTATTTTGGATTTACTCCTGTTTTCTTATAAACTTATTCAGCTGCTCTTCTACTCATATCATATCCTGCCAAATTCATCAAAGATTTTTAGGCAAATGTAGATTCATTATCTGTAGTTAAAGCACATCCTACAATTTCTATAGCTTAATCTTATAAATTGTGTTCTAACATAAATTTTTCATTGCAAAGGATAGCTGCGCCTGCACCATCAGATGTTGGACAACATTAAAGTTTAGTTAAAGGTCCATGAATTTTTTATGATTTAATTATTTCTTCTAGAGTATATTTATCTCTAAATTGACTATATGGATTTCTTGTGGAATGTAAATGATTTTTAAATGCAATCTTTGCAAAATGTTCAGGTTTAGTTCCATATTTTTACATATGTTCTACTCCTGCATTTCCAAATATTTTTGGTGCCCATGGACCTTTACTTTTCTCTGTTGACCATTCCTCTGAATAGTTAACTAATTTATCAACAGGTTAAGTTCTATCTGGAAATTTCAAAGTTAAAGAACCTATCAATATAATTTAATTTACCTTTTTCCATTTTTTCAAAACCTAATGCAAGAGCACAATCATAAAGTCCACCACTAATAAACTATTGAGCTAGATGTAAGGCTGAGGAACCAGTAGAACAATTATTATTAACATTATATATTGGTATACCAGTCATACCTACTTCATAAACAGCTCTCTATCCACATGTTGAATCTCCATAAACATATCCTACAGCAGCCATTTTAATATCTTTAAAGGTGAGTCCTGAATCATGAAGAGCTCTTCTTGTTGCTTAAGCTGCCATAATTGGATAATCTGGATTATCATCTTTTCCAGGTTTGATAAATTTCGTCATTCCAACTCCAATTACGAAAACACGCATTATTATTAATAAAAATAATATATAAAAATTTATTGGTTATAATACAATATTCTTTAGAAAGACTTAAATATATATATTTTTAGAAAGACTATTTGATAAGTCAAATAATTATAAAATTCATAATTATATATTCAAGGTTAAAGTGATCTCTTTAAATTACATATTTTGTATCATTATATACTATGTAAATGATTTTTAAATATATAATTGTTTTATAAATTTGTGATTTATTGTAAGGATATTTGATGAACCTTTAAATTTTAAATTAATAAATTAATGAATGACTTAATGAAGAAAACTAATAGGGCTTCTACTTTTTAAAATAATCAAAAATTGGCATCCAGATAAATTCAAGATACATTCGTTTCCTAAACCATTTTAGATCAAAATGCCGTGGAAAGATGGATAAATGAAGCATTAAGAGAAGCTTGTGTAGATGAAAAATAGAATAATTTGAAAAAATTAGGACTTGATAGGCATTCCTTAAAGGTTGTAAATGACTATTAAATTTTAGAGTGCTGGACTTAAGGATGAAGAGGCTAACAGGCTTTATAGAAGTATGTTTGTATATACAGTTGGATTTTATGAAATGCTTCAAGACATTCTTAAAAATTTTTAATTAACTGCAAATATTTGGTAAGTATTTGGGATACTTTTGGAATATGTTGCAAAAGGTGATTTTTAATTGACAATAAATTAAATAAAGAAAGAAAATTCATAAAAAATAGAAGAGCTAAATGAAACTTTGACTTAAAGAGAAAACAAATTTAGATCTATAGAAATAATGGCTTAAGATGAAATAAATAAATTATAAAATATATTGTAAGATTTAAATGATTAGAATAATCTGTTGAAATTACAAAGAGATAACGCAGAGCTTGATTTTCAATAATCTAATACAGCATTTGAATAAGAAGTAACTTTAAGAATAAAGTTTTAATATAGAATTAATGAAATTACATCAGTATACAGAGAATTAGAATAAAACTATACAAAATTATCTGAAGAACTTAAGGAATTAAGAATATTGTATGATTATACAACTAATGACTTAATGAAGTCCAAAAAACACTTAGAATGTATCATTGCAGAGATTGATATTAAAGATAATTAAATCATAAATTTCAATTAAACAATAGAAAATTAAAAAAGGTTATTAGATGAAAAAGAAAATAAAATTTTAATCTAAGAATTAAAAATCAATAAATTATCATAAGATTCTATTTAGGACCATAGTCATTATATGAATTATGAACATTAATTTAATTAATTATGTATGTAATTTTCAAATTATAAAGAAGAAAACATTTATAAGTATTAATTTTTAATAATAAAATAATAGATTATAAAAATTAGAGAAATATCAAAGAAATTATTAAGATACTTTAGAAATGAATAAGAAATTAACAAATGAGAATTAAGAAATAAAATAAGAAAATGTTAGGTTGCAAAATGAAAACAAAAAACAAAAAATAGCTATTGATTCATTTGAATAATTAGAGTAAGGTTACAGATCCAGTATTTTGTAGTTATAATAAGAAATTAGAGATTTGATTGAAGAACATGAAGATGAAATTAAGAAATACTAAAAAATTTAAGTAGAATATTAATTTGGAATATAAAGAATTTCAATGTAATAAGAAGAAATTTTGACTTTAAATTAAAACATTTAGTAAATGAAAATTAACAAAAACTCTTTAAATGAACTATTAAATAATGAGAAAGCAGAAAATTAGTAACTTAAAATTGTATTAGAAGGTAAAGAGGAAACTATTAAAGATTTAGAAAAATGTTTAAGGTTCAGTCAATAAAGATTACAAAGTCATACATTGGAAATGAATGAGTTTGAAAATAAATTAAAATAAGATTTCAAAACTACTGAAATATCTTATTAAAAATAAATTGAATAATTATAAGAAACAATAGATACTTAGAATTAGGATATTATAAATGAAAAAAAAAAATATGAAGAACTTTAAAATAAATTTGAATCTCAAATAAAAGAGTTATCAGATGTTAAGTCTTTACATAATGTTTTAGTTTTTGAAAATAATGAATTAATTAAAAAATAAGTATTTTCAGATAACGTCATAAATAATGAAAATTAAAGAATAGGTTAATTGATTAATGAAATCACTTCTATTAGAAATAAGTATGAAGAATCTTTAAGCAAGTATAAAAAACTTGAAATAAAGTTTGATTAATAATAACGATAAATTTATAAAGATAAATCATTTTTAATTGATTAATATACAAATAAAATTAAAAATTATTAAATGATGCAAAAAGATATGGTTCATAAAATGAAATTTGAAGATGCTTTAAGTTTATTGGATAGAACAAATTAAAAACTAATTACGTTAAATTAATCATATAAACAAGCAGATGAGTAAAAGAAATAATTGAAAAATTAAAATTAATAATTAAATAAAGAAATTGAAGAGTTAAACATCAAATTATAACAATAAGTCAATTTAATTTAAACACTATATAAAGATTATAATAAAAGTTGTAATAATTTAAAGATAATAAAGTTTAAGTAATTAGTATATTTTGCCAGTTTAAAGGAAGTAAATAAACAATTGAAATAAAAAACTGATAATTTATTTTTAATCTAAAATAATAATGAAGATTTGAAAAAGCAATTGATCAAATTGTAAGAAGAGAATTTTAATTAACAATAGTTAATAATTAGATATAGAATTTCTTTATAAGGCTAAAACTAAAAGGAGGATTTAACAAATGAAATTTAAACTTAAAGGAAGAGTTAAAAATTTAAGTCTCAGAATTTAATCTAAGTAAATTCATTTGATGATTAAACAGCTTATCTTAAAAATTAAGTTATATAATAAAATCAATCAAAAAATTTAAAGAAATCTAAATTTTAAAATTAAATAGAATAAACTCAAGATAAAATATTTCAATAAAAATAAGATAATTATAATTTACCATTAAAATAGTTGTCTAAAACTGTTGATCTATCATAATCATTAATAGAAAATAAATAATAATAATAAATTAGAAAATTAAATAATCTTAAAATTGGGGATGGTCTTCATGAGATTTCTATCGAAAATGATAAAAATTAAGAAAAATCTTTCTTCTAATCTCGTAGTATTAGTGTAAGTTAAGGAAGTAAAAGTTAAAGAAACAAACATTAGAAAGGTTAGTTAGATTTTTTAATGAGAGTCAAAAAAAATACTTTGATAAAAAATGCAAAGATTGATTCTAAGTAATTTAGTCAGCTATTTTAAATTGCTAGAGAACATTATCAATCCTGAATTTTATTAAAATACTATGAAATATCATCAATTACAAATTCTTTTTCAAAATCCTTCTTTTTCAGTTATCTAATGTTTGATTTTTTTACAACTTAGAAAGGAGGTTTTTATTTAAATGTCTTAATAATTTCTTGTTATTCTTCTAAACTAAATGATTTATTGAATAATTTTTATTCTTTTGTTAAATTGAATGTTCTTAAAGTTCCACATAATAAAGAATCAAATTTTTAATCCCAATTTTAGAAATATGGATTTCTTTCTTTTTCATCGATTTGGGTAAAGATTTAAGCAACACAAAGTTAATTTTTTGGACTAGAAGAAATTATTGGTAGATCTAATAATCGAGCCTAAAATGATTGATTCTATTTTTTGGGTGTTAAATATCGAGATTTGCTTTCTTTTTTACTAAGTTAAACTTATTTTTAAATATATTTATCTTATTGAATTGCTAATGATGCATTTCTTGGTCTATTCCTTTAAGAAAACATAAAAAAAATTGCCTTTCTTGTGCTTCTTTTCTGATCAGATTAATCTTACATTTCTATAAATCTATATTTAATTTAGATTGTCAAATAAAAATTTTATTAATAAATATTTAGATCACAAACAAATAAAGAAACTTTAAATGAAGGGAGAATTGAAAGTTATTAAGATTATTGTGAAAAATAATATTAAAATTTAACTAATCCTACTGATGAATTGTTAATGAATAAAAAATATATAGGCAAATTAAAATTACATAAAATATATCCGTTAATATATTAATGTTAAGACAACGATCGACTTCAAAGGGTAAGCATTTTGATAGGTATTTATATCTTAGAATGTCAGATTAGTTCCAGAGAAAGTCAATTTAAGTGATTATCAAATTCATATGGTAGAGGATTAAAAAAATGAATCATTAAAAGAACTTGATCTTAATGAATAGTTGAGAGTTGAAAACAGTTAAGCAAAATACAATAATTTGTTAAAACAAAAATTAATGGAAAATAAATCTTAATCAAGTTTATTTGTCTATTAAAGACAGCCATAAAAATATAAACCTTATATTTTTGAGAATGAATGTCCTTCTCCTATTAGAAAAATAGCTAAATTACCTTATAAGATTTTGGATGCTCCAAAATTAAAGGATGATTTCTACTATCAATTAGTTGATTGGAGTATGAACAATTAAATTGGAGTTGGTCTTGGAAATTCAGTTTATACTTGGAATGCAATAACAAATGAAACAACATAATTATTAGAAATTGAAGCTCCAGTTAGTGTTAGTTGTATTAAATGGTGTGATAGAAATGATATCATAGCAATAGGAGATGATACTGGTGCAGTCAGAATTTATGATATTGTTAAAGCAAAGATATTAAAAACATATGAAAATCATAATTCTAGAGTAGGTTGTTTAGATTGGAATGGATGTAATATAACAAGTGGTAGTAGAGATAAGAGTATATTATTTTAAGATATAAGAACTAATAATGATTATGAATTATCATTTTAAAGTCATAAATAAGAAGTTTGTGGATTATAATGGAGTCCAAATGAGTAATTTTTGGCATCTGGAGGTAATGATAATAATGTAATGATATAATCAATAAAAATGCCAAATTAATCAATGTATATATTTAAGGATCACATTGCAGCTGTTAAAGCTTTAGCATGGTCACCTCATTAACCAAATATACTATGTAGTGGAGGTGGAACAACAGATAAATGTTTAAAATTTTGGAATACATCAAATGGATAACTCTAAAATAGTGTAGATACTGGTAGTTAAATTTGCAATATGAAATGGTCTACTAATACAAATGAATTAGTAACTTCACATGGGTATATTCTTTATTTATATAAATATAGTTATTCTCTTAATTAAGTAGCTGTTTGGAAAATGCCTAAGATTGAAAGAATTGCTACTTTATATGGTCATTCTTTTAGAGTTTTATATTTATCATTAAGTCCAGATGGAGAAAATATAGTAACAGGAAGTGGTGATGAAACTCTTAGATTTTGGAAATTGTTTCCATCAAAAAATAAAAATACAAATCTTATTAATCAATCTAAATTGGATTCAATCAGATTGGATATTCGATGATGATAATTAAACAATCCTCTCTCAAATATAATAAAATTACTATAAACTAATATATATTTTTTATCTATTCTTTAAATTCTAATAATAAAAATCAAATGTGAATATTCTATCTTATTAAATTCAAATGAAATGAAAAAGAATTAATTTAATTCTAACTAAATGAAAAATCTAAAAATTATTTTCTTTATATTTATAGATTTTGGAGATTCTAAACTTTAAAATTATTAAATTTCTTAAAAAAAGTTCTGTGCATGTCATTTAAAAATAGATAAGGATTATTAAAATTATGAAATTTTGGTTGACCTTATTTTTCAACAAAGTGAATTAGAATTTAAATTGTTTTTATTACTTAAATTAACATCAAATATATATATAGAATACTCAAATTTATTATCAAATAGCCTCCTTAATAGGTCTGTTAATCATAGAAGTCTTGACTTACTTATTTAATTAAATCTTGAAAATTTTAGAATAATATTTAATTACTATTTATCAGTCTGAATAATAATAACAGGAAGAGGATAAAATTAAGCAGGAAGATTTATAAAATATAATTTTAATTTATTACATTGTATTACAAAGATTATTAAGATTATGAGAGACACTGCTTTTAAAGGATGTTCTTATTAAAATAATTATTGAATATAAAATTTTCAACATTATCTCTAAAAGAAATAAAAAGAATTGGATTTTTTTGATTATTTGAAAGACATTTAACACATCTGAAAAATAAATGATATAATTATAATTAAATAGATTCTAAATAAAATTAAATGCATTCATTCAAAGATTTAGACACCACTGATACAGAAAATGATCAATTATAATGTAATAAACATCACCAAGATTTAATCAAAGTTTGTTTATCATGTATTTTTATATATAAATTATAAGCTGGTTGTGATCAATTGCAATTGTGTCAGTCATGTCTATACAGTCACAACTCTACTCACAAAGAGATTACTATATATTAGCTATTTAAAGAAGTCTAAGCTAGACTTAAGATGGATTGCAGAGTTGAAAAATCTAAGGATAAGTTTGACATTGTGTTCAAAAACATTTAAGAGATGAGATAGTAAGTTAATCTAATTTTTAATTAATTGGAACATGATATTAAGTAATATTTGATTGAAAAAATAAATATTGATGAACTCAACTAAAATTACCAAACTTTAATAAATATTAATGAAAACAATTATATTAAACATATCCCAATACTCAAACTCTACTATCTTAATCCAAGAATCTTTTTTGATGGATAGTTATAATTATCTTATGTGGAAGATACTATATTAACAAAATTGCTTATACTCAATGAGAAACTTAAATAATAAATAGATAAATTAAAAAATGATGCTGAACATCTTTTTGACATCAAAACTCGGAAAGCTAGTGAACATTAATAAGAAGATTCCCTTGAGTTATTAACAACTATTAATGGACATGAAAATGTAGTAAGATGTGTTATCAAACTTCATGATGGAGATTATGCAACATCATCAAGAGATAAAACTATAAAGATTTGGAATTAGAATACTTTTTAATGTATATAAATATTAAGGGATCATATTAATTGGGTATAAGATCTTACATTAATTCCTGATAATAAATTTGCTAGTTGCTCAGATGATAAGACTATTAAGATCTATGCTCAATTCATCTAAAATTATTCAGATAATGGATTTTAATCATCTCTTTGGGAATGTGTCAATACATTAAGAGGACATGAATCTTATGTAGTTAGAATTGTATATAATGATTAATTCAATTATCTTATCACTTGTTCTACTGATGGAACTTTACGTTTATGGGATCCATCATAAAAGAATGCTCTAACAGTATTATAAGGACATGAAAATTGTGTATATACTTTAGCCACCAAAAAGAATTTAATAGTTTCAGGAGATGAAGGTGGTTAATTGATAGAATGGTCACTCAGTCATATGAAAATTGAAAATAAGCAAAAGAAACATTCTGGATGCGTTAATTCCATCTTGATTAATTCTTATATTTATTCTTGTGGAGATGATCGTAAAGTAAATATCTGGGATATTAACCTTTAATTTATTTATGTTATTGTAAAATTTATAGTTATAATACTTAGCAATTAGAAAGAGCAGAATTGGAGTCATTATAATTTATTAATGATGAACTAATAGTTGGTGGAGATGAATAAGGATATCTTTAATTCATTAATCCTATTTAAGGAAAAGTGATTTCAGAGATCCCTGTTCATAATGATCGTATATACAAAATTAAGTATTATGATGGAATCCTATGCACAGCTAGTTCAGATTTGTCTGTCAAGTTATTCAAGTTTAATATTTGAATTATATATCCACAAATAATTTATGCTTAAATTTAAGAGGGTATACCACTTCTCCAAATGGCCTATTGTCGATCTTCTAGACTACAATCACTAGATAAATTTGCTAAAATCCCAAACTCCTAAACCTGATATAAAATAGCTTCTAGGCCCTAATTATGAGAAGTACTAGCACTCATCAATTTAATTGGACTATATTTCACATCATTAAGAGCCATCTGAGATTTAAGTTCTCTCATCTGATCATCCTGAGTTTAAATAAACTGATAGGATATTTTCAACTTTCGATTAACTCAAATATATAAGAGAAACAGAATCATTGAAACATTAAAAATTTGCTTTAAAAGAAGTCGAAGAAGATGATATCTTTACTGTTGATGCCATGTAATCATACAAACCTAAACTCACATGCGACAATCTAACAGAAAATTAATTATTGTTGATCAATCTTCCTATTAATGTTACCATCTAAGAAATACAAGACTTTGTTTTATCATAAACTAATTAATAAGTTTAAGTTGAACTTCACACATGTTCCCTTAATATTAATGCTTATGCTACTCTCACTTTTTAAAATTAAGCTGAATAATACAAATCTTAACTACATCTTACAAAGTTCAATGGAGTTTTATAAGAGTGCAAATCCCTTGAAAATACAGCAGAAGAATCACCATTCAATAGAACACTTGTAATTACAAATATTAATAAAACTCTCTCTCTTTAAGAAGTCTTACATAATATTGGTTAATATGGAAGAGTCTTAAATGCTGTCATTCCTTTGGAAATTCAAAATGTTGATCTTCCTCTTTATGAGGACATCATTCATACCTTAGTTGATCCTTGTAAATTAGAAATCCTAAATGTATAAACAGGATAAACAGAAATTGAATTCTATCCTAATTTAGAATAATTTGAATAACTTTACAAAAATTGTAATTATTATTCATTAAATTTATAGTCCCTGAATATTATGATCCAAATCTTGAATTGACCTTATTTGAATATCAACAATAAAAAGATGAAAAATAAGATTAATTCAGACTTTTCAGATTGTTAAATTAAAAAACTGTTAAATGTCTTAAAGTACCAAGTAATCTTAAAGAAAAATATAATAAATTATGGATCCCTTAAATCAATGTGGAAACTCCAAAAGATAATCTTCAATCCTAATTAAATGCTAAAACTTATAAAAATAGAGGTTATTGTGTATGTACATTTTCAAGTAAAGCTATGGCTCAAAGAGCTTTATTTGCTATTAATGCTGAAGGTACTCATGATTTAGCTGTATTGCCATTACCTTTATTGAATACACCTAATTTCTATCCTGAAAATACAACTCATAGCAATTAAGAAAAATATGGTGGTAAATTTAGAATAGAGAATTTGGCATATCCAAAATTAAGAGCAATGAAATCATGGGAAGATTTAGAATTATATCAAATTGATTTAATATACAATCTCAAACAACTAGAAAGAATTAGAAAATAAATTTCTTAAGTGAGAGATTAAACAATAGAAGCTATTTAAACAAATGAAGATACTTATGAAAAGGATCTTGAAGAGAAAAAAGAAAAAGTAAAGTAAAGAGCTTATTCTGAATTAAATAAAAGTGAAGAATATAAAAATTTTGTTGAGAAGAATAGTTTTGCTGAATCCTTAGATTCTTTTGAAGATAGTGTATCAATTGTAAAAGATGCATAACCTGGAAGAAAATTTGATTTTGGTATTCATAATGAATAATATAAAAATTATGTTGAAGCAATCAAAAATAGAGCAAAAGATATTTAATTAAAAGAAACAGAATATGCAGATAAATTAGTAAAGAAATATTAAACATTATTTTTATCTGATGCTATATAAAGAAAATTAGAATAAAATGTTGAAAAATCAGATGATACACTTTTATCTTTACTTTAAGCAAGAGTATTAAGTGATTATTCACAAAAAGAGAAAAAAATGAAAAAGAAATTAACTAAATATTCTAGATTTATGAGTTCAGGTGCTATGTATGCAGCAGATGTAGATTTACAAGTTAAAAGAATAGGAGAAATATTTTCAGAAGTTAAAAAAAAAGGAAAGTATATTTAAAGTGAAGCAAATAGAGATTCAAAAGAGGCTTAGGAAAAAATAGCATTGAAAAAAGAAAGAATATTCAAACGTCGATTTAGTAGTACTATATTGAATCCAATTTATTTAAAGAAATTAGCTATTTAAAAACATTAAGAATTTTTGGAATATATTAAATAAATGTTATTGGGAAATGAATCATAAAATGAAAGTTTAATTGCTATTCATCCATTAAATCATAAGGATTAATTGAAAGTTAGTTTGGCTCTTGGAAAAGATGATTAAGGAAATGAATTCTTGAATGACAAAATTATTAATTATGTAAGATAATTTGATATTACTGATGATACACGTGATTTGATTAGATAATAAGAAGCTAATAGAAAACATTTAATGAGTCAAATTACTAAAGATTAGATTGCAAGAATTAAAGAATTTTCTAAATAATCATATACATAAAAATTAATATCATTAGACAAAAATGGTATTACTACAGAAACTTTTGAAGTTACAGATAATAATGTTGATATTAATTAAATGGTTAATGATTTGAATAATTTTGTGGCTGTAGGATCTGAAAAATATGATTATGTTATTGATAATTTAACTAAAAAAAGATATATTGTTAAAAGTGAAAAACCATTTGTTAAATATGATTTAGATGCATTTTCAATTAAAGATTTAGGATTTCATAATTTAGAAAAAGAAGTATATATCAAATATTAATTTTTATAGTTTGTAGATCTTTTGTAGAAAAATGGAATTTCAAATGATAAAGCCATTGAAATGCTTAAAGCTTTAGAAAATGATGGATAAATTTCAGAAGAAATTTTGGATTTAATTGATAAATTGCCTGAAAATACAGAAACAGATTATGAGAAAATATATAAAGATTAAGGATTAACTAGAAAATGTAATATAAAATAAATATCTTTTAGAATATGAATTAGCAAAATCCTTGGATTTTAGAAATAATCTAGACGAAATTTAAAAGGATATTAATTAATAAGCATATTTAAAGGATATTTCAAAGAAATATTCCCCATTGACAAATGATTCATTTATTAGGGATAAAGAGCAAGGAAAATTAAAAATTAAAAATAAGAAAGGTAAATTTTTAGTCCCAAAGTAGAAAAAATATTGAATTTTAAATTGTTTTATTATTATGCAGTAAATATTTCAAATTTATAATCAATATATAAATTTTTTACAATTACCTAACAATAGTTATTAAATCATATTATTTAATGATTTAAGTATAGAAATTTGGATAAGATTTAGTAATTATTAGTTTTTAGTATATCCTTAAATAAAATTCTTAAGCTTATATTTTTATAATTATATTCTAATTAAATTTTACATCCTAAAAGATTACTCCTTAGCTCAATTAATATAATTTTGATTTATGTTTTCTCTTATATTCTTAATTTAATATAAGAATATGTTTAAATAAGATTTTGTCTATAAAATTTCAACATTTTTATTTATCAGATATCCCATTTTTAATAATAATAATAAAATAGATACAATTGCAATCTTCTTTAAATATTTTGAAAGTCTATTAAAAAAAACAATTTTATTAAGATAAAAGAATTCCTTTTTATATCTATTCAAATATTATATTAGGATATATTTATTATTAAAATAAAGATTTTAATATGCTGAGACTTGTAAGTAAGAAGTCATTCTCGTCAACTTTCAATGTGTTAGATACATTCAAAACACTCAAAAGCGTAGTAAGATTAATTGCTAAAATCTAAGATCACAGCTCCAATAAGACATATAAGGTCATATGTGAGATAAGATGGTGTTCATAGTTCTATGACACCTAACTTAACATATTAGGCTTTTGATGAAGTGCTTCATGAATATTATGCTGCTTATTCTGGAAATCCATTCCACTTATAAGTGTATAATAACTTAGATAACATCTAAACAGTCAACTTTGGTACAGTAGACAATCCTTGTGTTATTTTCACTGCAGATACTCCATTCAGATATGTGGGATGCACAGGTTTGTAAAACGAAGACGATTATGAACAACATGAAATTCATCTTTTCATGCTTAGAGAAGGTCCATTATAGAGATGCCCAATGTGTGGTCAAGTTTTCAAATTGGTTAGACTTAGACAATAAGAAGATGAGGAAATGTCATACTATAGAGATTCATTCCATCCTATTGATATTTTTGAATTGGATGTAAAATACTTTTTCTATTTTAGAATGAAAATGTTTAATCAATTAATATGCTCAAAATGTGGACTCATAGAGAAGCTTCATTATTTGAAAGTGCATTATATGAATAAAATATTATGGTAACAATGGATAACGATGTACATGATAGATTACTTGTTGATCCAGCTTATAGAATGTGGAGATTTTAACATGGTGAAGATAAATTAAAATACATTGATTAATAATTGAAATAAGCAGGTTATAATGAAGAAAGAGTCTATAGAAATCCTAAATACAAATTACCAATGTAAAAGGCAACATATGCAGCTGTTATTGAAGCAGAGAAGGTCTTGGCTATCTAAGAAAGATTAGAAAGAAAAGTAAATAGATTCCATGTTAGAGAATATCTTGATTTTGCTAATCATGCTAGAAGAGAAAGAAGAATGAGATTGAGATAAAAGGAAAGATGGGAAAACAATTACACTTATTTCTATGGAGGTCTTACAGAAGAAGAATAATTATATAATGATTACTTTGAAACTGATTAAGAATTATATAAAGATGATGAATAAGTTGAATAAAGAATTGATGAGGCTGTTGCTTAAGTTGATCCTAAGTATAGTCCTCTCAGATTTGACTTTTAAGAAGCATATACTCATAATCCTGAAGAAGATCAAACTTCACTTCTTGAAAAGAAATTATGGAGATTTAAATATAGATTGGCATTTGATTGCACTAAAGATTATTAAGTTAGAGAAAGAAGATTGATTGAAAGACATTTGGCAAGAATGACTAAAGACCCAGAATATATTGCTGTTTTCAAGAATCTATAAACTGCTGTTAATTCTGAAAATGAATTTGCAATCTTATAAGCTGAAAAGAATTATTATAATCTTGCAGCTAAAGAAGGATGTAAATTTATTAAATTATTTATTTAGTCCTTTAATACAAGGATTACTTTGAAGGAGATTCATCAGCTGAAGTTGAATTAGTTGAGGAATTATATAAAGCTTCACCTTTAGCATTCAGCAAAGTCTTTGTTAATCATTCTGCAAGATTATTCTAATAAGAAGGATTCTAGAAATTCCCTAAAAGAGCTTGGAATGACAGTCTAGGATTAATTTAAAATTATGTTTTGGATTTCTAAGA